GCAGCAGCCACTAGCGCCCGACAAAAGGGTGGGTCGAGACCGTGAGGGCCTCGAACACCCTTCTTTTCATCTACCGGGTCTGGAATCACAGGCCACGGCTGCACGCTATCCCATACCGTCTCTCTCAGCTTCTGTCCGTCTGCACCGCATGGTCTTTGCTGCGGCACTTTCCATGTCGTCTGCGTGACGCTCAAATATGCCATTTGCCCCATTTCCCATCCTTTCCCTCTGCAGACGTCACCCTTCATGGCGATCCCTTCCCCTTCAAGTCCCACTTCACCAGGCCTGCCCGATGTTCTGAGCCGGCTGGGGTTAACCGAATATCTTCAAGTCCTCGCCGACAATGGCTTCCATACCTGGGGCGCCGTCCTCGACATTACCGAGGACGACATGACGGCCCTCAACTTCAAACTCGGCCACCGCAGACTGCTCCAGCGCGAGATTGCAACCTACCGCGGCATTCCTCAGTCACTGTCACTCGACCCAGAGTCCAATTCGCCAGAGCCAGTATCTCTCTCTGCGTCGGCCCTCGAGAGCTTCACCAGACAGACGACTACCCCGCCACCACGCGAGAAGCGGCGGTACCGGCGCCATCCCCGGCCAGATCCCAACGCGCCCAAGAAGCCAAAGACAGCCTGTACGACAGCCAGACGCTTGCGCGTTGCCCACTTGATATTGCTCTCTTACTAACAATCGTAGATGTCAACTTTGCTGACCAGCTTCGCACAGACCCAGAAGTCAGCCAGCTGTCCTTTGTCGACATTGCACGCGAGGTGGGTCGCAGATGGCAAGAGCTCCCAGCAGAGAAGAAGCGTGTGTGGGAAAGTAATGCTGCGCGGTCCATGCAAGAGTTTGAGGCCCAAATGGACGAGTACAAGAAGACCGACAGCTGGCAAAAGCACCAAATGTACCTCAATGAATTCAAAGCCCAACAGTCGACCGCCTCTTCTGGCAGACAACGACCAGGAAATAGCCGCTCGACAACAGATACATCCAACAACACTCGTCCATATTCACAGGCCAGCCCCAGCTCCATAGACAGTCCCGTGTCTCTGATGCCTGCTGTGCCCATGGGGCCTGGCGCAGAAGCCTGTCACAACGCACTGACCCTAGCTTTTAGTGAGCTGGTAACTCTCAGAAGCGAGATCATCAATGGAGGCGCCCAGCATTTCAATGAAAATCGTCTTCCGCCTGAAGACCGAGTGCGCCGGTCTATGTATGCCTTCATTCAAGGCACCGGCTCGCTCCTTTTCATGTGGACATTTGAACAGGCCGATGAGATTCTCGACCGCATCTACCGGCCACAGACAAAGGTTGACGATATGACACTTGCTGAATGTTTTACTGTAGCTGCCATGGGTGCGCATTATGATATTGATGCTTTCTCTGATGACATGTTGCGCCTACTCTACGCCTCCGGGACTCTTCATTTCAATGAACGCACAGCCCGGCAAGATCACTTTCGAACAATGCGTTTGTTGCTCTCATTGTCTTTCTTCTCGCTCCTCGAGAAGCACATGAGCGCAAAATACCTTATTGGTAATTGAACTCTCTACTAAGCTACCCAATACACAAGCTGACAAGCCACAGCCGCAGGGTTGCAGATTGCCCGCTGGAAATGTGCAGCACCGCAGAGCCGGCCTCAGACAGCCGATGTGGGCTGGACGAAAATTTTCCGAAGTCTCATTTTCATGGACTCGTGGCTTTCGTACACGCTTGGCTATCCTTCAGAGGTGACGGCCAACGATGTCCAGGTATGGCATGGTGAGACTGATAGATTTCCATATAGCGCTAACATGATTAGATTGCGTGTGTTGTGGACTGGCCAGATCACCTTTCGATAAATGATATGATTCACACACAAACCAGCAAGATCAATTTGATTGCGGCTGAAGTTGCAAAGACGCTTGCATCACCCAACTTGGCCACCGAGGCTAACATTACTCTGCTTACTCGTAAGCTCGAGCAGTGGCGCCAGGATGTACCCTACAATTTGCAGATTCCTACCCTTTTGTCCAGCGAAGCTCAAGAACTGAACAAATACCAGAGGCGAGCCATTTTCATGGTACATGTAAGAAGCCGTATTCCTCGGATTGTTTGTCAGCGCTGACCTGTTTTGGTAGATTATGTATCTTGGTACCCTAGTTTTGCTATACCGTCAGTTGCTTGTTGCTGCGGCTGGAGCCCAGCTCAGTGATGAGGCAGCAACTCCATTGAACATGTCAGCGGATGACATCAAGATGTATAGACGAGAGTGTTCAACAGCCGCTCAAAACATTGCGCGCATACTAGGACTCATTTCCTTTGATGGCACGTTGACTAAGCGCTGCTGGATAATGTAAGTTGTTGAGGAAAGTGAAGGAAAGTGAAACAGGCTGACAAGTGTAGTATATATTGGTCCTTTTCAGCTGCCATTTGCCTGCTTTTCAGTGCAACCACTAAACTCATGGATGGCCAGACAGATGGGGTCGAGGCAGATCTCGCGTACGCTAAATCATGTATGGACATGCTGGAACCGTGTAAACCGTGTGAGCCGGTGGCAGCACGGTACCTGGAAACACTGTGGCCATTGTACGACAATCTGCAAGATGTCCTTCGCCGGATGGTTGGGAGGTCGAAGAGCAGCATCTTTGCCATTCTGCAGCCTGATCCGAGCTTGTTGAGCCCCCCGGTACCAGTATCGAAGCAGGAGATGGGGCCGATTTCCGAGAAACTTACTACACTCTTCACCGATCCTTTCGGAAGGACGCAGAACGATGAAGGAATTGGGAGGCGGGTACTGAGCACCGATGGTTCATACTCTGTTTTCTGGTTCAGGTGAAGGAGGACATGGTTGTCGTGACTACTTTTCATGGTCTGGTCGACCGGTTAGCTTGAGAGACAGTCTCTGACGCCTCATCGGAGTTGCGTCCTAAGGAGTCCAAAGCGATAGCGAAGGGTGGCGCTTTGGAATCTCGAAAGCTGTATTAGCGGCTGTTTGAGTGCTCCCACGCCGAACCGCAGAGGTAGCCTCCGCTTGAAACGGCGTGCTTCGACGCGCAAGACTTGTCACGGTGCTATATATGGCATTGTCTTCAGGCGGACGGCGCTCCGTATTGCGCCACAGGCATTCAACTGATGGCGCACTGACACGTTTCAGTGGTTCCCAGCTACTAGCAGCCGATCCAGCGGCGTGTCACTAAGCGGCACGCACGTGTAGGAGACGCGATGGCTGGCAGTTTGTGCATGGGTGTTGCAAGGGGATGATGGGACGATGGCGTAGGGTAGATAGTGTGAGCTGACTGCAAAGTGCATAGCGCCACTTTGACTGCGGGCCAGAGATGCAAAGAAGCACGAGAGGGAGAGCAGGCCTGAAGGCTTAGGGTATTAGGAGGAGAAATTCCAGCTGCAGTGCCGATCACGGGAGTGCCCGTCTGCCCGTAGCGTAAGACGCCATCGTCACCAGTCCCCACCAGTGCGTGAATCAGCCAATGTCGTGTGAGCAAGCAGCTCCGGAGGCAGTTTTCGGTCCCAGAGCAAGTCGACTGGGCGCTTGCAACGCAGACTTTGGGTGATGTTCATGTGCACTCGAGTGCACTGACTCGAAGAAGGTTGTGAGTGTTTTGTACATGTACACCAGGTGTGGGCGTGGATGTATTCGCCATTGGTAGGCGTACGCGTCCTGCCCCGCCGATCCCATGGCGCGACACCTGGAACCAAAAATCTCCGCCGGTGTTGCAATTTCCAGTGACTTCTCCGCCAACGGGCCGTTGGAATGAAGAGAGAGTGAGATGACGATAGTCGAAATGGGTGCTTGGCTGACGTTGGCATTCTGACGCAGCTGCGGCCTTTTTTCGATAGTGTTGGCGGTTTTGGTTGCTCACCTGGCACACACGTAGGCACGAGTCGACGGTGCAGGACATTGACGAGACTAGTGACAACTGTGTCTATCGAAACATGTTTTATGACGAAGCCAACGGTAGACGTGTGAGCACGGTTAGTCCCTGTGTTTTTGTTTTGTTTTTGCTTGTCTCAGTGGAGAGACAAGGCACCAGTTACCCGGGCATGAATTCCGTGTGGCATATCGATTGGAGAGAGAGTGGGCGGTTCCGCATGGGCTGATTGCTGTCAACCTCGGTGGTGGGTTCATGGGCGGTGAAGAGCTGCACGACGACAGATGCCATGTCGACCCATATCTTGCTTTCCCCATTCTCCACCCTGATGCCAACGTCGTTGGCGTGCGTGTCTAACCCAACCCCTCCCCTCCCCTCCGCCCCCGATAACAGGAAACCCACTTCTGATAATGAGCCACGAGGATTGAGTGCAGCAAGCGAATCGACTAGCTGAATTGGCCCCCCCGCCCCTGAGCGAGGCTTTGGCTGGCGGGCCCTTGTCGGCGGACAAAAATAACAATATTAATAGTGAACAACAAAGTCTGTGTGCAACACAGGCTCCCGGTCGAGTCCCCTCGCCTCTGCAACAGCACGAGGGCGGGCTGGCTAGGGCAGGGCGTGGCTGAATAGAGTGTCGCGAGATGCAGACGGGCGGTGCGTGGTATGCAAGTGTGCAAGCGGAATGGGGAAAGGGGGCGTGTGCGGATGCAAGTCTAGATCGACCACATGTCCCCACTCGCAAGCGCCCCTAGCATGTCGGCTTGAGGAGGCTCGTTCGCGTCATTTGGGTGAAATAATAGGGAACGGCGTCCCTTGTTCCAAGTTGCCCAAAAAAACCCGTCCTCGAATCTTCCATCCCGCCTCTCCTCTTGACCTTTGCTTTCCCCTTTGCTTTCTACAACCTTCTCGCCTTACTTTTCCGGCATATCCGCCCTGCCACCCCACCCCCTTGTTCTTGTGCGGAGAGGGAGATACCGACCAGAGAAAGAGACAGGGAGAGACAGGTTATAATAGCCCCGGAGCCTGCACCCACGTCACTCGTCACTCGGATACCGATGCAAAGCGAGCCCAAGGAGACACACTACTACTATTACTACTACGACTACAACCCCCACCACTACCACCGCAATGGATAACTGTCACGCGATATACACGGAGAGTCCGTTTGCCATTTCCCAGGAGGATGTCGATGCCCTCAACTCGTCAAAGGCGTTTTGTGCGCTGAGGAGGTGTTTGGCGGGCCAGGCCGAGTATGTGCTGTCCTGTCCTGTTCTGTTCTGTTGTTCTCTTGTCCGCGTCCGGGAGCTTATCGCACCGGGCCTATCGCACGCCTGCTGCTCCAGTACCACTGCAGTTAGCATGCTACCCAATCCAACCCAACCATCATCCACCTACCTATCTGCCTACCTAACAATAGCATCCATCTGCAAAGTACACCGGCTAATGGATCCAGTAGTTTCTGTGCCTCACATTCGACATGCTCACCCCAAGCCAAGCAAACATGGCTGCTCCACCGCGATATCCTCCACGCCCTTATCATGCCCATTGTTACTTTGTTCTCGCGTGCCTCGACCCTAGCATCTGCCGCCCTGTGCACACAGCGCGCCTCTGACCTTGAACTCGCCTTTTCGGGCGAATCCCGCAGTGCCTTCATCGGCCTGCAATGCTTCATCACCGAGGAGGCCGACTGGTGCCACACTCACGGCTGCCCAGCCTGCGTCGTGACCGAGACATTGAGTACCGACAGCCACATCCGCCTGACCATTGCCGCAAGTCTTCTCAGCACCGCAACCGTCGCCACACCCACCCAGGAAGAACCCCCTTCGCAGGACTCCCAAGACCGGACTCTGCCCCCGCTCCCCCACATCCTTCCCGCCCTCCAGCATGCAGTCATCAATGACCCCTTCTGGGAAGGCTCAGACATCTGGAGCTACATCCTCTCTCGCGCCACCCAGCTCTCTGCGGGTATCCAGGCCCTCATCGCCGAATGCATAAACCTCGAGTCCCTCGTCTCATCTCCTACTACCGACCGCCCAGCCTCGAAGCGTGGAATGACGCACCCCAGCGTCCCCTTTGTCGCCTCTGGCCAAGCAGCACCCGAAAAAGGTGTCAAGCTCCGCAAGAGCAAGCTTGCAAAACGACAGCTCAGGCTTCGCGATGAGGAGGTCGAGCTTATGAGGAGGGTGGCCATGCAGTGTTGGGCTAAAGCCAAGGTGCCGAAGAATCTGAGGGCGGATGCTTTGGCTTTGGGCGAGAGTAAGAGGTCGAGGAGCTTGACTTGTCCGTGAGGTTTAATGCAAGCAACCTTTTTTTTCTTCTCTTCGAATTCCCTTTAAATATAGGGGAGAGCGGCGTTTATATAGGTTGTGTTTTTTTTGCATATGGATGATACCACAGCATTATTATCTTCTTCTTTCTTCATCTTTCTTTTGTTTCGTTTTCGCTTTTCGCCTTTCTTCTTTCTCTCCTCTTTTCTTCTGGCTAGGGAAACTAGGGGGCTTTCAAGGCACGTGCTTTTTTGAAGGTCTGGATGCACAATCTTCATCTTTTCTGCATTTTTTTTCGCTTTCCATCTTCTTATATGTTGTGGGTATGGCAATTAGGGAGGCGGCGGAATGTGATTTCTAGAGTATACTAGATTTCCGTATATCTAGATGTTCTAATTCAAAAAAGAAAAGAAAATTAATAATAATTTGAATACCCATGGATACTCGACTGTTGTAATTACGTATCTATTCTTCTCTTGTATACATGTACTTGAAAACGAAGTAGCCTTTTATTTTACATACCATGCTAAGATTCCAAACTCTACAACTTAGCACCAACAACACTGCCACCATCCAAGGCAATTGTCGCACCATTAACATACGAACCCGCTCGACTGGACAACCAAATGCAAGTACCCGCCACATCCTCCGGCGTACCAATCCTACCAAGCGGAATACCCCCCGTAATAACATCCTGATACTTCTCCAGCGTCGCCTTCATCATCTTACTCTGAAACGGGCCACACGCAATCGTATTACTGGTAATACCCCTCTTGCCCAGATGGCTCGCGAGTACACGACTCATATGATGCAAACCAGCTTTCGAAGCCGAATACGCAAACGTCTCGAGCGCGGGGACGCGCAGGCCGTCTACGCTGCCGATGTTGATGATGCGGGCTGGGGAGGAAGGGGTAGCTGCTGCTTCGAGGAGGGGCGTGACGGCCTGTGTGAGTTGGAAGACGCGCTTGAGGTTGAGGTTGAGGACGCGGTCCCAGGCTGCCGACGGGTATTTGTCGTAGGATTCGCCCCAGTTGCTGCCGCTGTTGTTGACCAGGACGTCGAGTTCTGATTTGCCACCAAGTTGCGTTAGCTACTTTATCGTTCTCCCCTCAACCCCTCCCATACAGTACATCCCGTGGAAACCATATATGGCATGAGAAGATGGAAGTAGAGATAAGAACGTACTCGTAGTCCTCTTGCCCAACTCGGTAGCAATATACGCCGCCGCATCTTCCTTGTACAAATCCGCTGCTATAAAATCCGCTTTTCCTTTTCCCAAAGCATTCATCTCTTTGCATGCCGCCTCGCATGCTTTGGCGTCGCGCGAGGAGACGAAGACGGTGGCGCCGTTGCGGACGAAGCCCTCGCTGATCATGCGGCCGATACCCTTGGCGCCGCCAGTTACGAGGACGACTTTGCCCTGTTGAATGCTTTTTAGTATGTCTGTAGTATACAAATGGAAAAGGCATGTAGTGTCGGGAGATTACGTACGCTGACGTCGAAGAGGGTGCTGTTTTCCATATTTTCGCTATGTTTTTCTTTTTCTTTTGATTGGTGAAAAGAGGACGAGTTTGGGGAAAGGTAGTTTAATGGGTGTAAAGGACGGACAGGGGAGGGAGAGAGATATGCGGGTTCATGGCGGCACCACGGCTAAAGCGATCGTCGCGTCGGATGTTGGATGGGTGGAAAGCTGGGGTTGAGCCGAGGCTCGGGGATTTGGTTGTTCCGGAGTTGAAATGGGTTAGAGTGAGAAGTCGAGGTGCCAAGGATGGGATGGTGCCAGTGCATTGCTATCAGTGTCTGTTAAACTCCGTGCTTGGAGATGGATAAGGGAAGAATCTAGTGTGCAGATCAAGGCCCATTCCAGGCTATTGACATTGACGAACCCCTGCGGGGATTATTCTGCACATGAACTTGATCTGCTTTTCATATACGAGGAGCTACAGCAAGCGGGCCGTCTTTGAACGCTCTTGCTGCTAGCATCTCCTCACGGAAAATTTAATACCTAGAAATATGGTCAAGCATCCCCAAACGCTAACATCAAGAAGGTAAAGATAATATATTCCATTGCAATCGGGTATCATAACACGGCAGTTACCAAGTCAAATGGCACAACATGGGCATTTCAAACAGCACCAGCCTTCCTCTTTTCCATAATCTGCTGCTTGAGTCCCTCTGCCGCAACCTCGGTCTCAAGCAGTCTCCCTAGGCCCTTCTTCCATGTATCTTCCAGGGTCTTGATTTCACCGCTCACGCTGTCCTGCTGTACCCTCCTAGCCATGTCCGTCTCCTCTTGTTGCTTCTTCAGACTGGCCAGCTCAGCCTCGATGCTCTTCAAGATATCCTCCAGCTGCGAGTTGCCCACCAACCACGCGTTCTTGCCAAACTTTTCCAGCAAGCTGAGCTGCGTCAGTCTGCCCTGGACATACTCGGAGCTGGTGTATGCCTGCTTCAGAGCCTTGCTCCATCGCTCGAGCAGCTCGGGACGGTCCTCATCAGTCGTCGGGTTTGTGTTCTCAGGCGCGTCGAGATCTTCGTAGCGCTTCAGGTCTATGCCAGAGAGCTTGGAGGTGGGGTCGTCGTCGAGGCGCGCATGCTCGCGCGAGATGAAGTCGGAAAAAGTTGGTGTGTACACAGCGGCGGCTGGTATAAGGGCCGGATGCATTTCTGAAGTGTCTACACCAGCGCTGCGGATGTCGGCGTCAATGGCAGCTTTGGCAGCAGCAATGCTGTTTGCATCCGGTTCCGTATCTACATCTGCAACGAGTTAGCATGCAGCTTGCATCCCGTTATCACGCGCGCAGTCCCCCTAGCACGCAGCGCAGCGCATCGGACTTGCAGCTGTTCCTGGCGACGGCAATTTACGTACAAGGGAGGTCATCGTAGGAGGCTTGAATGAGTGGCATCGTTGCAAGCGATGTGCAGGGGCACAGGAAGATGGTGTATTGGCTGTGCCCAAGGTCGCGAAACCAAAGAAAGCTTGACCCGATGAAATTAAGCTACTGGGCCCTGTTCGCACATCATCCCCACCAACCACAGCGCCAGCATCCCCGCAGCGTCATGCACCAATACCAGACCCTCCAACCACAGCCAGGGCGGCTTCTGTGGCCAAAAGCATACTCCCTGTAGTCCTGTGGTACATACGGACCTGCACCACAGCTCCTTCTCCATGCGCCCTCCATAACCTACAAGTACCTGTTACCTTCCTCTTGAGCGTCTCGCTCTCTTCCTCTCCTTCCGCACACTTCCGCACGCCCATCTTGCTGCGACAATGGCCCGCTCGCACATTGCCGTCGCTTTGGGCGCCGCCCTACTTGCTTCTTTGATCATTGGCCAACTCGTCATCAACTTGGGATTCCCTTCGGTCGACTTTTGGCATGCGCGCCTAGACCAAACCTACACTGGCGCTCAGCAGGACTCGTTCTTCAGTGAGAAGCAGGATGACGGTCCCGCCGCCCAAGATGCGTCGTCGTACCTCATCGGTGTTGGCAAAGGAGACATTACCGGGTATGATATGACTCGTACTACTTGAGTTTCCCCGTCGCTAACCGCTTGATAGCCCTGTTGTCGAGCTCAACTTGATGGGCTATGCCAACTCATCGCAAAAAGGAACTGGACTGCGCCAGCGCATTTACTCGCGCGCCTTCATTATTGGCAACCCAAGCGTAGCGAGCGAGAGATTTGTGTACCTCGTCCTAGACACCCAGTCTGGAGACACTGCTATTCGTAATGGCATCTTGGAGGGTCTCCAGGGAATGGGCCCCGAATATTCCGTTTACACAAAGAACAATGTAGCCGTGACAGGCACCCACAGCCATGCTGGCCCGGGTGCTTGGTTGAACTATCTCCTCCCACAAATCACCAGCCTTGGCTTTGACAAGCAGAGCTATCAAGCCATCGTTGACGGAACGCTGTTGTCGATCAAGAGAGCACACGAAGGCCTGACGCTGGGAACCGTCAGTGCTGGCAGCGCCAAAATTGCCAATGCAAACATCAACCGCAGTCTCTTTGCTTATCTTGCCAACCCACAGGCTGAGCGCGACCGTTACACGGACGATGTAGACAAGACCATGACGTTGCTCAAGTTTACGCGGGCCAGCGATGGAAAGAATATTGGTGTCTTGAACTGGTTCCCGACCCATGGTACCAGCTTGCTTGGCAACCAAACGCTCATCGCTGGAGACAACAAGGGTGTCGCCGCATATCTCTTCGAGCAAGATATGGAGGCAAGCGCAAATGCCGCCCAGGGCTTTGTCGCAGGCTTTTCACAGGCCAACGTCGGTGACACGACTCCCAACGTTCTTGGTGCTTACTGCGAAGATGGAACCGGCTCGCAGTGCAGACTAAACGACAGTACTTGCGGAGGCAAGAGTCAGGACTGTCATGGTCGTGGCCCATACTATGGCCTCAACGACGGTGGCCACAAGTCTTGTTACGAAATCGGCAAGCGTCAATATCAAGGGGCCAAGGGCATTTACGAGTCGGCTTCCTTCACAGCCATCTCCGGCAGCATTCGCTCTTTCCACACTTTTGTCGACTTCTCCAACTTTACCTTCACATTGAGCAATGGATCCACAGTCCATACATGTCCTGCGGCAATGGGTAACTCATTCGCCGCTGGAACTTCTGATGGACCTGGTGCGTTTGACTTTGTCCAAAACGATCCCGGCGCGCCCTCGAATCCCTTCTGGAACATCGTCGGCAGCGCCATTTCTCCACCAAGCAAGGAGCAAAGGGAATGCCAATACCCAAAGCCCGTCTTACTGAATGTTGGTCAGGCAACCGTGCCTTACCTTTGGTCCCCCAACATTGTTGACATCCAGCTACTTCGCGTTGGTCAATTTGTCATTATTGTTTCACCCGGTGAAGCAACCACCATGTCTGGTCGCCGCTGGCGTGAAGCAGTTCACAACGCTGTTGTCTCATCAAACATTGCTTCGTCGCCCATTGTCGTGCTCGGTGGGCCAGGAAACACATACACGCACTACATTGCCACCGAGGAAGAGTACAGCATCCAGCGCTACGAGGGTGCGTCCACGCTTTACGGCCCACATACGCTAAACGCTTTCATCAACTCCACCTTGACATACCTACCCTACATTTCCGATGGATCAAGGAGCGCTCCTCCACCCGGCCCATCGCCTCCAGATCACCGCGACAAGAGCATCTCGCTCATCACCGGTGTCGTCTACGACGGTGCAGGCATTGGCCGCTCGTTTGGCCAAGTTACAAAAGACGTTGTATCCAGCTACGCTCGCGGCGCCCTGGTCAGCGCCACTTTTGTTGGCGCCAACCCGCGCAACAACCTCCGTCTCGAAGGCACCTTTGCTTCTGTGGAAAAACAGGCAGCCGACGGTACGTGGACGCAGGTCAAGAACGACGAAGACTGGGAGTTGGTCTACGAGTGGAAGCGCGTCAACGGCCTGACGGGTACGAGTGACGTTACTATTACGTGGGACACGGGTCTCACGGCACCGGCGGCGGGGACGTATCGCATCAAGTATAACGGTGATGCCAAGAAGGTTGGTGGTAGCATTGAGGCCTTCGAGGGCAAGAGTGCTGCATTCAACTTGGTGTAGAGAGTGTCTGATATCCTGTTTTTTAATGATTGAATGGAGTTTATGTTTAATATTCATTGATCCTTTGAAATGAAAAAAAGTCCAGTTTTTATGCATGAAAGTGGTGATTAAATTATCCGAAGTTCAGTCTTAACATTAACTATATACTTTGCATAAGCAGATTCTACCTAATGCACTATTTCATTCTCTTTGTTTTGTTTTGTTCTGTTAATTCGCCACATTACTACTCTCTCTTCCTCGTGAAAAGATTCCATCCATCCGTCCAGCACAAAAAAAAAAGAAAAGGACCGAAGATATATTAACTCAGAAAAAAAAAACAGACACACAAATTCCGTCCCTTTTCCCGAAAATATAAGACTTCGTGGGGTATAAAACTCCATCCATCATGTGATGGAACCATACAACTACCAAGTCGTTTGTACTTCTAGTACATGATGCGCTCGTCGAATACGGGTGCCTCGCGCGCCTGGCCATCGTCCACACCATGCCAGTACACCTTGCCCTTTTCATTAAATGTGGCTTGCTCGTCTGTAATAATGAGCCCGGGCACGGCCTTTTGCGTGTCTTGGATCTCGCGGGTGCTGATGCCCATGTCGTCCTTGACGATCCAGATGACGGGCGTGGGGCTGGTAATGGAGGGGTTGAAGAAGGCGCGCTTCTGGATTTCGACGGGGAGCGGGTCCTGAGGGGTGTGGTAGAATTGGTCGAGGGAGGCGGAGAGGGCGTGCAGCGAGTGCTTCTCTGGGTTGAGAATCTTGCGTAGGAAGGCAGGCATGTGCGTGGGCTTGGGTACGTAGGTGGGGGTTGCCGCGGTGGTGTGAGCCTTTTCGCCGTTTTGGGTGAGGAGGCCGTCTTCTTCGTTGCGCATACCGCCGTGGGTCGGAGGGATGTCGGCGTAAGCGAGGCGTGCTTCTTCGTGCTTAAGGGCGGTCTTGAGCGTGAATTGGAAGATGAGGGTGAGTAGCAGGCAGAGGCACATTATCGCGAGCGGACCGGCAGCTTGAACGTTGTCGCCCGTGGCGATGGCGAAGAGACCAATAAGGCAGATTTCCGAAAGGTAGACACCAGTCATAAGCTGGCGGAGAGCCTTTTGGTACGCATCGCCCTTGGTGTCAAGGTCTGTCTCGTATACATAGAGGAAGTTGTACCTGAACGCAATGTAGACAAGAGTGAATCCAACCGTAGCGAAACCGAGGATAAGAGGTGCAATGCCGGAATAGGTAATAGCAATAACACCCAAGTTGATCCACTTCGGGAACTCAGAGCCCCATGATGGAGCGGAGAGCTTGGTGAGGTTCTGGAAGATCTTGCGGGGCGTTTTTCCAGGAAGTACACGTCCAAGGAGAACGACAACGACGAAGCCACCAATGTTGAGCAGGGTGCCAGCAGCCGAGGAAAGACCCAAGAGGATAAAGTAACTGATGTAAAAGTTGGAAGCCTTTGGTAGGTTGGTGGAGAGAAGAGTCAGGACGCTGCCAGGATTGTCAAGCACATCATTGATAACGGATGTGACGGCACCGGACAAAGTGGCAACAAGGAAAACCTGCACAACCTGGAATGCAAAGTACCAGTTCTGCGTCTTGAGCTCAATCTGGCTGTAAGTGACATAACCAGCCAATTTAGCCATGAGACGGCAAATAATGGGGACGAGGGACATGAGGACAGCAAGGAGGACTGCGGGCAATAAACCGGTAATTACACCGAGAATGACCTTGGGGATGTCCAGAATCCATTCAAGCCAAGTAAAGCGCTCGGCGAGGTAGTTGATGTTGGAAATAAGACCGACGAAAGCGACTGTATATGGTTAGCGAGGGGCAACGAACAAGTCATGATATTGCACATACCAGGAATTGCCCAAAAGATGATCATGACAGAAATGAAAGCAGTAGCAAGCGCCCATCGAACATAGTGCTCTGCAGGTTTGATGCGCAAGTTGCCCCACACGACCTCCTGGGGCATGACGCCGAGTTGCCGTGCCTGAAGGCTCTTATTGGGTCTGGTCTTCCTCGATTGCATCATCTGCCAGGCATCCTGTGCGAGTCTCTGAGTTTCGAATTCGATGAAAACAGCTCCAACGAGGTCGCCCTCGCCGTTCCAGTGCTTGTCCTGTTCGGCGGTGATCTTGGGAATGAGCTCGGCGAGATGAGAACGGCCGTATTCGATAGTGTCGACCTTCTTGCCAATCAAAAACTTGAGCTTGTGGGTTGGTCGCTTCTTGGGGTCAATCCATTTGGTGCCATCGCTCACATTCTCGGCGACAAAGTGCTTCTTGCCCTTCTCGGCCTTGAGTCTGTTCTGGTTGGCATTGGTCAGTAGCTCCACCTCGGCGTTTTCCAGCTTGGTGGCAGTGTCGTCACGGTCTTCGACCAGCTCGTCCAGCTCCTTGGTGTTCGAGGCAACCCAGGCGTGCTTGACACCGGGGAACATTTCGAACAGGGCGGACTGGGAAAGCGTCTTGGGTACATTGGTGAAGAGGATAGTGCGCGAAGACAAGCGACTGGCTCCCCATGGTGAGCGACGGTATGCTTGACGTAGGTTGACGACAAAGAAAGACTCGCGACCAATGATGACGAGGATCAAACCAAGGAAAATAAAGGAAATGCCGGCCTGAGCATAGTAACGGTTGACATTTGTGCCCTTGGGATCAATGTTACTCATGGAGAGAAGATCCAGTTGCTTCTGGCCCGCACCACCAGTGGCATTGACGGGGAACAAGACGGGCCATGTGATTAGACATCCGAGAAAACTGGTGGCGATGAGGATCTTGAAGAAGCGAACGAAGAGATAGCCGTCAATGGACTGGTGGTCGAGGATGTATTCATCTTTGAGGTTCTTGAAATCTTTGAGCCAGCCAAATAAGCCGGGGCTGGGGGCTGGCGTCTGGCGCTGCTTGCCCAGATGGTTGAGGTACGTCCTGGGTGCATAGACCCTACGGAAATATTTGCGGGCAACGAAGAAAGCAGCGGTAAAGGCAAAGGCGATAATGGAGGCGGGGATCAGTGTCGACACAAAGCTGGACACGGAGCTGTTGGACTCTTCTTTGGCCTTGCCAATTTCACCACCCTATTTTTGGTACAATTAGCGCGCTGCATAGTGACTGGCGTCGTGGTGGTAAAACGTACGGTGGAGGACATTGTGGGCGATTGCGATGCGACAATGGCACGCGCCCTCGAGGATGAAGGGAGATGCACAAGAGTAAGATGTGCGGTGGAGAAACGAATGTACTATGTAGTATTGCGCCGTATCTATGTCGGAGAGAGGGTTCCCCTGCACGGGAGACAAATAAACAGGATTGGCAGACGCGCCTAGTGTGACGTCGTGGCCCTTGCGGCCACTACAGCTTTCGGTCCTTTAGCGCGACACAAGCCTGAGCGCCAACCGCTCAGCTTCTGCTCGTTGCTGCCCCTCTGCCGACCATCTGGACCCTGAGAGAGCTCTTCTACGCGCCCTTCTCAGCCTCAACTGACGACTGCTTCCATCCCTTACCCTGTCGCCCTGTCGCCATGGATGCGTCTGGGGCAACACTACGACAGGGGGCAGGCATGCGAGTGGGCTGTGCGGAACTGCTTGCAGATTTGTCTTTTCTTCTTCGTACCGATTCACCGCTGTGATGCGCGACAAGGGCACAAGGGAATTACCGAAGCGGCGCAAATGCAGAACGGTAATTCGTGACGTGCCCCATCAGATCCAGTCGACGGAACATTGCCAAGCGAAAGCGATGCTGGCGATCGCACTGAAAGTGGTGCAAATGTTACGTCAATCTGCCCGCATTTCGCAGCACAAAGCGAGGCTGGGCGAACGGCCAGGCTAGCACGACGGCATGAAAAAACACAAATCTCTCCCGTGTGCTGTCAACTGCGAGACCGCCACTGTGCTCCTTGACCACCTCTATTTCCCAATAGGCGTCTGGATTCAGTCAGATTGACACGCAGCGCCCACTGCGGGCGGGAAGGACTGCAATGTCCCACCACCCCCCCCTTGCCGAAAATCGCCAATCTAGATCGTCCGCCACGACGCCGTCTGACATCTTTCACAATTTAAATCTCAGATGCATTCGATCTCTCCACCACTCACATGCAAGCGTTCGTGCTACTGCATCTGTAATAGTCTTTCGAGATGGAGGTGTCATTTAGAGTTTGAACTTTTCAGCTCGTGACCCCTTGTTCACACACGCAGGTTGTCGTGGCGCAGGCCATGTGGCACATGCAGCCTTTTATTGTATTCGCACAGCCACATGTTTGTCAAGCATTCTCCGCGGCAGATGGAGCAACGATGACCGTTTTCTTGCTAGAACGGCATCACAAGACCCAAACTCTACATTGGGAAATCGCCTCCTTCAGCTGCACCTATGAGGCATTTCAGTATCCACGCTATATTTACTAGACTCCACCTTCACCGCAATTGCTCCAGTCACCTAGTTACCAACTATGCGCCAACAAAACCGACTACCCCCTACGCTATCTCTGGTTAGCAGTGAACGCGCGTAGGTTGTCGATATTGGTTTGTCAGTCTCAACGTACATGGAGGACGCACACAGTATCTTCAGCTCCTTGATCCATCTCCCGGTCCGTAGATAGTCGGTAATGCTTTGGATCGAGAAAGTAAAGTCCAATCACACCGTCTGGCTCCGCCAGGAATATGTCCGCCCTATTACGAAACTCGAAAACATATCTCGCCGTCACTATGTGCCGTGGTTCACTTACCGCAATATGTTTCCTGACCGAACCCAACACGATACAATCATTTACAAGATGTCTCCAAAGACAAGAAAAGGCAGACGTTAGAAACTACTGTAAAAATGAGAATGGCAACTGCATTCAATCTGGTCCATCTATCTAAACAGCCTCCCACCCTTCCTACCTAATACAATCAATCTCAACCCCATCCAGCTCTGAATCTTAGCATTCATATGAACCCTATCAAATCGGTTTCATATCATCAATCGTAACATCATTCAAATAACCTGTCACTCCCGTGTTCGTCGCCGCACCAACATGCGTAAACCACACCGTCGTACAATCATTCAGCGGCACTTCTTAATTATCCAGTGTTTAATCTTCAATAATCCATTCTGCATCCACGTCCTCCAACAACTAAAATCTAGAAGGGACCGTCAAATCCTTGCGGACCTACTTGCCAGTGGTAACCTTGGTGATGATGACGGACCAATTAGAGAACCGTATAATGAGTATATTGACTTGGCTTATGTCACCTCGCTGCGCAATAAAGTCCCAGAATAAGACACAGTCTTTGGGATACTAGGCGTACCACGCATTCGTGTCTATGCCGCCTGGGAGTATGGACCCAGAAAACCACATCCCAAATCCAAGTACAAACGGTATGACGTATCTTCCTTGGCTCTCTAAAGTATCTTGGAAAGTATATGGTTAGGTCATGTCCTCATTCAAAGACAAAATCTTGTGCGCGTCATCATGACGGGAGAGTATCTATCGTCAGTTCCAGAGTCAAGATCTGGAACGCGCATGTACGACTGAGAGTTACTATGTATTCTAATGGCTAACCTTGGTTGTAATGGAAAAAGGGATAGCGTTGAGAGAATCGTAGCGCACATTCTACTTTTCCTCCGTGAAAATAGTCGGCAGCAATCAGATCAAGCAATGGTAGAGAACAAGTTTTGTTTTATTAATTGTTGAACAGCTAGAGATGGGATTAAATCTTTTGATTCAAATTTCCTACAAATTTGGTTGCACGACTGATTAGTTTCGATCAAGGCACGTGATAGCAATAAAAGATGTACAGGTGCAGTATTCAGTCACGTGACCATACCTCAAGCTCTCCATGTCCCTTTATCCGTTGTCTACTGTGTACTAGAACATACCTAACAAATACCAACTAGGTAGTCGGAGCGTGCCAGTAAATACAGTATTTTGTCCTCAGGTAGAAAATAGAGAAGCTATTCAGTAAGACGCTACTTTTCAAGTTACGTGACAGAAAGTTTCCATCAACCTTGAACAAAAAAACCGACAAATTTTGATAAGATGGGATCAGGAAAGGAAGAGCCAGAGTAAATGACTTTGGTTAGAGGGTACTTGTACATATAAGACCAGTCTGTCAAAACAAGCACGACATATTCAGCAAGAAGTAACAATCGAGTATTAAGATTCAGGACAGGCATGATTAACAAGCCCTATTAAACCATCAACCCCGTTCTCCCTAACCCCCAATACCAACAAGTCTCACTACCCCCTTCTATTCTTTTTTGCAAGAACCCCCCCAATCCCTATCCCCCACCCTCAAGGAGCACCAAATCCAAACCCATTCAAGCAAATAAACATCTACCCACGCGACAAACACCCACCCCATCCCAACCAAACAAAGTCAGCACCAACAAGCCAGTACATACCTACCCAACATCTACCCCATAGAAATCCGTACAGACAGCCCCCCATCCTACCAAAAAAAAAGCGCCAAGCATGAAACAAGCATTCTGCAAGAACAGCCAAGCAATGAATACGAGAAAAAGAAAAGGACGAGGGTAGGGACCGGGGGATGTGGTGTACATCAACCTCCACCTCTCTTCATGTACACATACAAGCGAATTCTATATTCCGATTAAAAATTGCAGAATAGCTGCATTTCCGTACATTCATTCTGTGAATGTAAGAGAATAAGAGGATGTGGGGGAAGTAAAAGAGTGCTGGAGTTCTGCATGTTAACGGGTCTGAGAGGGAACAAAGGGGATGTGCGCCTTTTGTACCACGGTATGCGTTATTGAAGTGATTGATGTATGTAGCAGTAATTACAAACCTTAACTCTTTCAACGATACGAAAATAGAATGGAAGAAGGAGGGGGGTGGGGTGGGGTGGTTATGCCATGGCGTTTATACCAGCTGTAGCAACGAAGCGGGAGTTATGCTGAGATGACGTGAGATGTGAGATGTCTGGGACAGAAAAAGAGAGAAGGGAAATCAATGGACGATACGAGATGCGGGTGGCGTTTCATAATGTCAAGTGGGGGAGTTACGAGGATACGAGCGGGCGTATTCTCGAAAACGAAGTCACCAACGCCTCGTTCCAAGTTATTCATTTCACAACACGTAGCACAATATTCACAAGAGGATCAAATGAGTCAAGACAACTGATATATCCATTCGTCATGAGGATAGTATATATATATACATATTGCAAAGAATAGGACAGCCGATCTAGCAGCTAACCGAAAAAATTGTTGAACAAGAAAGTTAGGAGGGAGACGTTCATATCTAGAGAAGCAAAAAGCGTCATTCTCGAGAACAAACACATGGACGTTCCAAACACCATTTTTTGTTGCAATGCCTAGGCCATTAAAAAAAAGACCAAAGAAACATGTGCAAGAAAAGTCAACCGCTTAGTTGAAAGCACGGGCGTGGCGGCGAGCCTTGGAGGAGGCGGAGCCAGCGGTGGTCTGGAGCCACTGGATGAACTGGTTGATGGTGAAGGTCTTGGGGAGGGCAGAGCCGTTGTTGCCAGTGGAAGGGGTGGTGTTCTCAGCAGGCTTGGAGGTGGCGGGCTGAGCGGCCTCGACGGGAGATGGCGAGGGGGTGGAGGGAGCGGAGCCGTTGGAAGGAGTGGTGGGAGTGGTGGAAGGAGCGCTGCCGGAAGAGGCACCGTCCCAGACCTGGGGACCAGGGACAGTGTACGAGGTGAAGGAGTTGTAGATGTCGAATTTGACACCGGGGTCGGTGGCCTTGTAAGCCTTGGTCATGTCGACACCAGTGGCAGGGAGGGAAGCAGTTCCGCTGCCGGTGACGGTGATCTGACCGCATCCGTTGTAGAACTGGGCCTTGCCGAGGGCTGAAGCCTCGTGGAGACCAATGAGCTCGGGGCGGATCCAGTACTTGCCAGGCTTCACGTTGGGAAGCTTGATCGAGATCAAACCCTTGTTGTCGTAGAACCTGTCAACACCGAACTTGCCATCCTTGAAACCATCCTCCCAGATCTTGGTCCAGACGTTGCCGATACCGTTGGTGGAAGCCTCAGCCATGTAGACCATGACGGGACCCTTGTGGGAGGGAGCAATGGGCTCATCCTTGTCGTTGGGGTTGGGTCCCTTGTTGTGGTGCCACTGCATGCCGATGGTGGAGCCAGCAGCAACCTCGACCTGGTCAGCGGTGGGCTTACCGCCGTTGCAAATCATGGCAGTGGAGGTGACATCGAGAATGGGGTTGTTGCCGTTGGAGGGCTCCTGAACAGCAAAGCCCGAACCCATGTCCTTGCCGCCAATGACGAAGCTTTGGAAAGTAGCGTGCGAGGCAGCGAGGTTGGCAATAGCCAGGATGACAGCGGACTTGGCGAACATGGTGATGGTTGGTATGTGGAAGTTGGTTGGTTTGAAAAAAGTCGAGAAGATGTTCAAAAGATAGAATGTCAAAGAACGAAAGGCAGACGAACGAATCGAAAGATGATGGATGCGAAAGAGTGTATGAAAGTGAGTGTCAGCTTCAAGCTTGATGCCCTTCAACTGGGAGATGCCATGGGCACTTCTTATACTCGGGGCACCAACACGGCGCATTCACAAGCTTCGCGGGATTAGGGCTACTAACTGACGGAGTAAACGCCATGAAACTACTGAACCCGGGTCTGTGGATAGGTGCCAAGCATCTGTCAATCTATCCCGCGTCGCACTAGAGCTACAAGCGGAAGGGCAGCCTCGCTTAGTTGCTGCAGAACGTGGAAAAAAGTATTGTTTGATCCCAGGCCCCATAATAATGTGTGATGGGTCATTTCGCTTTGAATCGTACGCCTGGGAGCCGCCTGCATGAAAAGCTGACTGTAGTATGGCGGGAAGCGTTGGATAACGCTTGAACCCACTCCAACCGTTCAATGCTAAGGCATCATGCCTCGGCGTTTGGCGAAACAATGGAACCGCCGAAAAAACAGTTTCAGTTCATGCTTCTCCGCACAGCTGACAGATGTTTTTGGAGTCGGTATGTTTGCCTAACTATGTGAACTATTGCCCTTGACAAGCAGACATTCAGGCTCTCCTTGTGCCAGCGGTGTGCCCTCGAGTCAGACAGGCATTGTGCTTGCTTCTCCTGCTTGGTTCCACTCGCGGGTTTACGCGAAATAGCGCTCATTTCGAGACCGTACGCCTTTTCTTCTAGAATCCGCCCTGCGAATGTGCCTACGGCATACAGTGGGGGGCGACTCATCCAGTGTCCACTCCCAGCGCTCTGACATGAAACGGCATACAAGCGGGGCTGATTACAGGTTGGTGCCTGCCAAGACTAAGGCGATGTTTCAAGCCACCCGAGGCCAGGCTCGTCAGCAAGTAGTCCAAATTCGGTCAGTCATGTCCGATCTGTGACGTTGTGGTTGTTTCGGGTTGACAGACTTTACAGCCACCGGCTATGTGGTTGTGAAAGGGAGCCGCAATTATGCTGTCTATCGCCTGACCTGGGAAACGGAGCTCTCGACGCTTGACGCCTGAGATAACGAGGCGCTTACGCCTTGAAGTATTCGATTGGTGTATATCGCTCTTGGGCTTTGCGGCCGTTGGTGGAAGGAACAGCAACGCATTGACGCCCAGGTCAGTAAAGTGTACGCCAACGGCAATGCCGCCGCCGTAGTTGCTCGCCTTTCACCGCTGAACACCCAACTTCCGTTCCAACTTGGGGTCCTTCAGCTTTTAAATACTCGCGCGATTCCTAGAAACCTGCTCAATCCCCCTCACTGAACCTCTCTCGCCGCGACCGGGCGACTGGGCTGGACCAATGAGGTGATCCTAGGTGCGCTTGTACGGAACAAACCTGCATGCTGATATTCCATATTTTTGTATACATACATTATTGTTTCCCTAAATAAGTCATCACGAGCCTCGGCGGCAGTTCTGCCGTCAGAAGACGCAGTTCAAGCACCTTGGTTGCACACCGTGTGCTTGGCTCAGACCAATACAGAATACATGAGAGTAATAAAGGTAATCGAGATTGACAACCGGCTGCTCAATCTCGACGCTGCACCTTTTCGACTTGTCGCTGTTGCCTGTCCATCAAAGGTCCTTGCGCTTGCGCTTAATCCAGAAGTGGTGGTGATGTGCTGGCTTTGAGTCGTGGTAGCCGGAAACAATGCCGTTGTGGTACTGCGACCTGAACTGCCATATATTAATTCTGTCGCACCAATGGCCAAGCTTATCGTGGTCCTATCAACAGTAATGGTTCCACCAGGGGTCAAAGTTTCCCCTCCTATTATAAATACTGTGCCGCCACCGGACACTGCCGTATACGTTTCTGCACCGATAGTGAGCAGAGGCGGGTTTGTGATTACAGGTTGGGCCGGAGGTAAGATGGAGCTTGTCTGTCCATTGACAACCAGCGCTGTAGCTCCAGAGGCCAGTGAAATGGTTGTTCCAGATGTGACTATTGAACCGCCAGCACTGAGCAAAATTGACCCAATTAGATACGCAGTCGCAGTCCCAGGCAATGGTCTGAACGTCACATCGCCTATTGTCAGGGGTGGCGCACTGACATGCGAGGGAGCGGCGTCAATCAGTGTCGATGTCACGTCGTTTATCACAACGAAAGAGGCAGATGATGCTAGTGACAACGTAGTGCCAGAGACTGTTATTGCTGGACCTCCAGGAATCAGAGTCTTGTCAGCAACTACAAATACTGGCTCTGAAGGCTTCTGGAGGGCACTGAATACCTCGTTACCAATGGTGATGGCGGGTGGTGACGAGGCTGCCCCAGTCTGGGCTTTTATGGTCGAGGACCCCCCATTGACAACCAACACACTTCCAGAAGGGTCCAAAGAAAGTGTAGTTCCAGAGAGAGTCACAGCTGCTCCGCCAGGAAGTAACGTCTGTTCAGATACAACAAATGTAGGGGCTGTGTCAGGCCTGACTTGAGTAGGTTGTGCTACTATTGTTGAGTCACCAACGACAAATTGAGGCACTCTGGTTGTGATTGGTAACGGCGCAGAGCCTGTAGGCAAAATTTGGGTAGAGCCACCAACGACAACAAAGGAAGCCGAGGGTGCAAGACTAACAATTGTACCATCGACAGTTGCGACACCGCCTGGGGTCAAAGTTTGACCTGGGGCAATGAAGAATTGGGTAGCGGCGTTTGGTGTTAGTGTAGATGGTCCAATTGTCAACACTGGTGGTGCAGGCGACGGAAAGATTTGAGGTAGTGGACTTGTCTTATCGCCCACAAAGATAGCGGTAGGCGAGGGTGCTAGAGAAACAGGCGTCCCATCTCCAACGTTAATGGCAGGGCCTCCTGGCTGCAGTGTTTGTGAACCGACTACAACTTCGGAGGAAGGGCCGATTATGATGGGATTTGTTCCAATCGAGCCCACAGTAACTGATGCGTGCCCACGAACTTGTGCCGCAGAAGCTAGATTAGGAACATTATTGGCCATTAAACTGTCATCCGTGGGTTTAGTACTAGTGCCCGGAATATCCCAGTCAGCGACTGTGAGTGGAACAACCCCTGGAGTTGTGTCATGGCCATTCATGAGAACAGGTGGCTCGTCGAATCCAATGACTGATGACTCCAAGTGACTGAAGAGAGGACCCTGATTCGGCCTATTTAGGTAGTACAGATTGACAACAATGAGAACAGTTACGGTAGCCTGGAGCTGTCCAGCGTGGCATCCTGAATATGGTGTTTGGTCCAGGAAACCTTCCGGTAGAGGACCATTGGCAGTATCCTTTTCCTCAAGGTTTTCGAGCTTGTAAGGATAGGCTTGCGCAAGCGGAAGCTGTACTGTTTTTGTTTCATTGCCAGTCTCAACCTCATAGGCAGTGAAGTAGACAAAAGGCGTTGCAGATGTCTCAGACTGTGTAACATTTGGTGCAAGCGTTACAACGGCCGTGGCCGATGCAAACAAATCTGGATTGTACACATCGTATGATGGAGCATCTTCGAGAGGGATGACACCTCCTGGTGGAAACGGCGCATATCCTTCTGACCGGTAGATGACGGATGTTGCAGCAGCACTGGGTCTTACTGTATATTCCTCGCACATTGTCAAGGTAAAGTCGAAGTCGGAAATATATGACTCTGTGGAAGTACATGCGAAATCCGACGACAGTGCACTGGTTACGTCAAAGGTGGCGGTCGGAGGTACAAGTGTCAATGACTGAGAATTTGAAAAATTCAGTACTGAAGTTTCCATTGTTCCAATTGGATAACTGTAGGTCGGCATGAACCAGTAGTCGAGGCTTGCACCGTATATATTGATTGTACATGCTGCGCTTGAATTGACAGTAGAGGGACTTGCGGTGCCATTGTGAAATACGGAGGGTAGTTGTGAAGTCGCAGCTAGTATGTGACCAGAAGACGATAATGCGATATTTGAAGGGACAGATAGAATCTGTGGATCAGGAGTGACCATGTCGGTGGGTCGCAAGATGCCATGATTTGTAGATATTCCTGTAGCGAGGCCGTCGGCGCTGTGCGGCCCAGTTTCCTTTGGAGTGATCAGAGAGGCGCTTGCGGGCGGTGTTTGAGTAGGCAGCGATAGGGCAGGTATAGAGGTTGTGTTGAGGTATGGGGCTTGATGGCTTCGTCAGCATGCAGCGATGTTGAGCCCCAAGGCACAAAGATATTGTTATTACCACGACGATTGAATACAGCTCCTGCAGCAAATGGAGCCAAGTAGAACGTTACAAGCGAGAGATATGAAGACATGTCGGTGACAAAGTGGTGGCCACGCAGGCACTCTATGGGCAGCGAACGTCGTGACGTTTAAGTCGTCCCGGAAAAATGGTAGACATTCGAGGGTGCAGGAACAATCTGGGTGAGCGGGTGCAGGGCATTTTGGGCCTATCAGCTGGCGCATTCAAGCGACGGTTCCGAGGAACGACGTGCAGAAGGGAGCTAGACAGAGCGAAGTCCGATATTGGCTTTTCAGTTCTTTTGCCGTCCAGATTCACAATGAGCCAGTTGGACGAGCCTGGCCGTGCACAACAGGCAACCGGTGACCAATCAACGACATAGGCTTGCTGGCATGGCATGGCGTGTCCGGCCGGGTTGACGTTTGAGTACGGCTGGCGTGCAGGATCAGGCGTCCAGCCATTTGGTGGATCAGCGTGAACGGTTCCTTGGATGTGTTGTATACGAGTCAGAGAGGTGTGGCTCAATCTGGGGCTTGCACTATGGCACAGAGATGGTTTGATGGGTGTCGCATGTGGCACGATGTTGGACGGATTGGATTGATGGTGATGGTGATGGTGATGGTGATGGTCGTCGACATGTGTCTTGAGGCGGTGGCGGGGATGAGGTGGCAGGGGTGGAGAGAGCAGGGCAGGTGCAGAGCTGAAAGTACACTATAGACAGTCGCAAGACAGGACATGGTGCTTGAATGCCTGCCATCTTGGGGGGAGTATGCCGATCCCATGGCGGTTTGGGCGCAAGCGTATCGGACTGCAGCTCGGAAAAAGGATCGAGTGGGTGCGTGCGGCGATCAAGGGATCCAGAATGCGCCGCCAGCGGCCTGCAACGTCGGCGGGTGGCTGTCTAGCAGCAGTCTCGTGCTCTGCATTACGCATCCCTCTGCAGTGTCAAGGCGGCGTTTGTAGAGTACTTACTTACACCTTGGTGGAGGCGTATGTAGGCGTATGCTTGGGTATATTGGTACACATGGAGGTGTACTCAAGTGAGGTGTAGAGTATAGTAGGCCCGACGCCACCACCCCCAGATTGCGTGCAGTAAGTAGGATGAGGGGGGACGGGGCGTCGAATGCCTCCCGGCTGGCCCTTGTTCCGCCCACGGCACTCATCTACCTTTCATCTACGGCGCTGCACACAAATGCCGGCTGTAGCCTGTCTGTCCCAGCCAATGCCGTCGTCGCCGTCGTCGTCGCATTGCAAGCTGCGAGGAATGGGGTGGAAGGCCGCTGTTGCCCAGCCATGCATGGCGGCGATGGCGGCGGCAAAGGGGCAAAGCGGACTAGAGCGTGCTTCGAAGCCTGGGTATCTCGGCTCAGATTCCCCAGGGTCCTGCCAATCTGCATCAACACTACTCCGTAACTCTCTCTTTTGCCCGGCTGTCTCTCCGTTGCCTCTTCTTCCTCCTCTCCATTCCTTCGTGACGCCACTGGGCACAAGCAATGTCGCTCAGTGATGCTGTGCCCTGCAAATCATCGTGGTTGAGTGGCCTTTGTTGCCCCCTTGGACAAGCCGCCTCGTAGTACGCTTCTTAGACACGGATCATGGTTGCTTCGCTGAGCCGTCGCGGCTTCATCTCGACAATATGCCTTCTCCTCGCCGCCACGCTACTGCTGCCCGGTCTCGCCGCCGGCTATGAACAGCAAAACATCACCGAAACCCCCAACTACAAACTACTCCCTGGTGTCGCGTCGGTCCCAGCGCCCCTCTCTGTTGCGCCCGCCCAGGACTGGATGGGAATTGACGGCGCATGGAACACGTTCTTCCTGCGCATAGGCGACCCTGGCCAACCCGTGCGAGTCCTGGTTTCCACCGCCAGCCAGCAGATCTGGGCTGTCAATTCCCTCGCTTGCATCGTCAACGTCACCGATCCCACCACGGGCAACATTACCGCATTCAACGTCCTGAATCAAGACTGCCAGGAAAGTCGTGGCGCCTTGTACAACACCACTCTTTCCAAGACCTGGCAAGAGAAGGGGTACTACCAACTATGGATTGAAAGAAACCTAGGCCTCACAGGCAATGGCCAGTATGGCTTTGACTCGGTCGAACTGGGAATGAGGGGCGATGCAGGCCCGCCCGTCGCCAATACAACAATCGGCACATTGGTCACATCAAACTTCTGGCTCGGCCACATTGGCGTGCATACGAAACCCACAAACTTTTCTGCCTTTGAAGATCCTGTTCCAAGTTACATCATGGATCTCTTCCACCAAAAAAGTATCCCCAGTTTGTCATTTGGCTACACAGCTGGCGCCCAGTACCGTAGGCCTACCCCCCGCTCGCAAGTCGACCATCACTGACACGTACCTGCAGGCGATCAAACCATTCTTGGGAGCCTTACGCTTGGCGGGTACGATGCTTCTCGCCTTATCCCCAATGACCTCACCTTTATCTTTGCCCCAGACAACGAGCGTGAGCTGGTTGTCGGTCTGCTTGGTTTGACTGCCAATACTGCAAGCCAGAAAGACATTGATCTCTTAAGGGGCGACAACGTCACCCTGTTCATTGACTCGACTGTCGCAGAGCTCTACCTCCCTGTTGAGATTTGCAAAGCCTTTGAAGATACGTTTGGACTGCGCTATAACGAGACCACCGATCTCTATCTCGTGGATGATGCTCTTCACCAAACCCTCTTGTCACAAAACCCTAGCGTGACCTTCACCCTTGGACAACAGTTTAGCAGCCGTGCGACTGTGCAAATTACCCTGCCTTATGCCGCCTTCGACCTAGAGGCATCCGCACCCTATAGGGGACTGCAAGAAAAGACAAAATACTTTCCTATTCGACGAGCCAATGTGTCGGACAACTGGGTACTGGGGAGAACTTTTTTGCAAGAGGCGTACTTGACGGTGGACTGGGAGCGCCAGAATTTCACGGTATCCGCTGTCGACTGGACTTTTGGAAAGGCACCACAGATACTCCCAATTGTCTCACCTGCCTACTCGGTTGTTCGGTCCAAGACCTCTCCAAGCAAGCCCCTGTCCCCAACCGCAGTCATTGGCCTTGCAGTAGGAGGAGGGTTTTTCTTTGCCTTGATCATGTGCGCCGTTGGGTTGTGGTTTTGGCGTCGACGCAATCAACGAAGACTGAAGGCGATTGAGGCGAAATATCAAGCCCAAGTTGCAGAAGCTGCCAAGAATGTAGAGGGACCTTCGGCTTTAGCAACACGTAGCAGCACAGAGGGAAGGACGGCTATTTCAATGGCCGAATTATCCAGTGATACCCCTGATAATAATCATCAAACTGGTTCGAACACGCAAGAGAAGGGCCTGATGATGGTTAGTGAAGCCGATGGCGCAGAAAGACAAATCTACGAGATGCCTGGCGACATACCGGTCCGCCAGGAAGCCGACGGGCGCCAGCTATCAGAGAAAGAGTCCATGGTAATACGCGAAAGGATATATAACGGAGTGGATCCGAGTGGAGCACCAGATGTGGCGCAGGAACCTCGACAGAGACTTGCACCCATCTCTCCTTCCGAGGTTTCCATGGTGAGCAGTCAGCTCCCACCCGGGAACGTGTCGCCCACTACCCCGCGAACGCCACGCGACGGTGCTCTCTTGGAGACTCCGAATCCATTTCTGCATCCGCCGCCATACCGCCCACGCGACGGCAGGCGCACGGGGACAGATGAGGCACCCATCTCGCCGTTGGAAGATTCAACGGAGGCGTCCCGGCGGCGGTTTTCTTACGAATCATGAGCTGCAAAAGCTGAGCATTTAGCGACAAAAAACGCACATCTATACATGACGACAGGAGTTTTTTTTTGTTTGGCACACTTGGTTGGGCATTTCTCAATTAGTGGTACGCGATGCGGATACTGCCAGGGAAACGGTGTTTGGGGCTACGGGGCATACTTGATACCTGCGTGATTCGGGCATGCGAATGCGGAACACGCACATGGATGGAGGGAGGATATTTGAAGGTGGCTGACAAGGCAAGACTGCCGGTGAATTGGTGCTGTGTCTATATATACCCTTTGTTGTCTTGTTTTATTTTTTTATGTAGTAATGCCATAGGATGCGCGAGGCCTACGCGCTTACGTACCAAAGCCGCCCATGCCGCTCCCGCACCTCGGCCCAGGAAGCAGGGCAGGGCCCAAGTGGGTTTATGTGCAGCCACAGCAAGACGGCAACGGGAGCTGGATGTAGCGGCCCACAGTGCTGATTACACAGAGTCTTACTGTAGGGCAGTGCGGATGCAGCGGTCTGAGCAGCATGGCCATGTGCTGCGCCTTGCCTGTTGCAGGCAGGCTGAACCCCTCGTCAGCGCTGCGACTGGAGACCAACCCCACCAAGCCGTTACGGAGAAGGCGAAGGGGGGCACAGCACGATCGCTTTTCTGCCTTGCCGCATCCTCAATCGCCTTCCGCATACTTCAACTTTCCCGGTGAAGAGCCTGCGCCCTCGTTCAGCGTTCCACCGCCTGCACACTCGCCACAGCCGCCGCCCCGCTTTGTTCGCAGCAGCAGCACTCCTGTCATCACATTGGCCGCGCGCCTAGCCTTGGGCCATATCTTCTGCCTGCCGCCTGCCATTCTGCCTACTTTGTGTTCCAACTTCTGCATCCACCTCGAGCGCGCCATCTCCTTTACTCTCCCCTAAACTCTCCACCTACCGCCATCATGGGCGACCTGGCCAACCGCAAAGTGTTCAAGGTACGCACATGTCTCCACCATGCCGCCCCTCGGGATCTGTACTCACGCCTTCCAGGTCTTCAACCAAGAGTTCATTGTCGACGAGCGCTACAATGTAACAAAAGAACTCGGACAAGGTGCCTACGGCATCGTATGGTGCGACGACAGCGACGCCGCCCTACTCCATCCATGCTGATTGTGACCTGCAGTGCGGCTACCAACAACCAGACGGGCGAGGGCGTAGCCATCAAGAAGGTCACCAATGTCTTCAGCAAGAAGATCCTTGCCAAGCGTGCCCTGCGCGAGATCAAGCTGCTCCAACACTTCAGAGGTACAGTGACTACACCCGTCCCAGCTGACAATGCTAACTTCTTGCAGGACATCGCAACGTAAGACAACCCCACTTCAGCACACGCGCCTCTCCCCATATCCTCTCGATACGATACTAAGCCTTGTCGCACAGATAACATGTCTCTACGATATGGACATTCCTCGCCCTGATAACTTCAACGAGTGCTACCTCTATGAGGGTACGGCATACTTACTCTTACCTCCCCCCTTGTAAGACGGTGCTGATATTGGTGCAGAGCTCATGGAATGCGACCTGGCAGCCATCATCCGATCCGGCCAGCCCTTGACTGACGCTCACTTCCAATCCTTCATCTACCAAATCCTATGCGGTCTCAAGTACATCCACTCGGCAAATGTCCTGCACCGAGACCTGAAGCCCGGTAACCTGCTTGTCAATGCCGACTGTGAACTCAAGATTTGCGATTTTGGACTGGCAAGAGGATTCTCCATGGACCCTGAAGAGAACGCAGGCTACATGACCGAGTATGTCGCTACCCGATGGTACAGAGCCCCTGAAATCATGTTGAGCTTCCAGAGCTACACAAAAGCCAGTAAGTCTTTGCATGCACGCCCCACATAACTACCCCACACTTTGAAAGTAAGCTAATTCTGGCTAGTTGATGTGTGGTCTGTAGGGTGCATTCTCGCTGAGCTGCTTGGAGGTAAGCCCTTCTTCAAGGGCCGAGACTACGTCGACCAGCTCAACCAGATTCTGCACTACCTCGGAACACCAAACGAAGAAACCCTGTCGCGAATAGGGTCCCCTCGTGCACAGGACTATGTCCGAAATCTGCCATATATGCAGAAGATGTCATTCCAATCTCTCTTCAAGAACGCAAACCCCGATGCGCTTGACCTGCTAGACCGCATGCTTGCTTTCGACCCATCTAGCCGCATTTCAGTTGAGGAGGCCCTGGAGCACAGGTACCTGCAAATCTGGCATGACGCATCCGATGAGCCTTCATGCCCAACGACTTTTGACTTCCAGTTTGAGGTCGTCGAGGAAATTCCAGAGATGAAGAAGATGATTTTGGATGAGGTCAGCCGTTTCCGCCAGATGGTTCGCGTACAGCCCGGTGCAGGCGCCGGTGCAGCCCAGGCCCCTCAGGTCCCGATACCCAACAACTACGACCGTACAGGATATGAGGAGCCAAGGCCACAGGAGGCATTTAACCAGGGTGGGTGGAATGGCAGTGATCTCGAGCGCGATCTTCAAGGACTGGACGGCCGAATGCGATAGTTAAAGTCGGATTAAGTATCATTGGGTGCAAAAGATTTTCTCGGTGGCTCAAGCGTGTAAATGTGGGAACAGTTTGGGTACATCCGGCCCTTGTGTAATTTCTTGTGATATGCAACCTTTCATTCCTTCACACATGAGTTCCAAATACACTGTAATTCTCTAGGCGACTCTTCTGTCAGCTCATAATCGGGTCTTACCAAATCTCAGCAACCAGATTTCGTTTGTATCAAAGGAATCCTATGAACAGTCACGGATGAGTGCTATGCTGTAGATAATTGCCTATGAATGACTAATTCAAATACTCAGTGGCTGTTGATGCTGAGCCAAACGTGAAATCAGTTCGCGTCGGATATGGTCCGTGCACATACCAGGGTCCTCTAGCGCAGTAACTTTTTCGGTTCTGAGAACTTTTGGCCTTGCGCTCCAAGTCGAACTTTTTTTCGTGTCCTTCTACCACATTTCGGACAACGCACGAATTGACGATTTCCACAATGTCGCCCGCCACGGTCGAGTCGAGTAACAAGAGGAAGCGATCTCACAAGAGCAAGAAGAGCGCAGAAGCAGCAGCGGCACCGGCGCATAATGGCGTAGAGAAGGCGCGCAAGAAGGCACGCAAGGCCAAGGAAGTCGAAGCTGTTGTGGAAGAGCCGGCTACTGCAGATGCTTCCGCACAGGAAGACAGCGATGAAGAGGACGTCGAAAACCAAACTGAATCTAACAAGGACACTGCGGAGGCGACTGCTTCAAATGAGGCCGACGATAATGACGACAGCCAGCTTGCGGATTTGCCCTCTGGCACTGGCAGCAACGCTCTCGATCTGCCCTCCGGTACCACAATGCCGACGCCAAACCCAGTGCGTTTCGAAGAGCTCAATCTCTCTGAGCGTACAATGAGCGCAATCAAGGAAATGGGCTTTGAGAAGATGACGGAGATCCAACAAAAAACAATCCCACCACTACTGTCGGGCAGGGATGTGCTCGGTGCTGCCAAGACGGGCAGTGGAAAGACGCTTGCTTTTCTCATACCAGCCATCGAGATGCTCTCGCAGTTGCGATTTAAGCCTCGCAATGGTACAGGTGTGATTGTAGTGAGCCCAACGCGAGAATTGGCACTTCAGATCTTTGGCGTAGCACGCGAGCTCATGTCGAACCACAGCCAGACGTTTGGTATTCTGATTGGCGGTGCGAACAGGAGCGCTGAGGCGGAAAAGCTGCGCAAGGGATTGAACCTTATTATCGCCACACCCGGAAGACTTCTGGACCACCTCCACAATACCCAGGGTTTTGTCTTCAAGAACTTGCGTTCGTTGATTATCGATGAAGCAGATCGTATTCTGGAAGTTGGATTCGAAGACGAAATGGTAGGGTTCTGCGCAAACCATGGTAGATGTAACATGTGCTAATTTGTCGACAGAGATCTATCATCAAGATTTTGCCAACCGAGCGTCAGACGATGCTGTTCTCCGCTACGCAAACGACAAAGGTCGAGGACCTTGCACGGATATCGCTCAAACCAGGTCCTCTATACATTAATGTCGACTACAGAGCAGAGCACAGCACAGTGCAAGGGTTGGAGCAGGGCTATGTCTTGTGTGATTCAGACACGAGATTTAGGTTGCTGTTCAGCTTCCTAAAGAAACGGTATGTAGCCATGACAATCTGTGTTTTTGCAAACTTTACTAACTGGGCGTAGTACGTACTCATTCTTGTGGAGAAGAAATTCTGCAGTCACCCAGGCCTGTACTAACACATGTGTGCAGATCAAAAGAAGAAAGTCATTGTGTTCCTGTCATCGTGTGCGTCGGTTGATTTCTACAGCGAACTTCTCAACTACATCGACTTACCAGTGCTCGGTTTACATGGCAAGCTCAAGCAGCAAGCACGCACCAACCGCTTTTTTGAGTTTGTGAATGCCCAGAGTGGTACGCTCATTTGTACCGATGTGGCAGCACGAGGTCTCGATATTCCCGAAGTCGATTGGGTGATTCAGTTTGATGTAGGTATTTTTTGACCGAGCAGGCTTGCGCAAGCTAACATTGTCAGCCTCCGGACGATCCTCGGGACTACATTCACCGAGTTGGACGAACAGCAAGAGGTGCCAATGGCAAAGGCAGGAGCTTGATGTTCTTGCTGCCGTCAGAGGTCGGCTTCTTGAAGTTGCTCAAGGAAAACCGGGTGCCGCTAGTTGAGGTAAGCAGTTGATGAAGCGAATGAAACCAGGCGGGTATTGACGTGTGACGCTAGTTTGAACTCCCTAGCAACAAGATTCTCAATATCCAAAGCCAACTTGAGGCGTTGATGTAAGTGTTTGCGCGGACTTTGTTACCACAGTGCAGAAGGGACTAATCATTGCACAGATCCAAGAATTACTACCTCAACAAGAGTGCCAAAGACGGTTATCGATCCTACCTGCAATCATATGCCAGCCACAGCTTACGTTCAGTGTTTGATGTGCACAAGCTAGATCTTGTCAAAGTGTAAGGCGACCCACAAATATTTTACTGGTCAGGCACTGACAGCGTGATGCAGGGCCAAGAGTTTTGGGTTCTCGACACCGCCACGCATCGACATCAGCCTCGGAGCGAGTTTGAGTCGCGACAAGAAGGTCGAAGGACGAAGAGCATACGGCAGCCAGCCACAACAGGCACGAAGACCAATGAAGCAAGGAAGGAGGTTTTGAGGGGATGAGAAAATAGAGAGAGAGAGAGGGCATTGACGGGAGTTTGGCGTACCAAAATACTATGCTGTGTGTGCACTGCTTTGGGGGGTCATAGCTGTACTTTGACTATTCAATGCCAACAATGAGACTGGTTCTGAGAAACGCTTGGGGTTCGTGTTCCTGGAGGTCATGCCGGGGCAGAGGGTGTGATAGGTGGACGTGGACTTGCAAGTAAGTATGCAGGTATACTAAGGACTGTATGAAACATGAGCTGCAGGTAGGGTGCATGGTGCAGTAGTCGCAGCAGCTGGGCATGGACTAAGCGATGACATGAATAAGGAGCTAGCGGGTTTGGTTGGGCAAAGGACAAATTTTCTCACGCTCGCAAACTGCCAGTTCACCGTGGCTTGTATGCACGAAGACGACATTGTTGTCCTGGATAGAGGACTTCTCCAACATGACTTGCTGAGAGGACGGGATGCCCCCCCCCCCCCCAGACAGCCCTACGCAGATGCCCAAGATGGGCAGATGGGACTGGGCCGGTATGGGTGATGCGCTGGCAAGTTGGGCAAGGGTGCGTTTCCAAGGGTGTGGAGCCAATCAGGACGGGTAGGTCGAGAGGACTGAGCAGACGGATGCGGCCGTCCGTGGGCGGGTTCGGCATAATCACCCCTGGTAACCAGCCGGGTAGGCAATTCACCTACCGTGTAGGCTAATGGCCCTAGCATCTAGACGGCCAAAACATGACGATATGGAGACATTCTGGCGGTGAGCGAGGCAGAGGCAGAGGCAGAGGCAGAGCGGCCAGAGGGAGAAGGGAAAAGGGCAATGGGACAGACAGATGGGAGCAGACGCTGAGGCCAGCAAAAAGGACAAGCAAAGCAACAGGTGAGCGTGTTTCGGGGCAGAGCGAGGGAACAAGAATAGAAGCGAATTAGCGGCGTGGATTTGCTTTTGGAGGGTTACCGACCAGCCATCTTTTACACGGCAATGTGCCGTCGTGAGGCTGGTATTCGTCGGCGGCACGGGGGTTTGGCCCAGCGCATGCTCAACGGCGGCCACGAGGGGTTTTCAGGCACACTGTCTGGCCCTGTTGCGCGTCTGGTGGTGGCTGGGGGCGTAGCGACAACAGCACCGAGGTGAGGTGAGGTGACAGGATGCATCCCAGAACGAGAGAGAGGATAGATTAGTCGGGTAGTGGTGTAGGACGCAGCGCCCGTCACATACGCTGGTCGTGACCAACAATGCCCTGGCGCGTATTCTCGTCTTCTCTTGCTTGACTTGATTGATCCCCCGTGCCCATGACGACGGACGACGATATGCCCATTCCCGCTTGTTCTTGAATCCTCCTCTCCCCGCCACCCCAAAGAGCAGCGCCTCACCACGACGGCCTGTTAGCGCCGACCAGGATTCGGTGCTAGAGAGGCCTTGACCCAGCTTTCTCTCCACCACAGCTGGGGACTTTGTTCCTACGCCAGCAGCCTCTCCGCCAGCTCCCAGCGAGCCTGCAGCGCCATTGTTAACCCGCACGACACTCGCGGTCTGCGCCTCTTGGTGGTGTCGGTATGTCCTGACCCTCCCATACCCCCCTCTCCACCGCCTCGTTGCACTTGTTGTCTAGTCTGGCCCAGCCTTGTCCTCGTCGCTCCCTCTCCTCCCTCGCTGGCCTTTCTCCCTCTTTGCTCCTGCAGCTGTCGCTGCTCAGCTACTAACACGTGCGCCCCCTCCCCAGCCTTTCGCTACGACACGCCGGCGCTCAGCTCGCCCTCGTCGCAGAGCGTCGCCTGCCACCGAGCTGCCTCGCATAGCCGGTGTATGAACACACACGCCTCGCCGCGCTCTCTGCTATGAATTAGCCGCTCTTGCACCATCCATCACCTTGTGCTGTTGGCGGCCGAGCGTGCTTCCCGTCACCTAGGTAGCACCAGGTACCCTTTGCGCTCGCGCAAACCAGTGACTGCCACCATCCGGTCCTGCACCCACCCCAAACATCGCACTACCCTTCTCTCTCCCAAGTATTCGAGGAAAACGGTGCCGGGCATGTCTTCGCTCACCCACCCCACCTTCTAGGAATCTTCAGATTCTACGATGGGTTTTGACAACGACAAATATCCTCTTCCGGCTCCTACTGAATCTTCGACTCTTGATTCCGCAGACGAATCCATCCACATTGACGACATTGACACCAACGTTTCCACCAACGTTTCCAACCGCACCGACAGAACTTCCTACTCTGTCCCCGACGACGGCACCCCCATTACCATCAACACCACCACTCCTACCAAGCCCCACGGCGGCGGCACCCTTCACAAAAAGTTTCCTTCGCAGACATCGCTGCTGATTGAGTACTTTGACACAGGGTCGACCGACGGACAGGACCAACGGCGTGCAAGTGTACGCGTACGGATCACTCCTTCTTCCCGCAAGTCCAAGAAAAACCTCGCGAACGATCACATTCAGATCTCCCAAGCCTCTCGCAACCATCGTAAGCCCTCCTCCACCCGGCGCATCTCGCTCGCAAGTGAGTCCCGTGACGAGCTTATCGATACCCGCAGCGTTGTTTTTTCCGATATCTCGGCCCTCCCGCCCGAGAACACCTCGTTTCTGCCCAGCTTCGCCGACGACGACGACGACAGCGACGGCGGCCGCTACATACCTGTCCCATCCGACATCTCGTCTATGCCCACAGACAGCATGACGGGCGCTACGGAAATTCTCCCACCAGCCCGGCGAAGGAGCCGGAGCATAGAGCGGGACGCTGTTACCGACTCAATGGTTTCCGAGGCCATCAAGGATACCTTGAAGGCTCCTAGAGAGCAACGCAGCAGGAGCCTGAGCAAAGATCGCATCACCCAGCGTGTAATGGAGAAACTCCAACAGCAGGCTGCCGAAGGCAACCTCTCCTCCAAATCCAAAGAAAGATCCTCAAAGTCAAGAGAAACCTCTAGACGGAGAGACGATGACCTCTCCTCGTCGCGCAAGTCGCATCGAAGGAGAAGCAAAGACGTTGAACGTGTTGGTGGCGTTAGTGGTACCGAATCCAGTGTGCTCTCATCAAACATTGACCGCCGCTCTGTCGTTTCTGGAACTTCCTCCATCAACAACCCAAAACTGCTCGCTACAGTCGAGGATGCCATCAAGCGATTGATCCTTCCTGAACTGAATGCACTCAAAGAAGAGAATCGCACATCGCGGAATGTCGACAAGTTCGAGCGTTCCAACCGCGACAGCACAACTCTGTATGAGCCCGCCGAGTCTACCAGCTCGCGCGACCCCTCCAAGCGACGTGTGTCCAAATCATCCAGCACACCTAAGCTTCACAGCAACAAACCCAAGGTCACTCTCAATAGAGACAACGATGACCCTGCAATCACACTGACCGGCACATCAAGCCGTAAGAGTGATCGACGATCTAGCCGAAGCTCTATTTCGAGCTTCGCGGAGTCGACTACCAGAGAGGAAAAGTCCCACCGGAGAAAGAGTAGGGACAAGGAGGGCTTGTCTCAGCGGGAATCGGCCCTACTTTCGCTCGCTGGAGCTGGCCTCACCACCGCCGCTCTAAAGCACCACACATCACGTGAAGAAAAGGAAGAAGAACGCAAGCATCGAAAACACCGCTCCTCTCGCAGCATCAGAAGTCGGTCGGAAAGCGTATCTGATAGTTTGCATGAGGAGAAGCGACCCAAAGAGCTCGTTCCACCACTACCATTCAACCAAAGTGAGATGATAGGAGGGTCTGAGCTCACTCGGGATTCCATTCTCTCTGCTGAGACCGAGACCAAAGAAAGACCAGAGTCAAGGTCGTCTGCGAGCACTGGAATTTCGGGAACAGGCGCTGAGACTCCTCTCCAACAAGTCCCTCGAGGTTTCGCCTCGCCTTCACCTCACACGCCGAGCCGCACTCCCAATGCGTTGCAGCAGAATCTTGGTTCAGCCCACAGCAATCGCTCTACTGGCGAATTTCGTCAGTCAACCCCTAAGAGCGAGCGCAGCTATACCTCGCGACAGAAGGAAGCCAATGATGCAGGTTTATCCGCTGCTGCTGCTGCTGCCAAAATCCGTGCGATTGAACAGTCTCAGTCTCAAGTGTCAAAGTACGAGATTGAAAGTGACACACAGTCGGGACGCGGTGTCAGTCCGATCCAAAGCGAGGCTAGTTATCGTGGCGACACTACCAACACTGGTTCTCCCCGAAGATTTCACTCCATTCGTAGCGGGCCATCTGTATCATCGCTCGGTGACCATTTCGAACGACGACAGTCCGGCCTCTCTATCGCTTCGTTGGATTCAACAGCAAGTACAAAAGCTGCGCGAACTCGTAAACGACCACAGGGTGTCACGCTCGAAAGCAAGAAATCCATACTTAACGAGCCAAGCACTCCGACCGACACCAAGGAGTTCTTTGAACGTAACCATAAGAAGAACGAGCAATATCGGCGTGAACTGGAAGAGAACCCTCTGACACCACCGCCCGTGAATTACAACCGCCTGACCCAGTACACTGATGACAGCGTGGGAGGACCCGACCTCAACCTCGACCGGGATCCGAAACTGGCCCAAGACATCCGCAAGGTTGGCTCGATTCCTGAATACATTCACACTCCACTCGCCGTGGAGTCTGCTGTAGCCTCCCTGTACGATCAAACTGAACTCAGTGTCCGCTCTTCAAAGGCGTCAAGCCCATTGAAGAAAAGCACGCTATCTCAAGTCAGCACCAATCCTGCTTACGTACAGACTGACAATGTACCTGCTGGTCAGAGATGGGCTGCAATTCGCGACAAGGCTGAAGCACTGTCACAGGGGAACAAAGTCGAAAACTCTCCAAAACAGAGCATTCCCCGCGAGGATTCTCCTAGGCAGAGTATTGCTGAATCCGAGGACGTCGAATCGATTGACGAAGCACCTCGGATGCATCACAGTGCTTTCCCAGTAGGCCAAGATGACATGCCTGAAATTGGATACGGCTTGGACGATCAATCCGACGTGACGACCAATCCCTCAATCATCCAAGGACCTATTGGAGGAGGAAAAGGCTACCGCGACCGTACCGATGAGCTGCTTGACATGCAAGAGGAGCGAGAACGCACACCTACCTCGTTCACCAAGGGTGCTCATCTCCAGCGACATGAACAGCCAAGCCCAGCCACTTTTGATGATGAGCGCCAGCCCACTGTGGAAGATGACTATGATCATCCCTATCCAGGTGAGACACAATACGAACAGGCGGACTACGCGCAGAGTACGCGCACTCCTTTGTCAGGCCAAACCGGCTGGAAAGACGAGGGTTACCAGTCGGCTAACCATGGTGAAGGCTACACGCCTCAAAACCGCAAATATTCCAAGATGTTTGAGGATGATTTTGGCGACGATTACGATGGCATGGCCCTCGGAGAAGATGCCTTTGGTGCGCCTAGAGGCAAACATGACCGGCAAGTCAGCGGCAACTCTCATGGCATCGACTCACCACTCTACGATGCGGCTACCGGCAAGGGCATTGACCATATCCAATCCAAGGACATCGTTGCGCTCATGGATCACCTTACCGTTCGCGATGCCCAGCGCAATGCTCGTGACACCGAAATCCTGGTCACACTTGTTCGTAGCGCGGCTGAGATGCGCACTCAGTTGGACGACCTGAAGCAGTTCATCAAGGTTCAAGACAATATGATTATGAACACGACTGACAAGCGAGTCAATCTTGCCGAACAAAGAATTCTGGGTGGCCCTCGTCCACAGCCCGTCACACCACCTCGCTTCAACCGCAACCACTCTGAGGAGGAGATTGAGACTAAGAAGAAGAGCGTCTTTAGGCGTGCTCTGAAGGGTCTAAGCGCTGGCAAAGGTGACGGCGACATCAAGCACATTGAAGCCATGTTGGTTCAACTGCTTGGTGAAGTCGAGGGCTTGAAGCAGGTCAATCAACTGTCTCTAGACCAACAACAGCAACAGCAACATCAACAACAAGAAACTGCTCGAACAAACAGTATGACTTCGCTCGAGAACCGCCGACAGAGTGGCGATGCGGGTTATGAGCCAGAGGGTCGCGCCAACACTGCCGAGTCGCCAAATCAGTCTGGGTATTTCTCCATTCCTTCTTCCTCCAGGCGCATCCAGGATCTTCACTCTGGTTATGACGTTGGCCCAACAACCCGTATCAGCACGGTGCGAGAAGAGAGTGACGAGGAGTATGATGAGCGTTCGCCAGGATACGAGAATACGGAGCGAATGACAACACCCACTCAAGAAGCTTTCCAGGAGAAACGCGCATCTCTTGGAACTCCACCACAAGCTTCGAGGGCAGCACGAGACTCACGAGACTCACGGGACTCGCGAGAACTGCAGAGCCAGGAGAACACACCAAAGCGCAAGCACAAGTCCAACTCGTCATCAATTTTTGGCATCCCCAAGATTTCGCGATGGTCCAAGACAACTGCCTCGACCAACCCCGAGAGCCTGCCACGCAACAGTGGATCTGGAGATAAGCGACCTTTCTCCGCCCATTCAATCCACTCAAGGTCGTCTTCGCAAGATGACTACTATGACGAGGAGGAGCCCTATGCGCAGCATGCCGATGACAGGCTCCGCTCTAACACGTCTCTCGCTAGAGAAGACCAAGGTTCCATCCGCTCCGTTCGCTCTCCTTCGCCTCTGATTCCAGAGGAGAACGCGTACGAGATGGAGGACCCCAAGTACCAGGCTCATCGCAACTCGCTGAACCTGCAGCATCCTCAGCCACGACCCGGTCCTACTGGTCGTCATCAAAACAACCTGGAGACTCAGGCGCAGATCTTCCAGCCCACTAACCGCTCGAGCATCAGTTCTCCTGATTTCGACCAATGGGGCAGCATGCCTTCGCTAGCTCGCAACCGCCTCTCTGGCATGTCAGCTCCCCACGCCAGCAACCTTTCTCCGATTTCATCGGACGGTAGCTACAGCCAAGTTTCTGAGCACCAAAATGGTTCAGCTCGCCAGCCCAAGGCAATGGATGATGGGCCACTCATGCCTCCACAGCAAACCCTTGCTGGTTACGGCCAGACGAGGCAAATGTACAGCTCACCAAATGAGTTTGGCAGTCAAGGTGCCTTGACACCACTCGCACCCATCGCCGAGGTGCGTTATTCGCTCGAGACCGATAGGGGCCACCGCGTAAGTTAAGCTCGCTCATCTCTACAGAGAGATGGATGCTAACCTACGTAAAGATGACGCCCACTGCCTCGTCTCGCGCGAGTTCTGCAAGCCTCCGTACCATGAGTGACTTGAGCACACCACAGCGCAAGATCACCGGCCCTAGGGCCATGGGAAGCAGGAGCCCACAGCCAAACAGCCCGCTGCAGCATTCAGACACCGTCGTCCGAAGGAAGCCTATTGAGGGTAAGTTTAACTTGTTGACGAACTTGTCGAGGAGCAGTGCTGACGAAGAAAACAGATGACTTGGAGTCTCTCGAGAGCTACCGCAGCAGTCTCGACTCTGAGATCTTCTAGGCGAATGATCGAAAGCCCGGCGCCCTACTTAATAGCATCAAGCACTCTGCAATTGGATGCTGGGCCAGAAGTGATGACAAGAATGGCAAATCACGATTTTCACGTCACAACCGTGACAAGACGAAGGCACGGCAGCAGTCCCGGCTTCGGCATGTTACTTTTGCTGAAGAGAATGGGAAGTAATGGATCTGGGGAAGGACGAATGGCGGGGGGCTGGTTCTAAAAGTCTCACAAAATATCTCCTTGGTTAAGTGTGGCCGTTCGTTCGTTTTTAACATAATTTTCGCATTATATCAGCTTGCGGGCATGGCGTCTTCTAGCGAGCGAAATTTTTACATAGCACTGCAACGACAAAGAGTATGAAGTCGACGGGAGTCTCGAAGTGATTCATGATGAAGGGATGACCAACTTCATGCTTTAACGAGAGATGAGGAGTTTTTCTGGGTGTGTATAGCGGTACCAATATATCATGTTACGATGGGAATTACTTTGTTTTAATGAGTGATGGTGGTGTTGTGGTGAGAGAAAGTTGGGTCTTGTGTCATGGTGGTGTCTTTGGTGCCTGAATGTCATCACCACACATACAAATGGAGCAGATGACTACGATAACAACACGACCAGCCAACTCCATGATAACCTTTCTATGTACCCCCGCAATACAGATCGCCCATCAGTTACCTACTACAAGTCAAAATTTCCCCGCTACAACGATGATCATAAGTCTTCGGCCCGCACTTATGAGGTCGCTCTGACATCATATCAAAGCGTCCCACACCACACCACACCTTTGCATCATTATGCGCATCATGCCTAGCCTCTGAGAAGAATATAAAACAGTTTCTACATACTTGTAAATGTCTCCCTGAAAACCTCCTCACCTTACTCCATCCAAAATCAACTGTTTGATATCTACCAATCCTCTATTCTATCACTTATCCTCTTACAATTAACGCAATTGAGAAGAAGAGAGATAAAAAAAATAAAGCAACCATGTCCGAAGCCTACAAAAACAAAGACCTAAACGACATTGCCCACAAAGCAGAGCAAGACGCAAACAGCCACGCTGCTAAACACGGGCATACACATGGTGATTCCAGTACATCCTCTCCCCCTTCCTTCCCCTTCCCCCCCCCCCATTTCCCTCATCTAACCACGGACAACTCTAGCCCCCCCCCCTCCCCCCCCCCCATTTCCCTCATCTAACCACGGACAACTCTAGCAATCGACTCAGGCATCGACTCCGCCGCCGCCGAGAAAAACTTTGCCGGCGCAAACGTAACATACGGTTCCGCAGCCAGCGGTAGCGGTAACAACCGCGATATCCCGCCTGAAGAGGGCGGCGAGGTGGGGAGGAATGGGGAGGTTACAAAGGCGGGGGATTTTGCGAGGGGAGGAGTGGGCGCGCCGGAGAGGAGGGATGAGACGTTTGCGAGGACGCATGGGGGTGACGATTCGGTGAGGGATAATATTAGGAATTGATGGGGGAGGGGGGGGGGGGATGAGACTTGCTTTGAGTGTTTGTTGATATAGTAGTCTTGGACTGTTTATGTGGTTCGAGGTTGAATTTGGTGCATGTCTAGTTTTTGTTGGTTATGAATTTGAAAGAAAATGAAACGTCGAAGCTAGAGAAAAATTTATTGTACATGTGCAAAGAAAAGTAACTTTTTTTGGTTTCGAAAAGAAGTAGAATACATGGTGTGGGTGATTGAGAAGAATGGGAGAGATTGATCGACGATTTGTTGCCAAAACTATTTTTCCGGTTGGTGAGATGCTGGTTGCGTGATGGCTGTAGTAGATGTTTATGGTGTGGTATAGTATCACGTGACCAACTCGTAGTGTATATTGCGATTTTCTTTCATACGTAGATAGGCACCTTCTTCAATCAATCCTTTCCAGCAATCAGATATCAGCTTTTGTCTATCTACTCGATTGCGGGTTACCCCTCTAAATTTTTTGAGCTTTACCACGTAACGTGCCACGATGGCCCAATGGAATATGGAAAACCCTGCTTAAAAGGCATTGTGGGCACCCCTGGTCTGGATCAGGGGGGTGGGAAATCTGGATGCTTTTTGCGGTGATGTTTGAGACGTGCGTCGGATCGTTGAAACAGCTGTCCACAATAAGAACAACATATCTGCGGTCTATCCCGATGCTTGTGCCTTATATGCCTCGCAAGATTTCCTTTTCCATGTAATGTGTCGCTGAAAGTAGCATCGCAGTGTGGACAATGACGGATAGCCTGCAAGATAGCAGGAGCAGAATACGAGGACCACCCGTCTCGATGATTAATTCTTCGAACAGTAGACATGTGCCTTGGAGATCTTGGAGAGTCCTTAGCTCTATCATTCCCCCCTGGATCGAATGACTCTACTGGCCCAGTGTATCTGAAGTGGCTGGAAGTGCTTCTGTCGCCAGAGGCAGGCACTGATCCCCATCGTTGATCACGATCCATAGTCGAGAAATCTGTAAATCCCGCCCGTCTCCGAAATCGATAATCAACCGGTTGAGTCTCTTTAGGCCGTTCAGATCTAATACTCTGCGTGGACCATGGAGGGTATTCCTTTCTGAAACTGTCTATTTGCCATGGCCCAGTATTTGAGACGGTAGGCCACGTTGCTTCGGAGCCGTCGCCGAGGGTGCTAAGCCGAGTGATTGTGCTCCATGGACTAGATTGAAAGTTTTCTTCCATATTGTCAATATCTTTTCCCGTGTTCGAAGTCCGGTAATGCCTGATAGACTGAGACATCCAGGGAGCTGAAGGTGGAGTGTCGCGTACTTTCCCCAACTCTTGTAACGTATCTTTTTCTTTGACGCCAGAGCGGCCGTAAACATGTAAAGGTACATATCTACTCGCTAACCGTGTATCAGACGTGGAATTTTGGTTTATCCCACTAGTAACAGACGAGGCAGTCTACTAACAACGATCAGATAGGAAATCGAGTAGGTACAGCAAACACTTACGCGCTGTGGCTCAGTATCTGATTGCCGATCATCAGAATCCGAGTCTAAAATGAGCTCATAAGGCGTGGAATAAGGCATAGTCTCCTTTTCATTACGTTGGCCAGATTTAACGGTAGAAAACTCGATTATATCGTTGTATGACGCCAATGAAGTCGGGATGCTAGCATTGGCTCCGGGGAGTGGGGAGCCATGGTTATTTTCCTCTTGGATAATATTTTCAATACCATTTTCATAGTTGTTCGACAAGGGAGATGCGTGTACTTGAAGATGTTGAGAAGCCATGGCTGCTTCGACTTTTCGATACAGTAGTTGCCATTGCACTTGTGCATTGGCTCCCCTGCGTTGGGACTGTCGGTTGTTGCAAAGCTCTCCATTGTAGCCATGTCGAGACTCGAACTCCTCCTTGTCGATAAAATCGTCGTTACAAGTAGGACAGAGTTCTAAAAATGCCAGCTGGCGTGTATAACCGAGGCCTGGACGTTTTCTCAAGTGGCGTCGCAACTCCGACATATTTGCACTCTTCACGTTGTTGCATGTGCGTGGCCAACCATGTCGAGCTTCCGCGACGAACACAGGACAATCAAACTTGCGGCTATTTTTATCAAGAGCCATGGCCCAAATGGCTGCAAACTCAGCCAGACTGAGAGTGCCGGGATGTTCCGAGTCATATGAAAGCAGTTGTTCACCGACACCAGGCCATATCACCTCCAGAGACCACACTTCAACCCCAATCCCCGCACGTAAGCAGGAAAGTGCCTGGGCAAGGCGCTATAATGATAGGTTAGAACAGAATCAAGGTGGTATTTGTGCGCGGCTGTGAAAACACAAAGAATAAAGAAAGCCACCTACATTCAAAAGATCAAACTGTGAAATGGGCTGCGATGACTGATCTCCGTCACCTTGTATGGATGGGTTGGACTCATCGGAAGGACTTTGCTGCACTGGGGGGACCATGGCGATGGAATACCTCAAAACACAACGGAGGACTCTTCGAGACTGAGGGACGTTTCCAAGGAGAGATAGCATGGCTCTTAAAGTCGCGTGAGGTTGCTCCTCATTGGTGTATACATTGCCTAGTGTGAGTTTGGCTTGCATGAATGCGGGCTTGTCAACATGTAGAGTTGCGGACTTGCGGACTTATGGACCTATTCAGCTGCCTTGTTGCCTGAAAATTGTGAAGCGTGATTGGGTGAGAGATGTGACAGGCAAAGTTGCGCGCTTGGTTGGTACGTAAGATGCTATTATTCGACATGACACGGGCCTGGTGAGTGGGCAAGCAGCCAAGCAGGCCAGTAGCCAAGTAGTCAAGTATGCAGTCTGTCATATCAGCGAATTGCCAAATGGACGAGGGCATGCTTGGGTGCATAGTTGCCGAATTGCAGTCTTGCATAGCAAATACAATGACGTAGTCACAGCCTGACTACAGCGTAATTGAACCTGAGTAAAGCTTCGCCGCATTCCTACTGCTGTTTCATATACCCATTTTCAAAATTTGAAGTTGCGTTGCCATTAGGCATGATGACCAAGAACGATTATAACGATGCAATGACATAACTAGAAGGGGTATCAACGCAATTCATGCCATAGGCAGAGAACAAAGTACTGCGCCATTCACACACAAACACAACTGAAAAACTATGCCCATACACCAAGTGTCCAACTAGCCCTCTCTCCGCCTTTATTAGCCAGTCCAGGGCCCATGCTCTGTCTCTGTGCAATAACTGAAACTTCCTTTTCACGAGATGCACCTTGCAAGCCATCTTTAAGGTATCTTTCGCGCTCCACCTCGACGATTCCCTTGATGCGTTGCTGAGCAATGAGGCTAGCACCTACCCATGGGCCCAATGTCTCGACGCCTCTGAGAATACCACCCACCAGACTTGCAGGTGGCGGGCCATAGCGAAGATTCATGTGGGCCAATTTCATGTCTATAGCGTCTTGCTCATGCGGTTGGAATGCTGCAGGCACTATTTGTAAAGGATTAAGTGGGTCAAGAGAAGTTGCCACTGTATCCCCGCCTTCTTGTTTACGCATCTCCAAACTCTCTCGGTGGTTACGTAACTTTTCTTCTCGGCGTGCACTTGCTTTTCCATAACTTTTGACTGGATCCCAGCCTCTTGCTTGCGCCAATGCATCCAGCTCCTTCAGTATACGGGTCTTGATGCCGGGAAGATTTGACACACCGCCGGTGATGATTATGCGTGACATGCACAACCGGCGGACATCGACTGGAAGTTGTACAAGGGTACGGTATATGAGGTGGTGCAGCGGGAGGTCTTCATCGTCGAATTCGCTGATGGACAGCTCTGGTGCAAAGAGAGCCGCATCTGCGGGCTTGGCGAGCGACGCAAAAGGTATCGTAAGTTCTGTCGGAGGCGTATGTTTGGGAAAGGGGATTGTGACGGTGGGTGGTGGTGACTCGATAGCGTCTTCGAATTCTTCAAGCACGGGTGCTTCTCGTGCAGGAAAGTAGACGGTTCTCCGATTCGATCTAGCAATGGGCTTGCACCACCCAACACGGGTGAGAACTTCTTCGACTTCTTCGAAGGACACATCGGCTTTGGGAGCACCAGGCTCAGCATTGTCTAGTTCAGCATTCAGCAGCTTGGCCATCTCTTCGCTAAGCATCTTGCCTGCCCGCACACTGCGCCTTTCAGACACTTCGCGATACTCGTATACTGCCGTGACGAGTGTTTCGGCCCAGCCTATATCCACAATCAGGGCTGAACGTAGTCCTGCTGCCACAGCAGAGAGTACGGGGTTAGACATGAGACTAATGCTCGGGGCTTGGAAGCTCGTGAATAAAACATCCATGATGGTAGAGATGAGTGCATGCGGCATACGAGGCGGCAGGGCTAGCAAGACACGGCGCGGCTTTGTATCCAGCAAGAAGTACTTTGTGTATACCTCGCGCATAGCCCTCTCGAACTTGTCTTCAACCAAGCCCAGATCCACCTTGGTCAAGTCGAGGCGGTATAGCTCATGCCGTTCTCCCCACTCCTCGCCCTTGTTCCTCTTTGGCCTCTTCTGTGTGTATTCCGGGTCCCACTGCCTGTAGTCACCCACCCTCCGCTGGTCTTCAGGCCCGAACGGGAGGGTGCATCGCGGGGCACTTTCTCCAGGGAAGCCCCCACGTACAAAGCGTGAACCGACTTCAATGACGATGAACTCGTCGTCAAAGCGGAACGAGCCACCGGGAGAGCCAAAGGTAGACGAGATGGAGCGGAGGAGCGGGGTTCGCGGGGATTCTCCCAGGTCAGCAAGGCGAGGGGTGTTTCCCCGTGTGCTGCGATTGAGGGAGCTCGAGACTTTGCGTTCGCCGCCAGACGACATGGCGGAGGCGAGGGGTGAGCGCAGTGCAATGGGCCAAGCAGAACACTGGCTTGCATGTGCTGTTGGCAGTCGGGACGTTGCTCTATCCCGGCAAAAGCAGGCTAGCTCGTTCTGGGACTAGCGTTTTGCTGATGGCCCGAGCTCAGGAAAAAGTTCGAGCTGGGATGGATTCTGCACGTCCAGAGCTTGCGACAAACCCCATCGCGACTTCCCACACTCCGTCCAAATCAACCTTCCAGGGCAGTTGCGCTCCGCGAATCGCGAATCCCACTGGACCCTTCCCTACGCCCGAGTACACGCACAATGGGTCTTTTTATTCTCTCGGAAACCTCGGCGGGTTATGTCCTTCTCAAGTCCAAGGACAAGAAGCTCTTGGGCGGAGACACAAAGGATTCCTCGAGCATCGCCGAGCAGCTGAAGCTCAAGAAGTTCGCCAAGTTTGGCAGCGCCGTCGATGCGCTTGAGCAGGCTGCCGCTCTTCACGATGGCAAGGTCACGCCCATGCTGTCGTCGCTGCTGGACGAATTGAAGGATGAGACCAAGGCTACTTGTATGCTGCTCCGCGAGCCTTTTGTGCGAATTGTGTAGCTGACATTGCTTCAAGTGGCTGTTGCCGACCCCAAGCTCTCCAATGCGATTGCTCAACTCCCAGGTCTTTCTCTCAAGACCGTCTCAGACTCCTCCACACAGGATGTATTCCGTGCCATCCGTGAAAACCTGTCTTCACTCCTTCCCGACCTACTTCCCTCTGAGGAAGCCGCGACTCGCCTGGGTCTTGCCCACTCTCTGTCGCGACACAAGCTGCGATTCTCCCCCGACAAGGTCGACACCATGATCATCCAGAGCATTGCTTCTCTCGATGTCTTGGACAAGCAGCTCAACACCTACGCCATGCGAGTCAAGGAATGGTACGGCTGGCACTTCCCAGAGCTTGCCAAGATCTTGAACGACAACCTGGCCTACTGTAAGTTTTAAATCTGCCTGGCTTCGATGCTTTGCTAATTTTTGTAGCGCGTGTCGTTTTGAAGATGGGCTTCCGCACAAATGCTCGCAACAGCGACCTCTCCGACATTCTGCCTGAAGAAATTGAGGTCAGTTTTTGACAAATCGTCATATTACGAACACTACTAACAAACTTCAGGCGGCTGTCAAGGCGGCTGCAGAAATCTCCATGGGTACTGAAATCACAGAGGAGGATTTGGAAACCACCTCTGCTCTCGCTGAGCAGGTCGTCGACCTGACCGAGCACCGTCAAAACCTCGGAAACTACCTATCGAACCGCATGCAGGCGCTTGCTCCTAACCTGACTGCTCTTGTTGGTGAGCTTGTTGGCGCGCGGTTGATCGCTCACGCCGGATCTCTCATGAACCTCGCCAAGTCGCCCGGTTCCACCATCCAAATCCTCGGTGCCGAGAAGGCCCTCTTCCGTGCTCTCAAGACGAAGCACGACACACCCAAGTACGGTGTAAGTACTTATTGTTCTTGATCAACCAGGATTTTGCTGACTCGACTAGCTCATCTACCATGCATCTCTTATCGGTCAAGCTACTGGAAAGAACAAGGGCAAGATTGCCCGTATGCTCGCTGCCAAATCCGCCTTGGGTCTGCGTGTCGATGCCCTTAGCACCTGGGGTGTCTCATCAGAGGACACTTCTAAGGAGCCTACCGAAGAAGAGAAGTCACAGATTGGTCGCGACGCACGCCTGACTATTGAGAGGAGACTGCGCGCACTCGAGGGTAAGCCATTGAAGAGCTTGGCCAACGCCAATCAGACTGCGCTTGGTGGACAGAAGAAGTGGGAAGTCAAGGAGGCGCGGAAGTATAACCCCGACGCCGATGGTCTTACTGGCGACGAGCCCGCTGCTGATGCGCCCAAGTCGGCCAAGACCAACGGCACACCCAAGAAGCTGGTGCAAGAGGTCGACAGCGACGGTGACGAGAGCATGGCCGACGCCGATGCCACTTCAGAGTCAGACTCCGAGCCAGAAGAAAAGCCAACTGGAAAGGACAAGGCGGCGAAGAAGGCAGCAAAGGAGGCATCAAAGGAAGCCAAGAAGGCACGGAAAGCACAGCGAGCCGCTAAGCGCGAGGCCAAGCTGGCCAAGAAGGCAGCTAAGGAGGCAAAGAAGGCAGGCAAGGACAGCAAGAAGCGGAAAGCAGAGGGTGGTGAGGACAATGGAGAGAAGAAGAAAAAGAAGAAGAGCAAGGACTAGACACGCCATGAATTAGGGAGGTAGAGGGGGAAGAGAGGAAAGAAGTGATGGCCATTGTATCCTTTTTTTCCAGTCGCCATCTCTTCTTTTTTTTCTTTCTTTCTTTCTCTTCTGTCTTCTCTTCTGACACCACATGACAGAAAACCAGGGGGACAATATGGCGTTGATTTATCTGGGTTTGAGCTTGTTCACCATTTTACTTTGGGCGAGTGGCGTAAATTTTTTTTGTTTTCTCTTCTGTCTTCGGGGTGTCTGGGCATATTCTTGTGTAGTTTTACCTTGACAAAAAAGGTCCTTTCTTCACGTTGCATGAATGGGGATGCGGTGGGATGGAATACCCCGCCAGCTGGTAGCATACAATTACATGTTCGAAAAAAAAAAGTTTTATGCTTTTGGTTTATATGTTGTGTTGATTGCTTCTTTTTCCCATTGTTCGTTCATCTCATGCCATATGGATAACAAAAAAACACTCCTATTGCGTTGCTTCTTTCTCTACTTCACTTGCCACATCCTTTTCTGCTTCATCATCATACTTTTTACACCTTCCTCTTAACCTTCCTCTTCTTCTTATTCGCAGCACCAAGCAGTTTATTCGCTATCTTGGGCATGTCCACATCCTCGACTCCCTCTGGAATCTGCGCTTCCTCCTCGTCAAACACTTGCTGGATGATGGCCAGCATATCGTGTAGTTCATCTTCTGTGAATCGGGTACCCGCCTTTTCATCTCTTATCAGCCTTATCCACTTAAAAAAGAAAAGTGGAGGGTAGAGTCACGTGAAAAGTAGGAAGACAGGAGGAAAAGAAGGGGAAGGGAACGCACCTCTTCAACAACCAACTCAAGCATAACCTGCGTAGTCGGTCTCAGATTATAAATCTGGAGGTACTCCGCCTTGTTCAATCGGTACTTGGGGGCCAGAGCACGGAACAGGCTGTTGGGTCCCTTGTACAGGGTCATGGGCCTGTTGGGATGCGCATCTGCGAGGGCGGTGGTGGTGTAGTCGGGTGTTTGCAGGTAGGCGAGGCCATCACGGAGCATGTGGTTTAGGCCAGAGGGCTTCTTGCGCTTGCGGTTTGTATCATCGGTACCCGTATATTCTGCTTCTTCGGCGAGGAGGTGCAGGAGGACCTCATGGTTGGTTAGGAGGGCGGATTGCGGGTTTTTGATCTATGTGTTTGTGTGTGTGAGTGGGAGAGCGAGTTTCCATGGCGTGACCGGACTTTCGATGTTGTAGTGAAGTTTGTCTTTTTTTTTCCTTCTCTTTCTTCTTTCATTCTCTCTCGGACTTCTCGCCGTTACTTACATGCATGGCTATGATTGGATGATATTTTTTTATTCCCAGTTGCTGCTCGAACAAACACAAGTCACGGGATCTTCAAGTCCACTGACTGTATATCCCTACGTGAGTCAGTCTCGTCATGTAATCTCTCACACCATCAACTTTTTTCGGACAGTAAAAACAAAAATCTCGATCGTGCATGGAAATTTCCGCGAATGGACTGCACGTCTTTATCATTTTGATTAACTCTCTGCATCGTGGCATGCATGCAAAGTAGCCGCAGCCAGTAAAAGCACACATAGTCTGATAAGAGACGGTACGTACCCACTTGGCGAATATGAAGCTGTACGCGATTCTGGGGCTACATGCGCAGTCGAAATTAGCTTCGCACGTTGCAGTGCTTTTGTAGTGAGCAATGTTCAGAGGTTCTACATGGCGTTGCGGGTGGACCGTGATAGAGAAGGAAAAGGTTAGTACAAGGCAGATTTTCGCGCTAAGGGCTTGGCGTTTTCAAGGGCTAATTCCTGCCGCAAGGGAAAGGACGAATATTGCAAGGCTCACAATCACATCACGGCGGTTTTCAGAAATGCTACGTCCATGAAATATGACTATAAACTGGCGTCCGAAATCGTTGCTATATCTTGATAGTCTAAATCATCACTGGGGTATTACGATTATATCTTCCTTTTTGTACTGTTCCAGACAGGTCTCAAATGCTACTAACGCCGCGCAATGCTATGCGGAGAATGGGGTACTCGCAAGGTCGTCAAACAAGGAAATTTGGAGATTCGTGGGGTCAAATGCCCCAATCGTCGTGCTTCGAGTTGGCCCCCATTGGACCTTCGGTAGGCTTACGCCCATGATGTTATTGGTCTGCTGTTGTTGTAACTTTGGTTTTCTTAATTATGAAGACGCCCACTTCAACACCCTTGGTGGGCGCTCCATCTTGATACTCTCGTTTCGACACGCCATCGAGGACATGCTGGATGAGCGAGGCAGCGCTCATTTCGCCCATGGGAAGCTTCTTGGATTTGTTGAAGTACTTCATGATGACGTCTCGCACACGAGGCTTTTCTTGTTTAATCCACCAATCGTCTGCCCATGCTGATCTTTCCAGGAAGATATCCTCTTTTGCGGCATGAATAACTTGGTATGCCGCCTTTTTGTCAGCCCTTAGGTGCCGCTCACTCATTGCATGACAAAATCTTCGCACTTGGAGTTCTAGATGCTCATAAACATCGAGGTAGTTGACCGAGCCCATCTGACCTATATCTCTTCCCAGCTCCGAGTGAAGCTCGTGCACTACCGTCACAGAGCGCAATAGCGGATCGAGGATGGGTCCAAGGTACTGTCTCATAAACGTCTTTGCGCCTGTCTTTGTTGGGTAGATGAAGAGCAAAATGCCATTATCACTGGAGAGTTCGATCAAGCGGTCGTACAACAAGGACCGGCCGTGGAATGTAAACATTTCAGCAAATTCGTTCGTATTCGTGGGCGGGATGTATCTCTCGACGATTGATATGTTGATACTCCCGGGGGGAACTACAGGTCTAGGGGATGGCGGCAAAAGTTTCGAATCGAGCTGGTAGTCGGGTATGGCGACTGCACTGTCAAAGACTTTGCTGGTAAAGTACGAATCACCTCCGACTGCAGGGCCTGGTGTTGAAGGGGGTGACTTGGGCAAGTCAAGGAGGGTGTAGCGTCCAGGGAGAGCATGGAATACATTGATCCATGAAGTGTGTGTCGAAGAAGCGTCGTGAATCGAAGCAATGACATCGCCAAACACATGGCCCGCTGTAGAAGGGCAAGGAAGGGCGTGAGAAAGGATTCTGACAGAGTCTAGGCCTAGACATCCAGATTCGTGAACTTGAAGAGTTTAGTACGGCAAAAAGAGAGAGGGTGTGTGTGTGAAAGAGGGAGGGGGCGATCACTTACTGATTGTGCTTTTGGCCATCTCGATCCATGTAGCCATTCCCTGTGCTTCGGGGAGTGGCGCGTGAGTTGGGACGATGATTTGTGCTTGGGGAGGAGCTAATTCACGAGCGGTAATGTTTGCACTGGGCGAGACACCTGGATCCGAGTGGGGAGGAGAGCCTAGTGTGGCAATACGAGGGTTCATAAAGGAACCCCAGTTGATGGTTCCTGGCTCCGAGTCCGAAGGGGGCGTGTGGGTGGAGAGAGAAGGGCCCACGCGTGCAGTTGCAGCCTTCGGACTGGTAACGGGAGTGTGGAGGAGGGCGGCCGTGGCGTGGTTGTTGCAATTGTGAGCCAGCGGGCTGAGTGCATGGAGAGGGTCTTCTGGCTTTGATAGTGGTCCCGCGCCTAGTGGAGAGAAGGGCAGATCAGGCTGGGCCAGAATATGGTCAGGGTGGGGCGCGGCAATACCCAGGACATGGAACGAGGGCAGGCGTAAATTATGCTTTGCCTTTATTATTGTTGGTGGAGGAAGCGAAAGACTACTTTGAGGTAAATTGAGGGTCAGATCGACATGTGGACGATCTTCGGTGATGGGCGTGGTGAGAGGCTGGGGTAAGGCGGAAGGCAGCGGGAAGGGCTGCGGCAGGGAAGCGTCGAGAAATGAAGAAAAAGCGTCGGGAACCACGGTGTCGGAGCAGGGACCCGCTTGTGCTGCTTCATCCGGCGTTTGTGGGATGGAGCTGGGAAGGGGTTCGTGGGGTTGGGAAGGGAGTTGGGAGGGGAGAAAGGCAGTGGTGGTGGTGTCAGCATGGAGCTGGTCAAAGACTTGGGTCCGGGGATTGGGATCGGTCATGGCAAACGTCGATTGCGATGTTTGCAGGCGACCAAGGCGCAGTACAGTCACGCTACCTGTCCTGGGCGGGCGGGAGAGACAGAGTGACGGACGGACAGGCGCACGGAGACGTGGCTGGAGGATCTGGCGGCCAGGAACCAAACCGCTTGACTAGCTTTTGCTGCGGGGCGGTAATCAACGGCCGTGGGGAGGAGGACGACAGCAAAGACGACGGGGCGGAGGGTGTGGGTATTGGGTATTGGAGGGGAGGTGAAGACGCAGGGCTGTGCTGGAGAGCGATTGCCAAGGCCTGGTCCAGAGTGCGACAAGGACAGTAGCAGCACCGCAGCGCACAGCACGACAGCGGGGGAGAAGCAGCAGTAGCAGCAGCAGCAGGATGGGGTTGGGATGGAGGGAGGGATAGCAATGGAATGGTACATACATGGAGGGAGCGAGCGAACGGGCGTGTAGTGGCTGACCGTGGGCCCACGGATTCAACACCCGGTGCTGGCGCTGCAGTTGATGCTAGTGCGTGTGCATACGCCAGGGTCTCAGCAGCGTGAGTTCTAGACCCCGGCCTCGAGAGCATTCAGATGGATCAGAAATGGCCTGACCGACAGAGTCGTCTGCCCGCCCTCGGGCAGGTCAGCAGGGCTGTGGAACGGTTGGACCGGTACTACCTGATACACGCTCCCCTGTACATACTACCACCAATACTAACTAAGTACATACCCAGGTACATGCCCCATATCTACGTTACTTACATGTCGACTACTAACAACCAAAGTACATGTACATGGTACTTGGACACAAGTATCCCTCCTTACATAAGTACATACATGTAACTATCCCTCCACTCGTGTGCACGGCAAGGCCCTCTGCCCCTACACCAGCTAGCGCCTCTATCTGATGCATCGCACGCATGCAGCTGCAGCCCACTAATAGTCTGGACAAGAGCGCCGCATCCTTTTCGGGCCTGCTCTGCCTTGCTGCTTCGACTCGACTGGCGGCTTGAATCTCGGCTGCCATGCTTGCTTGACTTTGCACACGACTGCTTGCTCTCCCATGCCAGACGCCAGACGCCAGACGCCAGATGCACTGTAAGCCCTCCCTTTGGGAAACAAGTCTATGCGAGTCTAGATTTCTTCCTCGACTTCTCTTTTACTGCTGCCTAGCGCCAATTAAGCGACCCTATCCCGCTCTCTCTCTCTCTCTCTCTCCCCTCTCCTCTTCCTCTTCTTCTCCCCTTCCTCTCCCTCTCCTCGCCCTCAGCATCAGCCCGGACTCCGAGCATACAATTCCATGCTGCCTCTGGCCTGCTCCATTAAGGTTCACCCCCTGTCCATACTTGAAACTGCTCCTCTTTGCTGCCGAATGTGCGGCCGATCAGTCTGCTGCGCGTCAGCCGCCAGGGCCTTGCCAGAGCCACTAGCCCATTACTACCCTGGACCTAAGTACACCACTCGGCATTGGGAAAAAAAGGCGTTTGGCTCAATCGTCCCGTCATACCATGTGACAAACGGCATGCACGTCCTTGCTCTACATTGTTGCTCCACGACACGTACATTTCAATCACTACATTTTTTTTTCTTTCCAGTCTCCCCCCTCAAACAACCGACTTCTTTCCTATCGATTGTCTTTCGCTCCATCCCTCAGTCCTTCACTAATCAATCACCAATTCCACAAACACATCATCACCCACAACACCTAGGTATCGAACTTGCAAAACATCAGCTTCTGCCCCTCGTGTTTGCTGCTCACACCACACTTACCTGCCACTTCTGCAGACCTCTCTCCCGCGCCCCTCCCTTTGCTGCCCCGCTCGACCGACTTGCCATCTTGGGCTCATGCCGTTTTACGTACTCTTGCGCCAAGATGGGACATGCCTTTTTGTGTGCTTTGAAATGTGCCTTTTGACACTCCTTGTTGCAGTAGGCTACGCTGTGGCATTTTATGCACTGCTTGAGTGAGTCTGCCGATTTGCCGCATTGACCACACGCTGCTGGTGGCACTTGTTGACTTGCTGAAGCCGTCGACTCAGCCTGCGTCTCGCTCGACTCTGCTGCCGTCGTGTTTGATGCCTCTGGCTGGGTATCCGGTACATCATTCGTGATCGGACTAGGTTCTGCCATCATGTAAGTATGCCAGATGAAGCGGGAATGCTGGACAAAATTATTTGGGTTGCTACGAGAGATTCTCGGGTCAATGTGCGACTTTGCACCGCGGGACTGTCAAAGTTCGATGATCGGCATTTGACTTGCAGGGATCTGCCGCTGGCGAGAGCCCTAGTCCTATCTCGTCTTAGCTCTTCCGGTCCCATTTTCTACGTGCTAAAAGTTTGCAAATACTCTACGCATGGCTGCCCATTGCATGCAGCCAGCAATGCAGAAATCACATTGCATGATATCCACTTCAAGAAATTACCAGCATATTGAATCAAGGATATCAGCATCGGAAAAACAATTTCCACATCTGCTGCTCGCATCGAGAACTACACCCCGGCCAACGTTTCAGCCACAATGGCAGTGTCCACAAACATACGCGTTTCCCAAGCCACAATCAAACGTAATTCCTTCAGCCTGGCCTTGCCGGCTTCCGATCAAGTCGGCTGAATCTTCGGTGCTGAAATGCCAACTGTGGACGCCTGAAAGCTCACTGCAACGGGCCGAGCAGTTGCTGTATCCGGCCACTACTGCACGGCGGATATTATACATGAGCTGAGATGGCAGTACGACATACATGCTAGGCTGCAGAAACCTGTGGCTGAGTTCCCCATCATACGCAGATTTGTCCCAAATACGATACTCCGCGCTGCATCCTCGTAGAGCCAAGACCTGTCCATGTTACCTCGAATCGGCCCGTTGTTCTTCCATTTGGTAAACCCCTAGTAATGCCAATACCTGGTAACACAGCATGCACATGTTGTGTGGCAACCGAAATGCAACCATTCGTCCAGCTACATGGAAAGCTCCGAGTTAGTAAATCGAACGGGTTGCATTCCTGTTGGTCAATGGCGGTGGGATGAAACTTTAAAAAAAAAGTATGGATACGCAGCATGGCCGGAGATTTCACTAGAGATACTCCATTTCAATTTCTGAACAATTGAGCAGATATGGGGAATATGTGTCTGGACTGATTGTCCTACCTCGGGATTCGGACTTCGCTACAAGCAAATGCTTGGATAAAGTGTTTGTCGGACATCGCGGACGCCACACGCCCTGTCATAACGCAAAGTCCGATACTGTGAGACCACAATATCACAACATGAACGAGATCAACTGTTCGTTTTGTTTTCAAGACTGAGTTAGCAGATTCAAAGAAAAAAGGATATAGAGATAATGTCCAAGCAATATTATACTGTCAGACCAAACTCCCATAACTTTGACTGCAGTGTCTCAAGCAACGAGGGCAATTCCTTAATAATTAGAAAGATCCGTAGGAACAGTTGATAGACGGACACCCAGCGGCGTACACGTAAACGACCGCCACCCCGAACAGCCACTTCCGCCAGCCTCCTCAGTGAAACCGCCCATTGTACCAGACTTCACCAGCAATGCCTCCACAAAATCAGAACAACGGAGATTGCAAGCCCCTCCAACGTGAACACGACGTTGCAATGTAGCCCTGTAATTGGAGACAAAGATCCGTCTCAAGCAGCCACATAGCACACCACTTGAATCCTTCTACTCACCACCATAACGTACGCACACGCGTCACTCTCGATACCTTCGTCACTCTCAAACACTTCCCCCAACCCAAGAACCCAGTCATATATAACACCACTTCTTCCATCCCACCCCATCACCACCAGCTCCACAACCACCATCCCTTCAAGTTTTTAAAAAACAAAACAAAAACAACCCATCTTTACAAGCCCAAAAAATGCTTCTAACCGCCCATCTCTTCCTCCTCCCAACCCTCCCCCTCACTCTTGCCCTCATCGCACCCATACCACGCCACCCCCCTACAACCCCGCACCTCCACGCTCCCTCAGACTGCGCCCCCACAGCCACAATCACTAAAACCGTCACCGTCACGATCCCCATCTACGCGCCTACGGGAAATATCTCGGTGACGTTTCCGAATACGACTGTGGCGGCTACGAGTACGAGTACGGGTGGGGGATTGGAGCCGATTACGTTGATTACGCTGTCGAGTGTGACGAGTGAGGGGGGTGAAGTGACGGCGACGGCGACGGGTGGGGGGTTGGAGCCTGTTACGTTGATTACTCTGCCTAGTGTTACTGCCACGGCTACGGCCACGGCTACGGCTACGGCTGGAGGAGAGGGAGGAGATGCAGGGGCGGCGCCGACGCCGAATGATATTGCGCCCGTTACGTTGATTGATATTAGTACTGCTGTGCCTATTTAAAGACGAAATCGCGGGAAGCAGGGACATGTTTGAAGCTGGGGGGTTATGAGAGGGGTTTAGGGGGGAACTTGAGTACATATTTGAATTAAATGATTTTTGGTGGAGCTCGTAGTTTATATGGGGGGGAAAGTGCAAAGTTTCAATGACACGTCTCGTATAGCTCTGCGGGATCCAAGCGCATCGACGAACTGACTTTGCTGCTTCGCCTCACGTGTTTACGTCCTATGGGCCTGCGTTCACATAAAAAGTTAGCTTTCAAACCCTCCAATTACCCAGTCCACCCACTCACTCGATCAACCCCCCCCCCCCGGTTAGAAGAAAAGAAGCAGATGAAGAGAAGAAAAGAAAAAAAAACTTACGCATCCCCAACAACCTTCCTCATAACCAAACTATCCACCCACTCCCCCTTCAGCATCTCCTTCTCCTTCGTCAAACTATGCCTCTCAAACCCCAACCTCTCCGCTAATTTCCAACTAGCCTCATTCCTCGGATCACATTCAATCTCCATTTCCACCTTCCCCACATCCTGAATCCTCTCCTTAATCGCACCTATAAACGCCGTCATAGCCTCCGTCGCGTAGCCCCTTCCTTGATATTCCGGTAAAAAGGAAAACCACAAGTCAGCGTGGGTAACGGGTTTGATGCTGGATTCGCCGGGGAGCTTGTCGGAATTTGCTTGCGAGGTTTTTGCGCCGACGCGGCCGATGAAGGTGCCCGTGTCGAGGGTTTCGACCGCGAGCTCGTAGATTGTGCGCGGTACGTCGTTGTGGTTTCGGATGTTTTGCAGGACCAGCTCACGGGCTTGCTGGGGGGTTCGCGGCGGCCAGGATTGGTAGCGAGCGTTTGCCTCGGAGGACTCGAGCGCGTAGTAGCCCGGTATGTCTTGGGTTACGAATTCGCGGAGGAGCAAGCGCTCGGTTTTGATTGCGCCGAAGCGTTCGCCTTTGAGGTTTTGGCGGGCGATGGAGGCGAGTTCGTCTTTTGTGAAGGATTGCGAGGCTGAGAGGATTTTTTGGATTACTGTGCTTTTGGCATAGACGTAGTCGACGATGTTGGTGGAGGTGGCGGCGAGTTCGAGTTTGACGCGGGCGTATTCGTCTCGCAGCTCGCTGTTTGTGCGGAGCGTGTTTCGCAGGTTGAGGTGATTGCGGGTTTGGACTGCGCCGTCTACGCATACGTAGATGTTGTGGGGGATGGCCTGGTTTGGGTCTTTGAAGGCATGGCGGTCGACGACTCCGAGTTCTCCTAGGTGGTCAAACTTGCCGTTTGTCGTCAGAGCATCAATGGCAGACTGCAAGTTATCGCGAGAGACAATCACGTCAATATCGATAATGGGTTTGGCAGCCAATCCCGGGACTGATGTGCTACCCACGTGCTCGATTGAGAGGTAGTCGACGTCTCGCAGATGATTCTCCAACTCTGCTTTTATTTTTTCGAACTGCTTGGGCCATTCCTCGTTGTACTGGTCGACAATGACAGACATAGTTCTGGGGCTTGGAAAAAGGCAGTAGAGCTGAAGGAGAGGAGTCAAGGGCTAGATGTATAGATGTAGGCTGCAGAGATGAATGGGTGAGCTAGGCAACATCATTGGCTGAAACCCACACACCCACCCGGGTGCGCCCGCGATGCACAAACCGGAGCAGCGGTGTAAGCGGGACATGTAGGGCAAAAAAAAGGGCGGCAGGTGTGCAGCCATGAGTGTAACTGCAGTGTTGAAGCCATACAGGCAGCCAAGAGGGCATGTGCACATGTCGGGATGCATTGCGGAGATAGCGGCAACAGTTCCGAACCACTTGATTAGATTGCGATCCAATGCTCCCCAACTCTCCGACTCTAATCATACTGCTCAATCTTGATCACTGGGATGTCTGCATATGCCGGCGGCGCATGGCAGCCCAACAACCAAGACTCGGCGGCTGAATCCCCGCAAGCCTGTATCTGCTGCCTGAGCTGCCAAATGCAACGTACCACAAGAATGCTAGCCGCAAGCAGCAGCGACAAAGGAAGCAGTAGATTGCTCTGTGAAGAGCCAGACCAAAGCGCGCCTAGTTTGCCAATAGCCACATTCCATGTCCTTGCCCATGTGCCAAATTTGCCATAGTCGTCCCACTCGTTCGGGTCAAAGGCGGTTCGTATCATGGCCAGTCTGCCGCACTTCATCCTGGGCGGCTGAACGCGGTCTTTTTCTTCAACCACTTGTACACTTGCAATGGAAAGGGCATGGCCGCACCCTTTCTGGCCTGGAGTCTCTGGGCGAACGTGTTGCTCACGCAGTAGCACCTGTAAGACTGTATGGCCCAACTTGAATGGTGCAGCCTCCTCTCCCCAGGCAAGACCAGTAACGTTGAACTGGAGCCATACCTCTCCATTTCCTTCAGCTCGGAACACAGTGTGTTCGTACTGCAGTGGAAACCTGATTCTCTTAGACATGACCTCCTCGGCTTGCTCATCTGCTTCGTCTTCGGCATGATCCATTGGCACCTGCACGGCACTAATGCGCGGAGGCAACGGGTCAAGAGGAAAGACGCGCTCGTCATTGAGGAACAGAGCAGACCCCGACTTGTCAATGGCAAGCGTCAACATCTGTAGTATTGTCAGCGCGCCTCGCTTATGCGCCGCGACGAGATGCGCTTACCAAGGAGTTTTGTGGAGGCGGATGGATCCATTCTGCTGCATGAGGAGTCTTCAGCAGGCCAAACGGACATCCGGCACATCCATACTTGACGGCATATGTCTTGTTCGCGTCGATCACCGTGATTACTGGGGCCGCTTCCTGGACAGCCGGAACATGGATCTCTTCAACCTTGTGTTCGAGCGACGACGACGCAGCAACAACAACAGCCACAAGACCAAAAAGAGAAAAGGAGCGCATGGTTACATGAAATGAGTGTGAACAAAGAAAAGCTAACGAGAGACTGAGGGTCAAGTAAGAACAGAGGGAATATTGTTAAAGGGGAGAGTGAGAGAGACTATCCAAGATGGCGGAGACATGACGCGTGCGTATGCCTCGGTCAACGGCACGCTAGCGCAGGGACCGTCAACGTGGGGATTGACCATTTTAGATTCCTGGCGATCATTCATCCCCGGACTCTTGGACATGAACAGGCAAAATCCATGAGGGACGGCATTGTGCCTGAGATTGCTACGCAAGTGCCAAGATACCACGAGTTTCATTCGTGGTTGGCAATGGTAAAAGAAATGCTCAACACATGAAATGAGTTGCTGCCGTAATAGTACTTGCAAGTATGCTTCGATGACCGAACGCATGGGCTTGCTATTTTTAGACTGGAGTGGTTCATTGAGTTATACGAGGTCTGTGTTCATGTGTTATCATTGAGTGCATGCTTATGCAGTCTATCTGCCTGCAACACGGCAGGACCCGTTATCATTTCAATAGCCAAGAAAATAAGGGTGACTGCTCATGCTGCCATTTGTGCGTGCACAGCCTTCCATCCCAACATTCTTCGCTCGAATATGGAGAAGCGGGATGAAGCGGGATATCTGCTACACCTGTTATGACGGGCTAGTCCCATCATCTCTTGTAGCTTGGATAGTTGCAACTTCTTAGTTGCACATCGTGTCTGGTCGGGCAGTGGGATTGACATGGATGGATGATAAGGTGGTTTGGAACATGGAGGATGGCTTCACTCCTCTTCACTTTCTTCACTACTATCTCCACCTTCCAGCCCTCTCCTCATCAACTCTTCTAGATCGTCTTCGTCATCGTCCGCGGGGATTTCTGCAATTGCACCGTGTTTGTGGTCGTGACTGGTCGTATCTGGCTGTACGGGAGGTCCAATGTCCATGGGCTCGACGTCTCTGTCATTGTATTCGTATTCCTCTGCATCCTCCTCTTCTTCCTCATCGTCGTCGTCGCCTTCAGCGTCATCACCGCCCAAATCACCAAAGTCAATCTCATCCTGTGTGTTTCGGTTGCGTGCGTGCGGGTTGGGAGAGCCTTCTACGTCGCTGTTGGCTGCACTGGCAAGAGATATGGGGCCGTTGGATGGAGAACGCATATAGCCGGCGCCGAGATTGTGGCCCAGACTGCGAGCTGCTAGTGCGCCGTTCTTGCGTCGTGGTGGGCGCGCATCGGGTACTTCAATTTCGAGACCGCCGTCGTCGTCTGATTCGTCTTCGGCCTCATCATCGTCGTGATGATGTCGCTGGTTTTGTACAGGTGCAGGGGATGGAGGCGCTGGCGAGGATGCAATTTCGCCGTCAGACTCGTCGGACGAGTGTATCACCTCGGCAGATTTGATCTTGGAAGCGGGTGGTGCGGTAGATTTGCCCTTTGGCTTGGCGGCAGGTTCTGTTGCTGTGCGCTGAAGACGGACGGCCGGTGGTGGCTGAGCCTTTTTAGGCTTCACCATAGGGTTTGTGGTCGTAGTCTTGCGCTTCTTGGGCGCAGTAGCTGCAGCGGGCTTCCGCACTGGAGCAGCGGCGGGTGGTACGCGAGCCCCAAATTGCGGTGTATGAGCCGCGCTGCCTGTGCCAGCTCGGTGCTCTGGCGATGATGCATAGCGGTAGTCGGACTCGTCGCCTCGCTTCGCCTTTTCCTTGCTCAAAAAGTGCCTGAAGTCATAGGGGTTGTCGGGGTCAGGGTCGCCTCCCTCGTCGTCTGCTGCCGCTTCGCCAAACAGATCGTCGTCCTGGTCCTTGTCCTGCGCATCGTCCTTGAGTTTCTTTGGGTATATCTTAGCGTGCTGTGACGATATATCTTTGCCATTCCTCGTAGCGAGGTTGAAGGTGTAGCTACTCGAGAGCGGCTCTAGGGTTGCTTGCTGGCTGGCGGGATCCAAGATGAGGACATATGACTTCTTTGGCTGTGACTTTTGCCCCGTGAAGGTGAAGACATCCTGGTCGCCGGATTCGGTCGTGTCTTCGATGCGCAGGTTGCAAGTATTCGTCGATGAAGGCGCCGAGAGTGTCGTAGAACGATTGTCGGATGTCTGTGTAGGCTTGTGATTGTCTACGTAGGGCGTAAGTCAGCAAGCGCCAGGATATGCATACGCATGCCAGGTGGAGGGCTAACATTTTACACTGCTGTACTCGATCGCGTCATCGTTGTTCCGTATGCGGTCGCTGAGGTGGAGGGTGAAGTGCGCCTTCTTGTGAGGCTCGATGCGGCTCTCTACCACGGGAGACGCCATTCCCGCGCTCGTCGTTGTCGGGCGACAAGCCTGCTGGCTGCAAAGACGAAAAAAGCAAGACAGAGTATGTGTGTACACACACCAGAGAAGTCACACTCTCCAGACGCGTTGGGTCATGAAAGAAGCATGGTTTGCTGGGTAGTATGGATGGCGCGCCGTGTTGCACATGGCCAGTCCGGCCGGGCTGGAGGCTCCGCCTGCCGGCCTCCCGCCGCTGCTAGTCAGGCACCCAACTCCACACGACTAGTAGCTCCAGCCCGCAACCGTCTCCGCTTTGCCATGTCCCTCTTCCATGGCGGCATCTGTAAGGCCTCCAGTCGATTCGAATCTCTTGATATGTGCATCTATTATACATGCACGGTCCAGACCACCCGGTGAAAGTGGGTAGCCGTGTGTCCCCACTCTACAGCGCCATCGTGACGACTGGTTTCGTACTGCCAATATACACGCCTTGCCCGTACATATTGGCCTAACCACCATAATCCTCCTCGCTGCTCACCAAGCAATTTACAAAACCATTGAAAATGTCCAAAGACAGTTCACCGCCACGACACGTACTTGTTCCAATCTGCAAAGTAACATTGGTGTTGCAGTTGATCCTTGAAGCGAGCATTATCATCCGCCTGATAATGTATTGGTAACGGCATTTTTCCAGTCAGATACGAATTCATGACCAAATCGATGGAAAACACCTTACGCCAGCACAGTGCCATCAAGATTTGTGGCGGGGTAGCAACGCTGTCGGTTGGAGGTATAAGATGGCCATGATGAGACATAAACCCAACGAGTCTGTGACTATCGACTCTACCTCAAGCCAAATTCACTGTGCTCCGTCCTCAATAATATAGTTCGTGGGGGCATTCCTTCATTGAATCGCGCTGGCCTCGTGTCACACATGTTCTGTATGATGCGGTTCATCATCCCCACGCTTCTTGCACTAGCAAGCTCAGCCACTGCTGCTGGTATCGCAGTCATTCTCAACAACTCTCCAAAGCCAATATACGTCTGGTCGGTTGGCAGTTCGGTCGGCCCTCGAAATGATATCAAAGCTGGTCAGTGATTGCCTGGTCAGTGTCAGTGTTCCTTTCTTGGCTAACGGCCACAGGTGGCATCTATTGGGAAGAAATGCGCCGCGACGAGAAAACAGGAGGGATTGCCATCAAAGTCACAACCAGTGCAGACGGACTCTACTCCGGCGCTCCCCAGCAAGTCTTTGCATACAACCTGGACAATGACACAGTCTGGTACGATTTGAGTACGGTGTTTGGTGATCCGTTTGCTGGCTACCGATTGCAAGTTACAGGTGACAATGGAGGATCCATTCTGTGGCCAAAAGGAACTCATCCAGGGGGGAGCCAGCTCAAGTCAGCCCCAAGTGAAGGAAACATCTTCTTCTCCATTGATCCCGCTGCTTAAAGCAGTGACAGCCACTGGGCGGCTCGAGCGTTGTATCTCTACTTACGCGCCGTGACCGGCGCCTCATAATTCAAAAAGTTACTTTCTAATATTCCGTGATCTTCTTGCATGATGCTGGTTCAAGCCATGTCATCTCCCTAGAGGGAACCGGTTGCGTTGTACCATAACAGTTAGACCGCCAACCGCCGGCAGGGCGGCAGATCACTGCTTATCAGGGTACAATAACCGGCGAGACACGTGGAATTCGGTGCTTTTCGCCTGAATCAGTATCCACCTAGAAGACCCAACGTAGCGGTAAGAGAGGTGTGGACGAACGATGGGTGTGGAAAAACATGGGGTAGGCCCTGCTTTGGTCAAATTGGCCTTCTGGATTTCCTGAGTCGGCCTGTGCGCTGCCATCTCACGTCAGTCGATTTATTCGCCGTTTGACACACAATTTCGACCAATTATCCGAACGTTCGGGATGCATTTTTCCCCTTGCCACATGCAAAACATTCATGTGCATGGGGACAACACCACGAGCACCTCCTCTATTGCGCCACCTCGGCCCTGTCTTCGCTGATGTTCCAAGTCAGGCCACGGCCACGCCTCGAGATACCGCATTGCTCTTGTATCGCCGACCAGCCATCCATTCATTCATCCATCCATCCATGCCGCAATCTCTCTTCATCTAACAAGGACTCCGCTCTCCCGCGAGTCAAGTTGGTGTCTCGTGTTGCTTCGGATGGTGGATACCGAGTGAACGGCCACATCCTATCTCTAGCCCGCCTTTTTCTGGCTCGTCTCCGCCGCCCATCACGCTGCATGCTGCTACTGCGTGATTGCAAATGCGGGCGATATCGCGCCATGAGCATTGGCTGGCACCGCGTGGAGCCCCGTATCCAGGTGGTGGTGGACCTTTCTCTGTGCACGACCTCAGCCCGGAAAGTGTCTGTCCCACGGCAGACTGCAATGGAGCACTGCATGCGGCGCAGCGTCGTGATTGTTAGGTGTGGTGCAGTACCATTTCAAGTCCTTTAGCCGGCATCCGACAGCGCTGGCCTGCACCCAGACAGCCCAAGACCAGACTCTGCTCCCTGTCGGATGCTAGGCCCCACCCGCTTCCCGGCCTCTCCGCAATCATCATTGGCGTGCCAATCCGAGCACCTGTTTCTCTGCATCTTCTATTCGCTAGCTAGCTTCCCACTTGGCCTTATCGACCGACCGCCTGGAACACCCTGGTCGCGAAATTCAAACAGCGGCCGTCTTCGGGGGCCGATACAACTTTTGAGGCAAAAGGCCCTTTCTCGCCCTCTGCCGCGCCTCCTGGGCCCTGCACCGTCATCGGCAGTGCTGATGCTGATTCGCTTTTAGGCGGGCGACCCAATGCTGTATGTATTCGTCGCCATGCCGCTTGCCACGACAAGATGCGCTCCGAGAGCCCGATCAGCTCTTGTACCACACTCGAGAGCCGTTGGCCGTAGCCCCCGCTGATGCCTAATAACAATACTTTCCCACTTGCTCAGGCCGGTCGACTATTCTTCTGTTGTTGAAACCAACCCCACTCGACGTCCGATTCGCTGGAGATGATATACAGCCCACTACCGATCAGGCTGGACACGCGACCAAGAGCCTGGGCAGACACCATCGACACTACCATCCCAAGAACTAGATTCCAGGCCTCTTGCTCCCCGCAATGAGCTCCAGGACACTGACCAATGTTGTGAACGACCAAACGGTTGCCCTCAATGCCCTCATCTATGGATACGCCGGCCACAGCTTGGTCACCCCTCAGCATGCCCTCCAACAAATATGGTGGACCGAGGAGAGGATTAATGAGCGAGTCACCAATGACTTTGTCACTTCTCGGCTACAGCCTCAAGAGAGGGAACGTCTTACCCAGCCTGTAGGCTTTGGTGATCTGAGCGACGATACGTATATCGAATGGATCATGGAGAAGGCACGGCGGCTATTTCTGATACTTGTCGAGATTGGCGAGGCAGACCGCATATTTGCTGTTGTCGACAAATCTTGGGACGATGATGACCTCCCCCTTGGGATGGAAGATATTGAGCAGCTATCGTTATCGAATCGACGCGACAACCACGCCAATGCTCGCTTTTACCACACCCAATTCACTTTCTTGCTACGAGAGTTACGGCAAGGCGTACACATCGATTATGCCGAAAACGAAGAGGTACCGATCGAGAGTGTCATGACCTTGCCAGTCGCGGTCAGCCTGCAAGCTTGGTCTCGAATACACTTGCCAAAGAAGCCAAAGGAAATCTACATGCGTCGGAAATTTCCGCTTGGGAATGCGGAGGACCCAGAGGCTTTCCGTCAAGACTTTATCCTAGACGTGGAGAGTGCACGAATGGTTGAGCACGAGCATCTCGCTCCTGTCTGGGCGTCATACACGGCAAAGGGCTCTGGCTACATTGTCAGTAACTTTGTCGGTCACCACACTTTGCGCACCTTCATCGACCATCGTAATCCTGCGCAATATCAGAAACTACCGAAGCCTGAGAGACGGTGGTTGGTGCTCAACTGGCTACACTGTTTGGCCGATACCATTGCAACACTGCATCAGAATGGGTTTTGCCATTCCGCGATCCGGCCGTCCCGGATACTCGTCGACGAGCAGAACGCGATCGCATTCAGTGACATTGGCAGCTTGGAGACGTTTCAGAAAGACAAGAAGCCTGATGCCATGGATGCCTACATATACGACGCCCCAGAAACACATACAAGTTCAGAGCCAGCGGACTTGCCTTCCTCCGTCGCAGCACCTACCCCACCCAAAGACCGACACGGGTCTATCGCAAGTAAAAGCTCATCGGGATCCTCGAACAGTAGCAGTTCGCATCGTCAGAAGCTAACAAAATCGCCAACAACCGACTTTTCAGGGTTCAATTTTGGGTTCAAGAAATCAGAGCCTAAACCTCAGCACCGACCACAAGGGCAAGAAACCGAAAAAGCAGATGTCTTTTCTCTAGGCTGTGTTTTCTTGGAGATTCTCACCTTCTTGCTCAAGAAGAAATCCCATGATTTCATCAAGCACCGTACATCGAAACAAAGAATCAACACGGGCGGCAAGAACTCGCGTACTGATTCATCGTATCACAAGAACCTTGACAAGGTCGAAACCTGGATGGCCGTGCTAGAGAAAGCATCTCGCGAAAGCGATGACGAGGCATTTGGCACAGTTCCCGACATTTTGGCCCTTATCCGAACTATGCTGAGCAAAAACCCCATGCTTCGCCCAACGGCACGCGACGTGCGCGATGAATTGTTTGAGATTTTCAGCTGTACCTCGATGCCCAACATACACTGTGGGGCGCACACACATGACGTTGGTGTCGCATCATCTTCGCGTTCGGATCGCGATAGATCGTCCAGTATAGCGTCACTTCGAACGATGTCGACGATAAGTTCGACGTGCTCGGATGTAGACACAATACGCTCTGGCATAACGCAGGTGAATTCCATCTTGAACTACTACTCGGACCGAGCCACATTATCTGGAATCAAAGAGGATGACAGCGCTTCCTTAGAGACGATAGACACACCGTCCATATCGTTGAACAATGATAACTTTCATGCGCTGTGTGGACCAGGACCCATTGTAACAAAGTCTGTCAAAATACCTGAACCACTACAGTCTACTGGTTATGCCACCTCGCCCGCCTCGCCTACCTTGCCTCTTTCGCCTATTCTGCCTGCTTCGCCTACTTCGCCTACTTCGCCCACTGGTCCTTCTTCGCTCCTGTCTGCGCGTTCTCCTAGTCCATCAAAGCAAAAGACCACGACTGTCAAGATCAAGCCATGGAACAAACCATTTCTTTTGCTTCCATGAGCATTATGTGTGTAGCTTAGGGCTTGACACGTGAACTAAACGACTTGTATTGCTGGGGGTTAGATAACAAGCGGTGAGGCCAGGCCATACAGAGCCAGGATATTGCGGGGTCCCCGAAGGTGTGCGCTTGGAGGTACCAGGGGCTATGGCATGAATGCTACATTAGACGAAGAATAGGAAGGTACCTTTGAACCCAGGGACATATGGCTGTCCACTTGACTCAGATTGGTCATGTGCAGCATGGTTGATCAGATAGTCACAAGGCGGACGCAAGTAACTAGGGGTAGAAGTAAAGTGGAGCAGTTCCATGCTGGCAGAGATTCATTTGCCTATTAGTGCGGTATAGGCAGCTCGGAGGGGCACAATGCAAGAGTTACGTAGTTGGCGCAGCACGACATCGGAGATGTCTGGGAAGATAAAGAAGGAGAGGAATTTCTGAATGAATAGTTTCCATTGCAGGCTTCCCTGTACAGGCTGCTAGCATGCATTCTTGTTTATACCTGCTGTGCACTTGATGTAATCTCAAAATGCGGGGTTTGCTTGCCATGCTAGTCTCCCAACCTTCCCTCACGCCCGAAGCTCCACCATCTACGACGCCGAACGCACGCCACATTGCTTAGCCTCCAGGTTTTTGTACCGGTTTGCATTCCCCATATGTACCTCCGCTTCTGGCAAATTGACGTCACCCATCTGCGTTACATTTGAGACAACAGCAGTCCTGGCACGACCTTTTCGCCATGCATCAGTCACGTGTCACCGCGTCACCGGAGAAATAACTGCGTCCGAATATGCGCGGTACCGCAGCAAGATACTGCCGTGTCCGAACACAGGAACATCGCAGCGACGGCGCGGAATGGCTGTTGCGCGCTTGTTTGATGCGAACTGGGCGGACCGGCCATGTTTAGACCGAGTAGTGCGGGGACTGGAGATTCAACAAAGTGCCAGCCAAGGCGATCATCACAGCTGATCAGGGCATGCACTGCTGCATCTGACACCGTGCATCTACCATCAGGATCCATCTACAGCGTAGCCGTACCATCAAGCTACCCTCCTCTATCCTTGAACCAGCCTCTCCAGGCTCTCGTGCCCCTGCACCAGCAGCCTTTGTCAGCCTTGAACAGCCCGCCAAGGACATGTTCACTAGCATTACCATGGTCAGCCGGTGCTGCCATATGACAACCGCAACCTTTGTAGATTTACGCCCAGCGGATGCGGTTTTGCTATGGCTGACCGGGGCGCCCAGCCACCAGGATCATCCCGCCGCTAGTATCCCCAGAGCCAAGGCATTTAGCATGCAGCTGCACGGCCATTACACCAGGTACAGTGGAGCTATGCTGTCATGAGTCTGTAGACCGCTTAAATACCACCTTCATCTCCCTTCATTCGACTCTTCTCATGCTTTCTTGGATACGCGTATAGGCGCTGTGTCATAGCGTCTCTTCCCACCAAGATGCGGCTCTCCACCGGAATCATAGCGAGCTTGCTGACGTGGACGACCATTGCTTCCAACAATAACAAGGTCGTTCCGCGCCAAAACAACAACACGGACTACAAAATTGGATTTACTCCACTCAAAACTGAATGGACTGATACCGTGGGAACCAACCCCTGGCCTGAGTACCCACGTCCACGCCTTCAACGATCAGACTGGAAGAACCTCAATGGCGTCTGGCGATACCAGAACACCCAAAACGGCTCTGATGCCTCACCGCCATTCGGGCAGCGACTTGAAAAAGCCGTCCTGGTCCCATTCTGCTTGGAGAGTGCTTTGTCGGGTGAGTAGCGCCAAATCATACACGAGACCAGTTGCTGAAGTCAGCATAGGTGTGACTGAGAAGGACCGCATCTGGAGCTGGTATTCGACATCGTTCGAAGTTCCATCAACTTGGCCAAGCGGAAACAGTGTCGTTTTGAACTTTGGTGCTGTTGATTACGAAGCCACCATCTTCGTCAATGGCCAAAAGGCAGGATTTCACAGAGGTGGTTACTTCGAGTTCAGCGTTGATGTCACTTCGTATCTGAATGCCAATGGGACAAACGAGCTGTAAGTGCATGAGAAGCGAGAAATTATAAGAAAAAAACTAATCGTTTTGTAGTTTGGTATACGTCTATGATCCAACTGACATGGACCGCGTTCAAATCCCAATTGGAAAGCAGACTCTGAACCGTGGTGGAATGATCTGGTATACGCCCTGCAGTGGCATATGGCAGACAGTGTGGCTCGAGTCCGCACCCAAGGATCACATTTCGAAACTCGATCTCACTGCTGATATGGATGGAAAGGGTCAGTCATCTGTTCATGGTGCTGCTGTCTTGTTACTTACATTCATCAGTCGTCGTCACTGTGCACACTAGCACTAATTCGACAACCACATACACTATCGTTGTCCACGAAGTTAATTCGGATGATGTCAAGGCAGAGGCTACGGGTACTAGTGGAAGCCCATTTACCTTTGTTGTTGATTCACCTGAGCTGTGGACGCCGGATAGTCCGACCCTGTACAACATCACCATCAAAATGGGTAGTGATACAGTGCAGAGCTATACCGGATTCAGAACCATCTCTAGAGGCGTAATCGGCGGTGTGCAGCGCCCACTCCTTAATGGAAAGTTTGTCTTTCCATTTGGCACTCTGGATCAAGGCTATTGGCCAGACGGCATATACACACCTCCAAGTGTAGAAGCCATGGTGTACGATCTCAAGGTACTAAAGAATGTCGGCTACAACATGGTCCGAAAGCATATCAAAGTCGAGCCGGCTCTGTTTTACAGGGCTTGTGACGAGATGGGCATGTTGGTCATTCAAGACATGCCTTCTTTGCGCCCCGATTTACCTGCCCGTGAAGGCTGTGGAGGCATACGGTTAGAGCCAGGTGCTCAGCCTGAATTCGATCGCCAACTTGAGGTCATGGTTGAGCAGCTGAAGTCGTACCCCAGTATCATCGCCTGGACCATCTACAATGAGGAATGGGGTCAGGCCACTTCACCCCCATGGCCAGAGTTTGGGTTGACAGACATGGTGCGTCGGGTTGACCCTACTCGCCTTGTCAACTCTGTGAGTGGTTGGACCGACCACATGGCTGGCGACTTTGACGACAACCATCATTACTCGACACCCCAATGCGGAACACCGTTTTGGTCTTACCAAGGCAGCGGCTACGACTCGGCTTACGACCCCGCCCGCATCGGTCTGCAAGGCGAATTTGGCGGCATCGGCACCCAGCTCACCGAGAATAACTTTGAGCACGCATGGTACAAGGATCTCGGTCGACAAACCGCATACGAGCTTACCAATGGTACCGTTTGGTGGAACTATCGTTGCCACGACCTGCTTGTGCAACTACGTGAGCAAATCGACTTGTTTGCTTGCTCAGGTGGTGTCTGGACGCAAACGACAGATGTCGAGGGTGAAGTCAATGGCATGATGACGTATGACCGAAAGGTAATTAGGATGAATGAGACAATGTGGAGACAAGATATCCAGGCCCTATACGACGCGGCCGCGAAGCGAGGCAACGAATCCTCAATGGTGATTCGGGATACAGGCATTGCTGGCATGCAACATGGTATATTCTAATGTCTATGGCCAAGTAGGTAGATATACATAGTTACTCTTCCTTATTCCACATGCCCAAACTATGCTTCTTCTTTTTTCCCCGCCTCCCTCGCATACCACTCCCTATCCAGCATCCCCAGCGTAAACGAATCCCACCACTCCCCCTCAAACCACACAGCCTCCCTCTCCCTCCCCTCCACCACAAACCCCAGCCGCTCATACAACCGTATCGCCCCCTTATTCCACCCAAACGCCCTCAACCGCACAGTATGCAGCCCGGCCCTCCGAAACCCAAAGTCCAACGCCCAATTAATCGCTTCACTCCCATACCCCTTCCCCTGGTACGCGGGCAAAATATCCAGCCCAATCTCCATAGTCCGATGATGCGCCTCATGCAGCGACACCGGCGCAGAATAAATCTGCCCCACCGCAACCCCAAACTCGGGATCCAGAATCTCCCCGGGGTTCTGCCGCTTCATTTCCTCCAGCACCGCTTCTTTTTGCTCCGCCGCCAGCGACGCAATCGGCGTGTCGTGCGGCCGCCAGATTATGGCTTGTAAGAGGCTTTCTTCTTCGCCGGAGCTGCGGTCAGAGGCGCCCTGATGCATGTTTTCAGAGGCGTCTTGTTCCGTGGGCAATTTGAGGGTCGCGTGCGTGCTGGCCATGTACATGGCTGGGTCTGCGGCGAGGGCGAGGAAGATGGATTTGTCGCAGGGGCGGATGGCGCGGTAGTGCAGGCGCGGGCTGCGCCATGGGTTAGGGTATTTGTTGGACATTGTACAGAGGAGTGTGTTTGGATGTTTAGATTAGGAATGTGGGAGATGGGGGGTGGTTGTCTTTTTACTATATATATATGTGTTTTTTGTTGGCATGCAAGTTCGTAACTTTGGTATGCAGATGTTATGTATGGGTACCAGGTTTGGCCGTGCTAGTGCCGGCGTTGTCATTGGCGTTGCATTGCGTTGCGCCCTTTTTGGCGGTACCGCCCTTTTCTTGATCTTCGGAATGCGATGTTCAGATCGCGATGTGGGGATAAGGACAAGCAGAGACGACACGCGGAGAGTGGACTGCGGCGTATAGCAGAAGCACGCTAAGAGATTAGGTACATGTCGTATATGGGGCCTGTCACATTTATGTCTCACAATAGCCAATGCCTGGAATCGTAGTATACAGGGGCTATAGTAGCCCTTACAGCCCGTATGGCCGTGGACTAGTTTAACATTCGTCATGGACGCGATAGTGCCAGCGCCGCTACCCGGGTCTTGCTTCATACTCTTACAACGAAATCTCACCCTTCCATGTGCCTTCGGTCAGACCCAGAGTCTCAATGCAATGTTGCCATCTTGGGCCACCTCGCTCCTTCCTCCTCAAGTACTGCAGAAGCTTCTGTCTCCTGTGCACCAGCAACCGCAGATTTCGCTTGTTATGCTTATCACCTTTTCCTCGTGTCTGTAGAAAGTCCGCTAGTGTCTTGATCTTGGCCGTCAGGATAGCAATCTGAACTTCGGAAGATCCGGTGTCTGGCCCCACTCGCTTGGCTGTCGCGGCAACGTTTGTTTCTGGGCGGACGACGTGAGTCTCGTCTACGCCTGAGCGGCTCAGCGATGGCGCTTTTGGTGGGAATATCCTGTCGGTATTGTGGCGTCCAAACGTCTCGACACATCGTGCAATGTTGACGCGCATGCGGTCTTTGCTGGAGCCATTCTCGAGGGCCGTGATTCGCTTAATTGCCTCGACCGCACGTGCATGGTCTTTCTTGTTTTGCTCCTCTATTTCCGCCGCCGACTTTTCAATCGCCCTTGCCTGATCATACCGCGTGGCGTCGTTCCATGGGTACGCAGCAGGTGCAGCTTGCTTTGCAATTTCACTCAATGGCACAGCCAGCTTCTCGCTCTTCTTCAATTGCTTCTCCACCGTCGCCGGGTCGAATGCATAGTTGAGATGCGTCCGATCCTTGGGAATTTTCTTGCCATCCTCGTAGGTAATGGGCTTGCCAGTGTCAAAAGACTCCACGAATGGTGTTGGTATACCGCGAACAGGATTTCCAAGACTGGCTACCCGGGCTTGTTCGAGTTCGGCACGTCGAGACAGGTTGGCTGCCTTTTTGCGGTTGCGCTGCGCAACTATGTAGGGGTCGCTAGCGAGGCGCTTCTTCTGTCGTTCAATTGATTCGGCATTGGCCCGCGCTGTCGAAACAAAAGTTCGGATGGGGAGTGTGAATTGCGCAGAAATGGATGGTGCTGTGGCATTGTCAGCACTGGGTATTGTACATGAGATCTAAGAACTCACAAGCCGATGCCCGTAGACACGACAATGCTGGTATTCGTGGCGGCATCGTTGGCTGGACGCACACTCACTGCTCCCACCCGCCGTGAATCTTTTGCGGATCAGGACGTCGGCGCATTGGTTTCGCCGGCGCCGCGTCCCGTTGGGCACTATGCCGCTTCCGGCTCTAGCTCGCCCACTGCCGGAGCTCGAATATCGCCAAAGTTCGTGTGCCAAAACTTCGCCCGCACGCATCACGACAACTTCTCTATACCCACCAGCTTGTACAGCGCCAAACCGTCAAAATGGCCCCTTCCAACCTCCCCGCCATCTTCAACCCCACCCAGCAGGACATTGAGATGCTCCTCGCTGCCCAATGCCACCTCGGTAGCAAGAACCTCCAGGTGCACATGGAGCCTTACCTGTGGAAGACCAGGCCCGACGGTGTCAACGTCTTGAACATTGGCAAGACCTGGGAGAAGATTGTTCTGGCCGCCCGCATCATTGTCGCCATCGACAACCCGGCTGATGGTACGTTTGAGCGCCCAAGTCAAGAGATTTGGACTTGAAGAATGCGCAAATATGCCCAAGTTCTTCTTTAGCTGACACTGCGCAGTCTGTGTCATCTCTGCCCGTCCCTATGGACAGCGTGCCGTTCTCAAGTTCGCCTCCCACACCGGCGCCACCGCCATCGCTGGTCGTTTCACTCCCGGTAACTTCACCAACTACATCACCCGTTCTTTCAGGGAGCCCCGCTTGATCGTCGTCACCGACCCCCGCACCGATGCCCAGGCTATCAAGGAGGCCTCCTACGTCAACATCCCCGTCATTGTAAGGAGAATGCGTATGAAGAAGAGTACAGGAATCTGGAGCTAACCCCGAATAGGCCCTTTGCGACGGTGACTCTCCCACCGAGTATGTCGATGTTGCCATCCCCACCAACAACAAGGGTCGTCACGCCATCGGTCTCGTCTGGTGGATGCTTGCCCGTGAGGTCCTCCGCCTCCGCGGTACCCTCGCTAACCGCGAGACTGAGTGGGATGTCATGACTGACTTGTACTTCTACCGCGACCCTGAGGCCGAGGAGAACAAGGACAGCGCTGGCGTTGAGGAGGCCAAGGTCCCCGGTGCCGACGAGGTTGGTCCCGCCGCTGTCGCTGACGGCTTCACCAGCGAGTGGGAGGTCTCTGGCGCATCCGCCGGTGCTTTCACTGCCCAGGCTGCTGCCCCCGGCACCAGCTGGGACGCTGACGCTGCTGACTGGGCCGCCTCTGGCGACGCCCAGGCTAGCGGCGAGGGCTGGGGTGCCGAGACTGCTGCCCCCACTACCACTACTCAGTGGTAAATGCTATGTTGAGCATCTTCGTCACTTCTTCTCTTACATACCCTGTCTTTGAACAAACAATGGCACGTCGGCGTAGGAGTAGGCAATGGGAAAAAAGGAAATATGAGACCATTTGACAACGATCAACAAGAAATGCATGCTTGATGGGACAGGGGTGTGTTGAAGGATATGATCAATGCTGTGCGCTTATGAGGGAAAGATATCCATACTTGTCTTCGGGTATGGGGGAAAGCCCTGTGCTGGCGATCGGGTCGTACTTAGTTGGCGCCCAATCCTTCAATACGAACCTTGTTCCCACATTGCTTGACTGCTTCTCTGATTTTGAGTATTTGTGCACCATGACCTACCGTTAGTGACTGAGTTGATGCCGTATGACATGACATGTGCCGCTGAGCAAACGCAAGGCAAGTTGGCGCAAGTTTTTTTTTTGTATTTTCAGCCCGATCCTAAGCGGGGTATTCATATACATTAAAGTCCGTCATGTCCTCGTTAAATTCTGCCCCATGTACCATGTACCATACCTAATCAAGTAAGTAGACTAGAAACTATGTACATGCAGAATGTGCGAGTGATGATAATTCAAGCCTCAGCTGCTTTTCAGCGAGAGAAAGCGAAAAAAAGAGAGGGGAATGACTTTTACAACCAAGCAAATACGATCAGAACACCGAGCAGCATAGCACCTGTGCTCTTGAGTTCCTTGCTCAATCCATCTGCCGCGGCAGCAGTAGGCTGTGGTGCAGACGTATCCGCAGTACCAGATCCAGAACCCGATTGCTTTGCTCCAGAACCAGAAGTCTGCGTGGCGCTGGAACCATCGGATGTAGGAGAGCTGTCGTAGTTGTGTTTCTGACCTATGGTAGGGAGAGCGGATGTAGGGACCACTTCCCATGCTCCTTCAGTGAAAGCTGGGCAGGCAATAGAAGTGTGAGTTGGCTTGTAGTCCGAAGCCTTGATTCCCGTGGGATTCAGGGTTTTCCAGACTGCTGAGAGGTTGGGGAAGTCTGGTTGGACGGGTGTGGGTTTGCCTATTTTCTCAGTGATTAGTCGGCTGTTTTTGAAACATCTTGTAAATCATTTTTCTCAAAACATACCAGAGCGAGGAAATCCATCTGGCGGCGCATTCGGACTCGCCGGATCAACCTTGGGTCCGTAACTAATCAGTCCGTAGTTATTCTGTTCCTCGATCCACTCGTATATGATACTGCCGGACCATACATCCGCCATCTCACCAAATAGCGCCTCCTGGTCTTTGAAGTCGCGCGGGCGCACAGTGTTGCAGCCTGTTTCGGACATGAAGATGGGGACGGGGAGGTCCTTTGCGTTCTTTTCGAGGTTGTCGTATCCAGATTGCTGGTAGGAGCTGTCACCGCACCAGGAGTAAGCGTTGAGGGCAAAGAAATCGACACGCTCTGAGGCGTTGTTGCCGCAGGAGAGGTAGTCTTGTAGCATGGGCCGTAGAGAAGCGATGTCAGCGGCGGAGTAGCCGATAGGGATGTTGCGGTATCCTTTTTTGTCGCGATAGGCTTTCATGTCACGTGCGGCGGCTTTGATGTAGGGGGATGTGACGGAGCCGTTTGAGGTGGTGATGGCTTCGTTGCCGACGAAGAAACCGGCAACGTTGTCGTATTGATGGAATTCGTCCATTACTTTGGCGTAGGCGTCGTGTTGGTCTGACTCCCATCGAGGTGTGTTTTGCTCGACATATGTGTCGAAGGTGTCGAGATCTACCCAGATGTAAACTATGTGACTGGTGAGTATTCATTTTTTGAAAGTGACTAGGAAACAAAGATTTCTTGTTATGCGATATTTGCGCTCTTGAAGAATAAAATCGGCATGTAATAATCAAAGTAATCTGAGTTCATGCATATTTTGAATATACGTACTTCCAGCATCTGCAAAGGCCTTCATGCAATCGGTATGGTCAGCATCAGGGTCAACGTGGTAAACACGGATTGAGTTTGCGCCAATGGTCTTCATGAGGGCAGAGTCGAGACCACATTGCGTCGCGTCGATGAGCGGATCGTCTGGGACAAGCTGGTATGCGATACCTAAACTGGGTCGTTAGAAAACCATGCTTCTTTAACTTCGTTTTACTGCAGAATGGCATATGTACCCTTGACGTAGAATTGATTGCCTTCGCTAGTGAAGAGCTTGGAGCCCTTTACTTCGATTGTCGGGATAGCTGAAGCGACAGTGCTCAAGCTGGCCAAGAGCGCCAGCGATAGAGATTGAACCATTATTGCAGTCCAGCAATCCAAACGTTTTCAAGTGTTTCTCTGGTAACAACTGAAGATCAAGCAACGGAACAGCTCAAGTCCCTGCTCAAAAAGAAATTATTCAGCAGCAAACGCACTGGGCTCACGAACCACTGTTACGTTACGTGCGAGACACAAGATTGCACATGAGCTCCGTAAAAGTATAAGCGAGAGTAGTAGTCGACAAAAAAAGCAAACGACTGTAGTGTTTGGAACGAACGAAGGGTGCGTGAACAAGAACGAAGTAAGAGAGCAGATCAGGCCGGCCAGGTCATGTTTATGAATGCGGCTGTTTGGAAACAAGGCAAAGGGCGCCCTAGTAAGTAATACGCCTACCCCCCAACTCCACGCCGTCGATCCTTCCAATCTCCATGACGCTTCTCGGCAAAAAGGCGCCCATAAACCCGCTTCCATGCAATCCCACTTTTCAAACTCGAGGGCTAAAGCGTCGGCTCCCTCCAATTGCAATGCCGCGAACGGGGCGAACGAAGGCGTATCATGGAAGTCGGGGAAAGAGGACAAGCGTAGTGGAGACGTGCGTGGGCGATGCGACAAGGACTGGCGTGGGCGATTGGTTGGCTGCAGTGTTTAAGCCTATGCGACCCGCATGCTTGATGCACCTAAGCGGCACACGGCCTGGGCTTGGTCCGACCGATACAAACGTATCGTGTCTTTCTGGTCGACGCGTTCACAAAATAACAAGTTTATGTCGAGCTAAGGATATGCATTACTAGAAGAAAAATAATCGACTACCCACGCGTCAAGCCTGCATTTGCTTTGGTCGGGTTTTCCCTCCACAGCTTGATTTCGAGCGCCGTTTATTGTTTACCCGTAGATGGGATAAGTGAATTTGCACCCCGTGCAATCTTAATCCGTTAATCTCCGCTAACCACCTGTCACAACGACGTGAAAACTGTAGCGGTCGGTCAGTTGGAAGAGCGCGCCAGACGTCCCGATTGCACTAAGAAAGAAGAGGCTCCGTGCCAAAACGCTAGTTGCTGGCTAGCTGTTAGCCGCTCCCCAACGTCTGTCACTGACAAAGTCCGCCCGCTTTGCTTGCTTTTCTGACCAGAGAGGGTCATGTGGATTGATTGGTTGGCTAAGTTTCTCCTAGGTAACCTTTGCGTAGCAATTGCATACATACGACCTTTTTCCTCTCATCTTCCTTTCTACGCACTCTTCCCCCAGACTAGACCGAGCTGCTGGATTCCCGCACCGGGGCTGTACGAACCGTAGAAGCCCCGCAGATTCCAGCCTTCTGCAGGTGATTTCTCATCTCTGCTATGCACATAAGATCCAGATTGTTTTGACGGTGTAATTGTGCGTTCGTTAATAGTTGGACCAGGTTGACCTGGAACAGTTGATGAAATAGTCACAGAATCAATGAATGCGATACTGTTCATACCTAAGCTGCTGTGGCTCTCAATCTTGACACCGTCGATCTTTTCGTGTGCGACCAGATCCACCGTTGTGGGTTGAAGGCCCTTGTCGTCGCCATTAAGGATCTCTCTTCCATCATTGTATATGGTTTTGATGCCGAAGAGGTGGTAGTTGTCATAGTAGATGGTGATACTTTTTGGCATCCATGTATCCTCGAGAATATCGAGGCTGTTGAAGAATACACTTCCGGGCTGGGGTAGGTCATCGCCCAGATATCCTGAAAGTCGGAATTGCTCGTAGCGAGAAGCGTGTTTGGATATGCTGGCTCTGAGCTCATCAAACTCAGGATAAATCGATGGTAGAGTTGGAGTAACCTTTCCAGTGCTTCTTTGGGGTGACTTATTTACCTAGTTCCAGTAATAAGATTGATGAAAGTGTCAAGAGGATGGCTTACAGGAAGCAATTGCCTGAAGATCGAAGGGGCCAAGTAGATGCCTACACGATCTGGCTGAAGTGCAATGCTTGGATCCGCTGTGACGGCATCAACCTGTAGCAAGTTTTAGCATTTCTTAAACCAATTTACACCGTCGAAACTAACTTCGTGAACGATTTTCGTCATCTCGAGCCGACAATCGCGTCTGGCCTTGCTCAACCCTACAATCGAAGGACTGTAGGGTTCACACAGCAAGACGTTCGGCTTGAAAGTAGGCTTTTTGGATTGCAGGTCCGACGAATGCTCGGAGCCCTCTGGATGCTCGTAAATGGTATGGGTTAATGTCGTGTCTTGATTAGCAGGCTTAGGTACAGACTCGCGCTCTTTGGTGCACTCTTTGGCGTAGGTTAGGAGCTCCTGGGTGGGCTCAGATTTGAATAATTCAGTAGTTCCAGATTCGAATTTCCAGTTCAGGATCTGAATATGCTTCCAGATTGATTTGTAATCCATGTAAGCATCCAAAAGCGCGCCCGTATAGATACCAGCGTTTTCATAGTCTAGCAAAATCAGCAGCTTGCTCGTATAACATTTGTTCAAAGCCATGGTATATGTACATACCAAGCGGAGAAAAGAAGCCCATTGTATCATGAAAACTTTTCAGAGATGTGTACTTTGTCAAAATCGCATAAGTGCGTTGTGGTGTCATTGCGACAAGATCTGTAAAATTCGCCGCGGCGAGAGTAAGACTGTTGATGTCCCAAATGACGTTTGGGTCCTTGATTTGGCCACCACCGCTCCAGTTGACATCTTGAATTGTGTCAGTAGATGTGATTCTGAAGCCAATAATATATCTTACTTATTGTTGTTTCCGTTGATGTGTCAGTGGCGCTCTTGTCCAAATTGCCCTCGCCTTTGATCGCACCAGACAAAGCCGGTGTTCCTAGCTCTGCTTATAATGCACCTTTGATCGTGGTTATCTTGGATTTATCATTTACTTTGACTGATATGAGTGCATTGAGTTCTCCACCTTCCTCCCATCCAGATATGAATGAATCCTAGGCCTCGTGTCAGCTACCAATCCTTGGCCGAGAACCAGACAGGCGTCTATCTTAAACACTTACACCATATATCTCAGTGAATCTAGTAAGTGGAAAACTTTTTAGTTTCTGGAACTGTGTATAGTCGCGCGCCATATGTGTTTGGTTCGTCACCTTGACTTGGATGAAGAAGTTAAAATCGCTGGCCTTGAACTTATCAGAGTCAATGTACGTTCCGCTAACGGCTCCACCTATTGTTCCTGTTTTTATGGACAAGGAAGCTGATACGTTCATCAAATCAGTCACATCGCTGAGCTTATCAACGAAGCGAGATGAGTACGAAACAATTTGACTGATCCCCTTAGGCTGCTGATCTTCCGAGTACGGGGAAGGGACATCGTGGGTGCCCTGAGTGACTGCATCAGTCATGCATATCTGCTGTGTGAATGAATTGAAACCTTGTCCCAGGCGCATGGAGTTGTTGTAAGGCGCAAGAAGCATCGCCATGGTGGCTAACGTGTAATGAGCAAGGATGAGATAACAATGATAAGCTTGATGGCTTCTTGACAAGATAGAATGCAGTGGGAAGTGCTGGTACAAAGCTAAATACTGACTCCATCCTGTATTTATGTGTGAACAATCTCTTGGTCATTATGGATTTTGTTCGAATGGGGTACCCGAACGCTAGTGTAGCCACCAGACGCCACAAAACGCCATGGTGCCGCTCGGGTTGCTTTTGCATCAGGCCGCAAATAGAAATTGTGTCCTGGAATCTGTGTTGGTTGAACGGCTAGATCCTCCTTTGCCGCTGATACAATGGTCGGGACTTGAAGTCTGGCTTATAGCCCCAAATAATTCCTTGTCGAGACGTGATATCACCGCCTGCACAACCTCAGAATGAACAGTCTCCAAAACCTTGCATCCCAAAGCCTCCCTCTGTATCTGCCTTGGTCCAAGGATTATATTGCGATAGGATCAGGCTTCAATTCAGCTGCTATTTAATCTGACAGTTCGCCCTGGGTACGGAAATATCTATATATGATTGACAACGCAAAATGTATTGTAGAGGTTGATGGGGCAGTTTCAAGTTACCGAGAAGGAAACAGTTCTTCGTCAGCTCAGCATTCAGAGCACCTCAGTGCTAGTCTTGGAGTAACTGTGGGTTGCAAGTTCCTCAGCGCCAGTCATATAATTATGCTTACTATAACGCATGGTGCCGTAATTAGTACAGTATTATAGTTATAGTACAGCTCTACTCTGCTATTCTAATAGATTACTAAAAGGTGGCCATTACATAGAGCCGGGCTTTACTACTCTAATCCTAGTCCACACTAAGGTAGGTAAGACTAGCATTAGAAGTTCCGTATAATTATACAGCGACAGAGTAGAATAGTAGGTACTTAGAGTAGGACAAATTCGTAAGAGGCTACGCTCAGGGAGCAATCGCACAGGTTTACTAAGAGTGGATTCAATAACGAGCTATAGACCTAGCTCTAGGAGAGCTTATATCTAACTAGTATCCAGACAAATAAGCTTCGTTATTGTTCTAAGCGTTGCCCTATACATCTCGCTTGAACGTCTCTTAGACTCAGGTAGGATCTAGGTGTAGGTACTCGTATCTAGATTTTGTAGTTTTGTATTAAGGTCTTACTAAAGATATAACTAAAACGTCTTTAGGTTATTATAAAGTTATCTAAGTATGCCCGGTATAAGATAGATTATTAAGAAAAGAAGTTATTATTTATATATTTTCGTAGGGTCTTAGTAAACCCTAATCATCCTTCTCCTGCCAAAACTCTCTATATAACTCCTGCCAAATTTGGTTACTCCCCCAACTCTCCGCTCCTGTCTCCCAGGCTGGATCGTCGCTAAGCTGCCCCTGCCACATACGCTTCATTTTATTTTGCCCTTTCTCTCCTGCTATATCCCACTCCTCGTATATCTTGTTAGCATCTTGGTGGATCTTGGCTTCCTTCTCAGCTAGCTTAGCTCTACGATCCTCCAACTCTACTTGTACACCTGGCGGAAGTAGATTCATACACTCATCTACTATCCGATCCTGGTTGTGGAACTCCGCGGCATGCCTCGTCCACTCTCCTGCCTTTTGAAAATACCCATCGCACCCAGCTACTGGACAAGCGAAAGGGCTGTCCTTGCTCCCCTCAAAATGCCACCGATCTAATGCCTCTACTGCAATTGGCCATAACCCCAATTGTTCTAAGAAAAGAAGCGATCCTCTATACTGAAACTCAAAGAAACGTCCGACTGGGCCTAGAAATTTCTTAGGCGGTATAAGCACTGCCTTCCAGTCTTGCCTGACCTTGCTCTTTTTCCACAACCCGTCTGGACAGAGGTGGTACACTGCTCTTTGCCACTTCTGCGTAGAGAGGCCGCTTGCGTCTATGCTAGCTGCAACATTGGCTCTCTCAGCAACAAATGCAGACGCTGAAACTCTTGGTGGTGATGATTCAACTAGAAGCTGTGCTCCCTTTGGAATACAGTGTGTTTCTTTTCTGTTTGATAGTGGCGTCCAAGTCCGGTTGATAATCACATTTCTAGCCCTTGGACATCTCTTTTCAAAGATCTCCCAGAACCTTGCGATTTGATCCTGCTGAACCTCCACTGTTTCATCGCCTGACGGGCAGATAATATCGTCTACCCCAAAGTCATAATCGACCTGGATGTTTTCCGCTTTAGCTAGAAAGGCTAGATCTTTATGATTATAGCCAGCGTAACCCCCATTAAGGAGCCAATGTGCCTCAATAACAAAGTACGCGTCTGGATGAGCCCAAAAGAGTTTACTAGCTTCTTTTCGGAGACCAGAAGATACTCTCATAAGTTGAAAGAGAGTAGAAGCAGAGCAAAGGGTAAGAACGCGAAGTTGAAGCTCTGCTGGTAGTGTATTGAATCGCAAAAGTTGGTTATTCTGGCGCGAGGAATTAGTAGCATTGCTACTAGATTGGACGTAAAGACCGAACGGTGTTCTTTCTTCTCCATCTAATGTCATGTACACGTTGTGTCTTATTGCGTTTGTCCAGGGTGGATGCGCCAGTGTGGCGAGAAAGTTGCAGATAAACTCTGGTAGCATAACTGCGTAACAGCGTTAATAAGGTATGTAGGCGCTGCCTAGTAGTATATCTGAGATCAATCTTCTTCTTCTTCTTCTTCTTCTTCTTCTTCTTCTTCTTCTTCTTCTTCTTCCTCTTTCTGTTCGCTTGGTAGCTTTTGGCGTAGAGTTGGTGAAGTAGGCTGTGTTAGTCATTAGACATGCTGGTTGCGGCCTTAACACTAAGTTTTTATCTACTTTGTCTTGGCAAGACGCTAGACACTAGAATAGTAGTCCAAGCCATAGCATTGCCGTAGTACCTGCAGGCTCCAAACCTACGCCGCCCCCTCTTATCTTCTTATCCTAGATAGGCTAGTAACTTTCTATCTTCAATCATGTGTTCTTATTCGCTCTAAAATAATTAACGTTAATAGTGTTATCTATCTATAGAGATTCGTTCGCAGGAGTATAGGACTACAGTAATAAATAGTTTTGTTCTAAGGGCCCCAACGCAAGCGCTAGGCACTAAGGTAAGCGCTGGACCCCCAGATAAGCGCTAGGTCTCAAGGTTTCTAGTATCAGGTGCTGCAGTTTAGATGTACTACTTAAGCTTTAGTCTGTATCCTCTGGCAGGCCCTTTATTCTACCTCGCCATTGAGTTTCTATCCTAAGACAAACGCATCAATCCTTGCTACAACTACTCTATTCTAAATACAACCTTTACACAACTCTACCACAGGCTACTATTCGTACCTCTACCCTACCCTAGCATGCGTTCCTTTGCGCTTTATGTCTTTACACTCCTTCTCACGGTTAGACAACTAATTGGAGTCCTTGCTAGTCCAATACACGAACTTGCGGCTATAGGGCACCTCCAGGAGAATACAAAGTTTGAAGAGAGAGCAACAACTCTCTTTGTCCCGCTGAACCAAGCTGGACTTAATAATCCTACCTATATAGGGACATTGGGCACATCTTCACTATTGCCTACCCCTTTTACTGTCGCCGGTTCATATGATAAATCAGTGTCGGACAATCTTGCTGTATTTGAAGACCAGAAAACTCGCAATTGATTTGTATTAACGTATGATAGGGAACACGAGTCTCCAAGAACATCAGTATTCGAGCCGGGCATATCCGTTTCAAAGCTGATCCGGGACTGACACCTTACGCTCGAAACGTCTTATGCAAGTCTGAGAAGGAATTTCGCAGCATTTTTGGGGACTATTATGTTGCTGGATACCAGATTGGAGCTGAAGTGGGAGGATGTGTGACTATCACACAATCAGATCAGTCTGAAGAAAAGCTGGTGCAAGTTCAGGCCACTGCCAAGGTACTCTGGATGAAGAAGACCATCAGCACTACAACATCATCGAAAGAGGTATCTTCAGATCACTCCATATCCATCAACGGCTATGATACCCTACGGCAACGCACCGAGGAGGTAAAGGGAACCAATCTGGAGGAAATCCACCAGATGTCGAAGGCGTGTATGGACCGAATCGGCAATCTGCAAGCGACAGTCGAACAAACAATATTGGATTTGGGTCTGGGCACAGATGCTGGCGTATCTGTAAAAGATTGTGCACGATTGTGCGAGTCTGGCCTGGTCGTCCAGCTGATACTAGCTCCTTACTCTAAGCTTGCAGAATATGTAGCGCTAACCAGTAGTCATAGCTTGGATATTCAATGAAACTCTGGCGATACCGGATGTCTTGTCGAGATGAGTTAAGTGTGAACGGTCAAGGTAATGATTGTCCGAACGTGGTGCTGTCAGATCCAAAACGAGATCAAGCGCCTCGCTTGTGGCTGTCAAAGTAGCTGCTTTGGGCTGCACCCCTCAATCTAGACCTCATGGCACTAACAATGGAACGGTCTGTTGTCAGAACATACACAGGCCGCCACGGCGAACTATTGGCGTTTTCAGCTGCTCATTCGCACCGGGTGCTCTCTCAGCTCAGTACAAGGAACGGCAAAGCCAAACTGACAAGCCTCATTTCAGAAAGAGAACACAGTCTATGCGCGCCATTTGCTTTAGCTCACCCTCTAGGCAATTTGAATATCCTCGGTTCGGAAGTACGCGAGAAATCGAGAGCGTCTCTTCCAAATGAGAGACAGACCAGCCGAACAATCATAGCCCGTTGCGCAAGCCACAACATCTCGTCAAGAAATACATCAATAAAACAACTTCCTGAATGCTCCATTTTTTGTACTGAATTCATCTCTCTAATAGCACATATCTTTGTCCACTGACATCATTCTTACCATCAGTGCTCATTACCATGGCTATCATACCAAGATACGGTGACTGGATCACCTTTCCTCTAGAGCAGGTCTCTCCCGTAGAGATCGAGTGGTGGAGCGACAAGACACAGCAACGGACCAGATACTATGTTGATAAATGTTGGTTTGGCGAAAGAGTAGACAGTACTGACAGTGAGTCTGCTTACGGCAAGGGTCTGGCTCCAAAGGGTGAATAGCCACAAAACAATGTTCTTACCTTCATCCATCATCCTAACATTTCTGTGCAGGAGAAACCCTTATATTCATTGCTTCAGAATACATCGAAAGTAGGATGCAGGGCGCACCGCATCTGCTGAACCTACATCTTATGGACATAATGAGGAAAAAATACCACGAAAACGACCTTGCAAGTACGAAGATGAAGAGTCATAGGGACGAACTTCACTGATGTTTGCAGGGAACTGGGCCTTATTGCAGCTCAATGAAAAATTTCATTATGGGCAAAACAACAAGCAAACATTCAGATGGATCGTATACCACCCGCCCGCAATCGCTGGTCGAGAGCGGAAGATGTACCAAGTATGAGCGATCACAGTATTCAGAAAAATCGATTGCGCTGACCAGCTACGTTCCAGCATCGTTTTGTTGAGAATGTCGCCTTAAAGATTGCAGACATAGGCATCGAACTAGCCGGAGTAGCAGTCACAACCGGCACTGGCGCCGTCACAGCTGGCGCTGTTCAGGTTGAGGGAGTAGTACCTATGCTCACACGCATGAAAAACCTCTTCGCAGCCAACCACGGCCACGGATTACACCAATTTTCTCCGTCTGAGCAAGTCCTTCCCATTTCACCCAAACCTCAGCCTGAGAAACCAAAAAAAACCTCTGTCACGCTATCCAACGGCACAGTAGTCGAGGTCATCGAGCAGTCCGATAGCACTTTGCCCAACATCTCCGTCGAGGAAGTGAACATGATCAACATTGTAGACGTCCAAGACGAAAAACAGGATATACCTTCGTATACAGGAATGCCAGGAGTTTCGTCTCGAGAATTGTCGAACATTCAACGGGGTAGACCCGGGGATTGTGTCCAATGGGCTCGGAATCCACCCTTATCCACAGGCAACCAATAGCGGGGCTAGCATGGAGAGTAGTATGCAAGGGCTATTTCAGAGCGTTGAGTGGCTGTTACATATACCACGCATCGATAGTTCCATAACAATCCAACATTTTGAATTGTCGTTCTCATCTCTTCTTCCGAAAGATTCAAACAAAAAGATACTAGCATTGCTATAGTCCCTTAGACGCATTTCTGCTACCTTAAAGGTTAAGAAAAGAGTGAAATTGAATTGTAAAGAATGGTTTGGACTCAAGTGCCATTCGTGTGCTGCCATAAAGGATATAAACTTCCCAAACACCAAATACTGGATATGCACAGAAGGGAGTGAATCGCTCAAAGTGACTACATGGTAACGTGATTGAAACGAAACGTGCTTTGCCCGCCAAATAACGCCAGATAAAATACTTTCACAGTTTAAGAACCAGTCAAACGAGACGATCAGGCAAAAGCACTTTTACCACCTCAACTCTCTCACCCAAAACTCTCATATCCCTCCGTCTCCTCCCCCTCCTCCTCCTCCCCTGCACCTCTCCCCGCAACAACATCCCGCATCCTTCCCAACAACTCCGCAACGCGAAACGGCTTCCCGACAACATCATCCATACCCGCCTCGACCGCCGTCCTGATCTGCTGCTCCCTCACATTCGCCGTAACCCCAATAACCGGTACTCTCCCCCTCAACAAGCCCTCTTTCTCCAGCCTCCTAATCTCAGTTACAGCCTTCAACCCATTCATAACGGGCATTTCCCAATCCATGAGGATGAGGTTGAGCGGGATGACGGGGATGTCGTCGTCGTAGCCGAGGGGCATGGGTTCGGTGGAGGGGACGTGGTATTTTTCTTTGCGGGAAAGCGAGGAAGAGAGTGGGTGCGTGTGGTTCCAGAGAGTGGTTTTCGGGAGGAAGTCTAGGGCTTCTTTGCCGTGGTTTGCGACGCTGATGGTGCAATTGAGGGCGCGGAGTTGCTTGGCGAGGACGCGCTGGTTGACGAGGTTGTCTTCGACGATGAGGACATGGAGGTGTTGTGGGGTGGGTTTTGTTAGGGGCTTGGGGTCTTGTGGGTGGGGTTTTTGAGATAAAGGGAGGGCTTCGGAGTCGGTGTGGGAGCGTGTTGAAAGGGGTTGCTGGGAGTTTGCGGATGAGCGTCGGATAGTTGCATGAGGTGGTCTTGCTATCCGCGCGTCTTCGGTGGTGAGGGAGCGTAAGGGAGCTGTTGGTCTTGCTAGGTTTACTAGAGGTCGATGTCTTACATCTTCGGGGAACACATGTGGTAAGCTTCCGTTTCTCTTTGTACTAGGCTTCGTTCGCCTTGTTTTGATGTAGAAGGAGAAGGTACTGCCTTTGCCAGATTGACTTGAAAGACCAATGGCACCGCCCTGCAGTTCGGTCAAGCGTCGCGATATGAATAGGCCCAGGCCAGAACCTCCATAGTTGATGTGAGTGCGAGGAGAAGCTTGTGAGAAGCGAGTAAACAAAGTTCCCTTTTCGTCTTCTGAAAGACCGCGACCAGTGTCGGTGACGGAAAACTGCAGGTATATGAGATCTTGAGCGTGCTTCCAGTCATCTTCAAGGCGTTGGTCGTGGTCCACTAGTTTCTCTTCGTTGAATTGAATCCCTCCAGGACTTGAGGTTGGCTCTGTTACGCTAGCAGAAAGCGTCATTTTGACTGATTTGGTCTTCTCAAGGCGTGTGAACTTAATAGCGTTAGTGAGAAGATTGATGAGAATTTGTAGCACCCTTGTTGGATCCAAGGAGGTCCAGTCAATCTCCATGTCACGGTAGGACTGGTCAACTACTAACGAAATATCAATCCCTGCAGCTCTTGCTTCGGCATCGAACATTCGGACAGCATGTCTTGCTACATTTTCAGGCTGTGCAACTACCGGCGTCATATCCAGAAGACCCGAATCAAGCTTGGATATTGTCAAAACGTCGTCCACTATGTGTCTCATGTGCTGGGCGCACTGAGCGATAGTTTGTGCAGCATCCAACGTAGATTCCAAGAAAGCTGACCATCCATTTGTAGGCATTGCACGACATTCATCCTGCGCATAAGAAGATATGATTGAATCTGCACATTGCATAATTGCACTCAGGGGATTACGCATCTCATGTGAAGTAGTGTCGATGAAGTGCTCGAGATGCTGTTTTCCCTGAAGCGCGCTGTCGGTGCGAATTTTCTGAAGATCTTCGGCCCATTTCTGTTTGGAGATATCAATGACGTTTCCTACTATTTCGACGAGTTCACCGCTAGGTCCAATCTCAGGATAAGCTGAGCACAGAATCCACCTAAAGTGCTCAGTGTCTAAGGTTTGCGACTGGCTGAGCTCTGAGGGTGGCAACCATGGCATCCTGGTTCGTAGCTCGAAACAGATATGTTTATTGTCGACCACGAGCTTCGTAAACACTGATTTGCAGTAATCTATGTCTTCTTCGAAGGCAATAGCGTGCCATGCTTCTGTGGCATTGGTATGGAACCCGGCAATTTCAAACATTTCGTACCAGCGCTTGTTTCGATACGTGTAGTCCCCAACGGAATTTGTTATAAAAATGGCAACGTCAGAGCGCTCTGCGAAACGCTGGAATTTGCCTTCTTCTAACTTTATCTCAGCCATCAACTGCTCTTGGATCTGTGCAGCCTGGGCAATGGCATTTTCTCGTTGCCGAACCTCTTCTTCAAAAAGGACAACTGAGGCTAGCGAAGTAGCTAGCAAACGGACCATGACTTGGAGGTATTGCTGATAGTCTTCATCAAATGGCCTACGGGGGTTGAGGCCAATAATAAGAAAGCCTTCGACCTGGTTGCCAGTTGTTGGAATGATAGGGCACACGACAATGGTGCGACAGGGTTCCCCGTAGCCTCTCCATTTGATATCTCTCAAAGCAGCATTGGATCCAGGGAGCTGATCCAGACGCACAACAGTAGCTTTTCTGGACTGTGCGGCGCGGCGAATATGGGAATAAAGTAGGTACGAATCTTCGTTGATATTAATAGTCGTGGGAGCGATTGGATGGCCAGCCTCAACACCAATCGTACCCTTGAGCACGCATGCATCTAATGGCGGTGTGCTACCTGGCGATGACATTGATGTGATTTCGGCGCTTATGTGGCGCTCAGCAGCATACAGCAGAGCCATTGGCACATCTTTATCGTTCAGACCCAGAGAGCTCAAGGTTGTGTTCCAAAAAGAAGGAAAGTTCCTCGCACGTTCGCTTTGCGTGCCCATGGACACCAGACTGGAAACGCGGCGTTCGAGAAGGCGATGTTCGGTTACTTCGAAAAAGGTTTGATAGTAGGCCTTTGTACCACGATGGCGATCCAGTATTGGCACAAACCGAAATGACCAGTGGGTCTCTTCGAAACGTCCGTCTCTATCGATGAACAGCAGTATGTCTGGCTCAGCCAGAGGTTCGTCTGTGTCATTGGTATGGTGAACGATGGTTTGGAATGTGGGCCAATGCTCGGGCGCATGGGTGCGGACGTTCTCGCCCATGCAAGGATGAAGATTGCCTAGTAGCTGAATATATGCCTCATTGTATAGCATTACGCCATCATCGCCCCAATACAAGATGGTCGGTCCACTGTTGCCAAGGACCATGTTTGCCATGCAACGCAAGTCGGGTGACCATGACTGGATTGGTCCGAGGGATGTATTAGCCCAGTCTACACTGTGAAAATAATCGATATGAAGTCCAGATACGATATCCGGTGGACATTCAGCCGAAGTGTAGTCAAAAGGCCCCCGACTAGTACCTTTTTGCGCATCAGAACAGTCTACACCAATTTCGGGGGTCGCAGGCAGCTGTACTGGTAGCGTGGGAGGTGTGGTAGGCGATATGTCCCTGAGAGGTTTGCTCTCCACCGTCTTGCTATCGCGACTCAATTTACGATGGTTCCTGCCGGCTGGCCCTGTATTGGCCAACATTAGTGATGTGGGCACTCCGCTGATAACCCTGCAGCGTCCAATGGTAAGGGCGTTCCATAGATGGCCCTCAAAGGTATAGACATGGCTCGGCCATTGCAGGCTACCCTCTTGTATCCTGCCGCAGACCCAGTCTCGGAAAGCAAGCTGAGCTTCAGTGCTTTCATCCAATATGCTCGTCTCGTTGTGTCCCGTTATTTTGGCCAGCAAACCAGCTGCCGCTGTCAGAGCTGGGTTGGAATATACCAGATCGAGCGGCTTATCGTACGCCAAGTGAGAAGGCAATTCGAGGACGAATGAAGGGCGTTTGTCGACCTCCAGCGCTTCTAGCAGTGTAAGGGCAGCCGCGTTTGTGTGCATGGGCAGCTCGAGCTGCCCTTTGGAGTCCATTGTATCTGGCGCCCTCGCTCTTTCTCGTTTCCTGAGTATACGCCTATACCATCTCGTCATCCGCGCACTGTATCGAGGGAGGTGGGTGTGTCTGCAATGCTCATCTCAAGGAGTGAACCGCGCTGAGTCGCTCGTCGCTCGTCGCCCGTGGTCGGTGCCCAAAAGGCTACTAACGCGTCCATGGCCTGGCCAACTCGCCCATGCTACCAGTCGCGATAGCGTCTCAGCCCGCCAACTAGTAGCCTCATCCGCTCTTCTCCGCTCCATCGTCAATCTGCCATTGTAAACATTATTGATAGCTACACCACAGTGCAACGCGACCTTTTTGCATTCCTCCAGATGACCGCCGTCATGTTGTCGTCACCGTTCCCCGCACGTCGGTGCTGACGGACCTCCCCAGCAACGGTACGGTACGGTACGTTACGTTTGAGCCCCCTGCGGCGATCTGCCTCACCTTCGACCGATCTGCACCAGGATCATTAAACTCAAATGTATCACCACAAACCTTTCGGCATAATCGAATTTGGCCGTCCCAACTACACATCTTGTTTTTACTGTCACTGCCCTGATGTACAGGGATACCTCTGCACTTCTTCTGCGGCAATCACGTTACAACAAAGTAGCTCGAACGACGATGCATATGCAACCTCATTATCATTATCAATTACAAAGATTACGGGTACTACCCTCCATCTCTAATGGCTACACGTGGGCTCTACGGGCGCCTTGTTGCCGCCGAAATATACTTTTCCATAAACATTGTTCCCTGTCCAACGATCCGACGGCACCCTTGGCGGGTTCGCGGGACCCCCTTCCTTCTGTGAACCCGGAAACAAAAAGTTGGGCGAGACAACACTGTCAGGACATCCAAGTGCCGTCTTGCTAAGCAGAGGATCCAAGACCGAAAGAGCCCAAGAAACACCTTTTGCGACGTTCTCCTCTGTGCCGCCAAGCGCAAGTGGAGTAATGGAGTTGAGACCCTGGTACACATCGCAGAGGAGTGTTTGAATACTAAGGTTGGGCGTGCCGACCTGCGCTGCTCCAGGCACAATGATGTTGCGCGGGTAGATAACCAGAAAGCCATCAGCAATGGTCTGGACCGCACCGTACGGAGTATCGCGACGATACCAGTTTTCCGGCCAGCGCTCGGGAACGTATTTGAATTCCTTTGTGCGTGCATCGTACTCGGCACCAATAATGCTCATGATGCTCTTATAGTTTGGGACGCCGCCTGCACCGTATGTGCCGTTCGAGAAGAACTGAGGGTAGAAGGCAAAGGCGCCGAGGGATACGATTTGGGGGAAGGGAAAGTAGTAAAGAAAGGGGTTGTTGTTCTTGCTGAAGCTGGCAGACTGCGCATAGTGCTCTGCCATGACGTTCATGCTAAACTCTTTCTTAGAATCTTTGGCGGCGAAGCCAACCATTTGCTTGATGAGGCGAGAGGAGACGTGGTGGTTGTCGCCACAGCCGTTATAGTAGTCTAGTTTAAGAGAGTTAGTTGGATCATATTTACATGGTGAAGAGGCAGTATCATAACTTCACGGTTGGGCGACACATCGGCTTCAACAACCGAATGGCGGTTCAAGCCACCAATGCCGTTTTTCCCTGAGCCGAGATAGAATGACAGTCCATCGAGGTCTCCACTGCCCAAGACAGTAAATGTGGCAAGGACTGTAGCAAGATCCACACCCATGTTGAAGCCGCGCGCCGTAGCTTCCAGCACCTGTCCGAAATTGACGTATCCATCGCGCGGCAAGTATCCGTGATTGGCAAGAAGATTGAGACCCGGGCAAGGGCCACGAGAGTCATTTGGTCCAGGTGCCTTAAATTCGAAGCCGAGTTCAGGACGCTTGTTGCTCTTTTTGACGACAGCCTGGCCGACTGAAGTCAAGAGACCGTCAACAAGGTCACCAAGCGAGCCAAGGAGATTACCGACGGGTTTCAGAAGTTGGGGTTCGGCAGCTCGTTTAGCAAGATCTTCGCTCTCCATTTGCGCTCGGATATGTTGCTCCATCTCTGCTCGGGATGTGGCACCCATCATGCCGGGGTAGGCGGCAGCTATGGCTGGCAGAGCCAGTGCTGCAGTTTGAGTGAACCTCATGATTCTTGCACACCGACAGCTTTTGGAAAATGGGATGGGGTTATGAAGAACCCACTAGTGGCTTGATGTATTTGTTCTTCTAAACGGTACGGAGATTTTATATGTACATTTCGTCTTTCACCGCCAGGCTGGAGACTTCCTTGGCCTGCTCATGATGACATTTCGGTAAATATGCACCTTCTCTTTGTTACCCACCTCCAAGAAGATCTTCACAACAACTCCGAAGAGGAGAATAGCAGTACGAGGCCAAGAATACAAGCGTACGGAGAAGATGATCGATCCAATCACATATTTCATGATTACCCCATTTAGCACTTTTCTTCGCGACTCGAGTCCTAAAAGGTACTTGATAGACTCCACTATTTGTTTGGCAATCCAGAAAGCCGGGGAATTCAATATGACGATCCAATGCCCAGCATCGCGGAGAATTCAACAAGAAGCGAAAACGCGGAGAGTGTTGTCGGAGTGATCTCGACGACAATCGGAGGCATGGCCATTGGATACAGTGAAGCTAGATTCCCATGCATCCCAGAAAGACACGATGATGTCTAGACATGCTGTTTCTAGACCCGCGGAAGGGACATGAGTCAGTCTAGATACTTTATCGATCGCGACTCCTTAGGCCTCCCGAGAATACGAGACCAGCAGCATCATGAGATGCACTTTCGAAGAGGATGGGTACGGGATTTTGGTACGCTGTATACAAGAGAAATAGAAAAAAGACTCTCCTGATTCCAGCTCAAGTCTCAAAAGCCCACTTTGTGTTACCAGTGCAACGCGATCAAGTCGCATCACCATTCCTCGCAGTAGAGTACCGCGCATGATCGGCAGACGGGAGCAAACCTCAGCCCCACCACTCACCCTTGAACAATTTACCATGTCAAAGTCATGCTCCTTGCATGTTACTAACTGGTTTCAGGGGAACTGGGGGCGGGGAGCGCGAGAGAGAGAGCGAGAGAGCGAAAGAGTGCGCCGCGTTATCTACATCAAACACGCCGCACCCGATTCCCGATCACCTACGTATTCATTTCCAGATTCGCGCTGGAGCAAATAACGCAACCATGCAGTCGGCAACACCGAGTCCCCGACCATCTCCATTTTATTATCAGAAATCAGCCTCGCACCAGCCTTGCGTCCAACCAGCCTTCTCTCCCCAGAAACTTAACCCCTCCCGGCCCACGAAAAAAATGGGGAAAGCTTGCTGAAATAGGATAATAGTCATTGACTAAATCTCTTCAAAATCCATAGTCATCGCAAAGTCAAAAAAAAAACCTGAAGTCGTAAAATCCCCAATAACAATCATGCTCCGTACCCTTTCNCCCCCCCCCCTTCCCCCAAATTCCCCCAACAACCTGCACACGTCCCCCCTCCACGCCTCTGAGTCGTTCAAGCTCCACCCCCCGAAAAACGCCACTCCAGCCACATCACCCCATCTCTGCCCCCCGGCCGCCGTCGCAAAAGCTAAGATCAGCAGATTCGTGGTCCTTGCATCGTCCGCCTTTAATTCTCTGTGCGTTTGTTTGCCTTTGTTCCAGTCAGCACGTATGGTGATTCTTCAACAACTTCAAACAATAGTTAAAGATGTATGTATCTTTTTTTTTGTGAGGGGGGTTTAGATAGCCGAGCCTGTTGGTATCTATGTAGTAATAAAGCGAATTTGAGAGGAGAGGTGTAGGCAGATAGTTATGGTATGTGGTATGTAGTGCGATAGTTCAAGAAACGAAAAAACGTCATTTCGCGGAGTTTTTCTTTGCTTGACGGCCGCGGGAATAAGGCAGAGGAAGATGGGGAGATGGCAGGGAGGTGGGTCTTGGTTGGGTTAGCGGCGAACTTTATTTCAGAGGGCCGACGTGGCAGAGTTGCGTGCTTTGTGCTTGGTAAGTAGAGTAGAGGGGGGAGAAAAGGGATTTGTGCTCGGGGTTTCTTTGCGGGCGAGGGTGAGAATGCGGTATGGTGTGGACTGTGAATGGGTTGTGTGGCCTCTGCTTTCACGGATCTACGCGTTCGTTAGATAGGGAGGCTTGGGAGGCGCGCCGCTATGCGCGGTCGGTGCCGTGTGTAGTAGGTGGGCTGAAGGGGGGAAACGTTGAGGATGCATGTCACCAATTGGCAAAGATGGCTTTGTTGATTGACGAAAGCTTGTTTGATTAGAGCCCAGTTCTTCTTGCTGACTTCGGCGGTCGGGGAGATGGACCTGGCTTTTTGCTTTGCGGTCGAGTGCGACGTCGAATTAAGCTCTTGTTTGATGTCAGGGCGGAGGGAAGCTATGGGATTTTTTATGGACTAAGATGCTAGAGCTTGAGTGTATACGACATGAGTGACATGAGTGACATTTTTGAAGTGCATTAGGCAAATGGTCAGTGGAGAAACGATTACTTCTCCCGACACTATAGCAGAGATGGATTTAGTTCATTGACTTTCGTAGTTTCTTCTCCTCTCGGGGATGGTATTCGGTGACGCGCGTTTTGGTGAACTTTGCCATTTGACGAATAGCAGATGAAATGCTAATGTATCCAATACCGCATGTCATACTTTAGTACTTGCAAACGGACAAGGAGCTCTGTAATCTAGCCCTAGCTTTGTCTCAGGAGAACAGCAGATGTGATGTTATTAGTGATCACCACGATAAGCAATGAGAGAACTCATTGGTTTTCATATGCTCTACCGAAAGCGGTAAAAGTTGCGCAGAATTGATTCGCGTCAAGAGCTTGTTTTCATCGGACATACAGTAGGCAACTATGCCACACTAAAAATCAAGAGGTGCATCGCCGGGACTAAATCTATCAGCTAATGGTGTAACACGCAGCTAGTTCATTGAGCCCCGAGTCAAAGTACGTAGTCCGGCTCGTGCTATAGTAGTCGCCGACCGACGCAGTGCGTCATGATACGATTTATCATCACCGCAGTAATACGAGCATGTCGGCATTTTCTACAGTGCGCGCCGAATGTGGCGATGGCACGGTGGTGTGGGGACAGCTACGCTCGTATCTCGCAAAACAAAAGATCTACTTCGTTGTAAAGCGTAGTAAGAATGCACAGGCGCCCGTTGGGGCGTAAGGGTTCGCGTAGAGGCACAGCGACATGGCTCGGAACGCAACGCCCTACCGTTGCGGACGGTCCCGCGATGACACGAGTTGCGGCAATTTGAAATCAAGCAAAAGCTAGAAGTGCGGCAGAGAGCCTGAATCTGGGTTCGGATGAGAGTGTAATGGGGCATTTGCTGTACATTGCCGCATTACAGCATGCATACCTTCCATGTGCCATAACTGTGCCACAACTGTGCCATAACTGTGCCATATCTGCACATCCACCGTCGAGTACACCTAGTAGATGATTGGTTGTTTCTTGTCTATTGTGAGTGGTTCGCAGAAATTGCATCGGCTCTTACTCTACATCAGATGCTGGCCGGATCTTGAGGCAGCGCACGAATGCTGGGTCAGAAGATATTCGTGTGAAGAGCGTAATATTTTCCGCACCAAGCGGCTGTTTCCGTGACCCCTGGGGCGGCAAATCAGTATGTCTCAGGAGGCCTTACAGTTTGATATTTGCTTTTATGCCAGGGTAGTAGCCGAGTTATCCAGACGTGCGCCACTTCTCAACGACCTTTGCTGCAGCCCTCGGAGGCGTTGTTAGCATGAGTGTTGAATGTCTTACTTTGTAACAACGGGCTGGCTATGTAGGTTAAATGCCAGCTTAAGCGCCGGAATGTTGTAAGACGGTCACCGAGCAAGCCGTGGTTTGGATGGCATGCAGGGTGAAAACCGAAACCTGTCCACTGGGTAGTCAGCAAAACTCAACCTTGGGTAGAATGAGGTATTCTGGGCTGCAGTAGTTGGGCGGCTATAGGACGAGTCATGGAAGGTAGAGGCGTGTCGAAGGCGCAAGCTTGAGTTGGTGTGAGTAAGTAGGCTGAGGCTAGGGGTGGGGAACCTGACGTGGAAAAGAGATTGTACCTGAGCCAAGCGTTGGGAATAGAAACAATTAAAGGACTAGGCGAATCAGTGTAAAGAGGCCAAACTACTCGAGAAGGAAAGCAGTTAAAGTGCTGAGGTCAGATGGTAGCGGCCATGTGGCTTGCCCAGCGGCGCTTACACAAGCAGCGGTATGGCGAGTGATTACTCAGATGGCATTATTCATGGGCTCGGTGGATGACCAAACAGGACGTCACCTCACAGCAAGGCTGGTGCACGAGGTAGTGGAGTTTGGGATGCGGAGAGAGATATTCTGGGCTGGGCCAAGAGTCGCGGGCTAGAGCAAAACAGGGCAGCAGTGGTGCTTTACTCGGGCAGCGAGGGTGGATTGCAGGGTGCGCAATGCCGTCATGAGGATGCAAAGGACTTGAATGGCGGTGATAAGAGCGTGGGTGTGGTGACGGTTTTGGCGAGGCAGAATCTTGGTGGTGAAGGAGGACTAGCCTGTGGGTTGGGCTAAAAATACACCAACGGGAACGCTAGTGCAGCCGTCACAGCGCACATGAGGTCAACATGGCTGGGGAAGTACAGTGAGGTGTTGGCGGCGAGGCTATGAATAGTGGAATGGACAGCTTTACACGTCGCAATATCGGCCGATGCACACAGCATAAGCGACATGATGTGTGTATGTGTATGTGGGTGTGGCTAGAGAGATGGGTGTGTGTGTGCGTGTGGGTGTGTGTGTAAATGTGGATTTGGGTGTGGGCAGGTGCGGGTCGTGCACGTCCCTCTCTGATCGTACGCTGTAAAATGAGATTCAGTCACGTGCAGTACGCGAGCGAGATTGTGCGTCTGCTGTTCCTCCATCCATTCATCCCTCCCAGCATTGCCCTGCCATTGCGCTGCCTATCACCTCCCAGCCCTTCCCAGTAACATGTCTACGGAAACGCCGGCCACGCCATCGCTTCAGCTCCTACAGGGAGACAGCGCGCATTGTTTTCACAGCACGTCGGCACAAGCCGTACTAGTCTGCTGCTTCGGCTTCCCCATACTGGCAGAGCGACAGGCCGCTGTCAGGCTTGGTGCCGT